CATATTTTTAGGAAACGTTTCTAAACTTGTGTAAAAATGACGTTAGGTTTAGAAACAACAATATCAAGTTTTTTGTTTCTTTGTTTTCTATTTTTTATTTTTTCCATTATTTTATAATTATTGACTTAAAAAGTAAACCTAACATAAAAATTTGAATGTTTAAAGAACCCACGAAATCATGACTTAAGATAAGTGTCAATTATCGATGAGCTAAGCTCATGTTGGTTGAAACCACTTAAACTTAAATGTTATTATAGTTGAGCAGCTTAGTACTAATTAAGTCCATATCATCTATCTAAGGTGAATCAGATAAATTTGTAACCTTTGACAATTCAAATTGGGTTGAAAAGAGTGTTAATTGTAATTTTAGCATAATTTAGATAAAATATTACCAAAATAGAAACTAAAAAAATATAGCAAAAACTATGACATGTCATATGTCATATTAGTGATAACTAAGTAGTCACAAAATGTAGATGAATATATAAGTGATTTTGCTAGAAAAGTAGTTAGTTAATATCTTGATTAAAATCACATTAATTTAGCAAAAAAATCTATTCCCCATTTTTCACCAACAAACTTATTGCGTCAATGTATGCCTTTTAGAGAAAGACTAAAGGGCAAGGGCTGTCATTCGATGGTTCTAGAAGACTATTATGGGTCCTATACTAAACTGGTTTGTATCACTAGATCATTCTAAGTTAGCCTCGTAGCTTATTGTGCCGATGTATGCCTTTTACAGAAAGACGAAGGGGATGTCATTTGATTGTTCCAAAAAACTATTACGGGTCCTACATTAAAATGGTTTACATCACTAGATCATTCTACATTCTAAGTTAGCCTCGTTTGAGCAATTATCTCAAATGTTCATCGATCAATACTCCTACAATTTAGATGTCAAACTAAATAGATTAGATCTCGAGGTTCTAAGTTAGAAATGCGATGAAAGTTTCAGTACCTATGTAGACAGGTGGAGGGCTGTTACTGCTTGTGTTAAAAAATATATAACGTATACTACATAGTTTAGGAGAGAGAATCAGTCGTACGACCGACTCACCATATTCTACCACAACGATATAAGTATAACTCAATAGTTAAGACATCGTATCCAATTTTTAGAGAAAAATCTGTTCAACTATGTTTATATTCGGCTAAAAACATCTAAGCTAGCAATAAAGTTACTCGGAAAAACACACCCTAATGAAAATTTACAATTATTTGATTACTTTTTATTAAATTTGAAATAATTATTAGAGCATTAATTTTAGTGGGTTGACGTAGGAGGGATAAGGTGGGAGACTGTGAGACGATAAAACATGATAAGGAAATCCATTAAAATTCCTAATTAATTTATGTAACATTATTTTATTGGTATGCCGAACGAACCGTTTTCTCCATATAATACTTTCATGTAAATGCTGAAACTATATATTAATCATATATATAAGTCACTTCAATCACATGGAAGCATTGTAATTTCTTACCCAAATTTTCTCGATTTGATGATATTATTAATTACTTGACTTTCATCATTTTAAATTTGAGATAAAAGACTTTTTTGGTCGAAATTATATTTTAACTAAGTGGAACTGGGATTAGATTATTAATAATATACCATTCATCAAAAAAAAAAAAAGATTATTAATAATATACCAAGTCAATTCTTAAATTATGTAATCCATTATGGTAAATTAATAATTAGAATAAATAATTAAATAATTATGGATTTGATCTTAAATCTAATTTATATAACATAATAGTGAGTTTGAAATAACTATTTTTTTTAAAAAAATAAGTAGTATTCAAATGGACTAAAACCTCTTTTTATCTTTTATCTTTTCAAGAAGTGGTGTTTAATAGACTAAAAATTGTTTTTTAACTTTTCAAAACTCATCTCAAACTCAATTTTAATTCCTTGAAAAACTATATATATATATGCAAGACATCATTTTGTGGTTTTGTTTTTTTGTTTATTTATTTTTTCTCCTGTTGAAAAGAATACGAATAGTTTCTACAAAGTTATGCCAAATTATCGTTTACATTACAATGTATATTATCTTTTTATATGTGGCGGTAATTTTACCAAATAGGTTAAAAGTGCGAATCCGTCACTATATTTGTTGTACTAAAGAACTATCAAAAATAAAAATAAAAACTCGTTTAAGTAAAAAAATAAATTGAAATGCTTTTCATCTCTTTTAAGTATAACAATATGTGAGGGTAAGGATGTGAACCCACAAGTTTCTGATTAAAATATAGGTCTTAACCAATTAAGCTATGTTCTGACCGTGGGCTAAAATAATAATCTTTATTTATATAAAATTGTAAATAAAATATATAATAAATTCATGAGATTTAACTTAAGAGGTAGAATTTCATGGTTATCTTTATCGCACATCTTCTATTAAAAAAATGTCTAAATGTTTTTGCCGGTAATATTTGTTCTTAAATTTAACTCTTATGGATAAGTTCATTGGTCTAAAATAACTAAGGTAAATAAAAATAAAAAAAATTAGAGAGAATGGATTCAAACTCTATGATGATCATCTAAGAATTAATTTCCTATGTGTATGCCTCTTGATCCTCATCTCAAACTTATATAATTTAAGTACAAAATTTCTCTTTTGACTAGGCAACGAGATTTTGTTGCGCACCATTAAATTTTTGACAGGTTAGAGAGGAACAGATGAAGGAAAAGATATTTTTTTTTTATCCAGAAAGGAAATAACCGTACAAAAGTTGTAACTGTGGGTTATTGCTTATTGCTACCCGGAAGTATTGTTTTAATATATGAGGTAATTTGTAATGTAATATAATAAGACGTGATTGTCGATATATACACAAACACAGTGTAAGATTGAGATCCGCAAATAAAAATAATAATAATAATAACAAAATCTAAGTGGGCTTCAGCCCAAATTGAAATAACAGTGGGCCGAAGTGTAAGGCCACAAACGGCAATGCTCCTTCAATTCCTAAACGACTGGGCAAATCCCGGTCGCCGGTTGCCGAGCCTCTTGTATGCACGTGAAATATAACAGCACAGCGGTTTAGAAATTCCAAACCTTATTAGTTTTGCCTCAAAAAAAAAAAAAAAAAACCTTATTAAATTATATACAGTTGGCAGTAGAATACACCTCCAAATTGAACCCTTGTCCTTTAGCTTTAAGGGCACATACCCTATATGCTAGGGGTCAATAACCTTCAAAAACTATTTTCTGGCCGCACGTGGTTTACACAACTCTTTTGATGTTCGCCGTTTCAATTTAATTCACAAGGCCATGCAAATTAATTGCAAACCCATTGTCTTAATATTTTTCGTATCTGTTAAAGGCAACCGGGATTAGATTTTTGCTGCTGAAAATTTGCAAATTTTAACCTGCGACTCTGTTAGAATCTGTACTTTGTCTGCGCGTAGGAGCAAAAAAGAAAGCTCCTCGGAGACAGATTTGTCTGGAAAACGTTCAGTTCAGACATTTCAGAAAGCACCCACGAACTTCCCACCAAACAGAATCAGCCTGCATTATATCTCTGTAACTTATTCAATTTCTTCGTTTTTGAATCACTGAACTCAATTTTTTTGGTCGGGTTCTCTCTGAAAATGGTATTTGGATCCTATTTGAATACTGTGATCCAGAAAGTAAAGATTCTTACTTCGGCTAGATTATCTTAGAACGTAGACGAATTTGTCATAGATCCTCTTCGAACCCGAGTATCCGACATTTTGGCTCTTTTTTTTTTTTGTAGCTGAAAAGAATTAGCTTTTTGAGCAGGAGGAGAATCTGATGAAGAAATTAGCGAAATTCAGTCAAATAAATTACAGCAATCAATGTCATCGGGAGTAGTGTAAACTGTAGACGACAATGGTCAAGGATGAACTGGGAAATACACTAAAAAAAAAAAGGAAAAAAAGAAGCCATCAATGCGGATTCCCCTGCTTTTCTGCGAAAGTTCAGTAAAAATGGAACTGAAGATCTGTCATCAAATGCGCACAAACACCAGAAAATTGGACCGACCCATCACTCGAATCTGACACCGACTCGCATTTTACCCCCATTCTCTACAACCCATCTAAGAATTCAAGGCAATTTTTCAAGGAAAGATGAAAATGAGCTAAATAAATGAATAAATTGATCTCAGAAATTCTCATCCCTCTTACGAATCGAGGACCGTAGCTGAGAATGCATCGGACCCGGAGTCACCGGCGTCGTACTAGGCGGGGTAAACGGCGGCGGCGCTTCGGTTACTGGCGGAGGTGGAGACTGATATCCCTGTGGCGGCGGCGGCGGCGGCGGCGGTAAGGGATTAACGATGGTATCAGGCGGAGGTGGAGAAGCCGTAACGGCGTCAGGCGGAGGCGGAGTAGCCGGAATCGGATTTTGCGGAGGTGGGTTCGGATTCGAATCGGTTGGCGTTGGTGAATTTCCCGGCTGGTTGGAGGCGGAGATTGGAGCGGCGCCGCCGGGAGGGGCGGAATTGGGGTCCGGGAAGACGTCTGGAGGGGAAAAACAGGAGTTTCCGGAGCACTTATGGGATTTCTGGAGGCCGTGGCGCAAAAATCCAAAGCCAAGAACAAGGCCAAGAACCACCAAAACGGTGACAATGAAGATGAAGATCTTAGTTGCTTTGCCCACATAACACATTTTCGATCTCCAGACTTGCAAAAGAACAAACACTTGTTTGGTTCAGAAGAAAAAGATTTGGGTTTTGGTTCATTTTCGTCTTTTATCTCATGGCGGTTGAAGAACACGACCAAGATGAGAGAGAGAGAGAGAGCCTGGTTTGGTAATGGCCTATGGGACTGGACTGGGCTACTCACTGAGCTGTAACTTGAATGGGATCCCAACCACGTGAACACCAATGAAACCGTCACAGTTCTTTTACCCTTTTTAACTTTTCTTGGCTGAGTGAATGACAGGTAGGATTTTTACTTTTTTACTGTTGGAACATGGATCAAGGGAGGGAGAGTGGGTGAAGGGGAGGTGACAGATCTTGAAATGAGGAAGAATTGGCCATTGTTAATGGAGAATTGCATCTGAATTTCTCTTTTAACTGACGAAATTAGCTCCAAAAGGATGAACATTTTTTCCTTGTTGGATTGGTGGGCAGTGGCGGTCTGCAACACCATGCCCACGAGCTTAAGTGGGGCACTATTGAGATATGGTAAAAGCCTGTGGGGGATTATTGAACTTCGAGAAAATTCCTCTTTCCGCAAATAAAAAAAATGAAAAAGGGATTTTGTTTGTTATTACATAATATAACCAGTAGAAAAGATATCAAGAATGGAGCCAACCAGGCATGTCTGTCAATGCCAGGTCACTCCTTTAGAGGAAAAATTTGTGCTGCTAGGTTTGTATGGATACTCTTTTTATTTCATCATTCTCACATCAATATTGTATTAAAATTGATGTGGAAACTCAAAGGTGAATAAAGGAAATATAATACTCTGCATAAATTCATAGTATCGAAATTTTTCTCGAAATATTTCCTCCTACAGATAAGGGTTAAGCAGGCAGTTAGCTGAACTAAAGATTTTGACTGCTTGTAAATAAATTTGAAGACTAAAAACCATCTTAATTTGTCAAAAACTTAAACTCTTCCAAGCTGTCACTATTCACAAGAACCTGTCTGCCTTGTGCTAGTGTCTGCAAGAGGACAACAAATAAATCTTCTAATCATACATCTTCTTCCTAACCTTTCACCAATCAAATGGAGTTGGACATGAAGAAACTACAAGACATTTTTTTGTTTCTTGCTTTAGAGAAGAACATGTATGGATTGTGTTTCTCTAGCTCATTCATTATCCTTACCTTCTTTTATATGTGTGAATTCATGTTCGCTCATTTCCTATCTACTCCAGTGATTCACAACTTTAGTTCTGAAAATCAGCAAGTCCATAAAAAATAGAACGAAATGGCTTCATAAACAATCATGACAAGTGTTGTGTGCCAAATGCATAGTGGAATCATAGAGAGAATTGCACCATGCAGCAGATATGTTCAGGGTAAAGTGAAAAGTAAAGTTCAAATAAAGAAGCAACTCAACTGGTCTCTCCCATGCTGCTCTGTTGCATCAAGGAGCAATCTTCGAACAACGGCATATGAGGCAACTTCGATAGAACCCGAGGGAACGACGCTCCGGGATGTATATCTTTCTGCTTAATTCAATCTTTCAGTTAATATGTTGGCACATTCAGGGTCACAAAATATCTTGTTCTTTTGGAAAGCCAATCTTCTTTCTCAACTTGATGCACTTCATTGATATTTATGAGTTTGGGACTTCAGTCTTCCCTGAAACTTTTCTTTCATGCAGGTATCAAGCAGCCATCCCGATTACGACAAAAAGATTCTAGAAAACTATGTACCAGTTTATGTGATGCTCCCAGTAAGTTGCATACAGAATTCTGTATACTAATATTTATTAGAGTCAAACAAGTTCAGTTTACCTTTTCTTCTTATGTTAATAACACCAGTTGGGAGTTGTAACAACTGATAATGCATTGGAAGACAGAGATGGGATAAAGAAACAACTCGGACAACTACGGGCAGTAGGTGTGGACGGGGTGATGGTTGATGTTTGGTGGGGGATTGTAGAATCCAAAGGTCCAAAGCAGTATGATTGGACTGCATATAAGAGCTTGTTTAAGATAATTCAAGAATTTGGTCTGAAACTTCAAGCTATAATGTCCTTCCACCAATGTGGAGGGAATGTGGGAGATTCTGTAAACATTCCACTCCCCAGTTGGATTCTCAAAATTGGAGAATCAAATCCTGATATCTTTTACACAAACCGCTCGGGTAACAGGAACAAGGAGTACCTCACTCTTGGAGTGGATAACCAGCCTCTCTTTCATGGACGAACTGCTGTAGAGGTCAGCTCCCTGCAACTGCTTGTCTGATAAATGAAACCATAAATATGATCAATACCCAAAAAATAGTCAAATTGGTGACAGTAAATAAGCTCAATAAATATTGATTCAACAAAACATTTCCCTTAATGATACCCTTTGATCCTGATGTAAATGAGTAGAAGAAAATCATGAAAAGAATGGAAGTACGCAGGTATACAGGGATTACATGAAGAGCTTCAGGGAAAACATGCGAAATTATTTAGAAGCTGATTTTATAATAGACATTGAAGTGGGACTTGGACCCGCGGGGGAGTTGAGGTATCCTTCATATGTAGAAAATCAGGGATGGGTATTTCCTGGCATTGGAGAATTCCAGGTAAGATTAGCTTAACATTTTAAGGACACTACCGTGTTCTGGTTTCAACTTTGTTTTCTTCATTTCCAAATATGACAGTGTTATGACAAATATCTCAAAATGGAATTCAAAGACGCTGCAGCAACTGCAGGACACCCAGAATGGGAACTTCCAGATAATGCAGGAACTTACAATGACACACCTGAATCTACAGAGTTCTTCAGATCAGATGGAACTTACCAATCCGATGAGGGAAAGTTCTTCTTGACATGGTATTCCAACAAACTATTGAGCCATGGTGATCAGATCCTTGACGAAGCCAACCAAATCTTCCTCGGCTGTAAAGTTAAATTAGCAGCCAAAGTACGTCTCAGAAGCCAAATATTTTTCTATATCTTTACCGTTCTAGTAAGGTCTAGAAGGATAAGATATTTTCTTTCTTCTGAAATCATGTCAGTGAAAGGCATTGCACTTCCTCATAAAAACAGGTAGCTGGGATTCACTGGTGGTATCAAACGGAAAACCATGCAGCAGAACTTACATCAGGATATTATAACTTGAAAACTAGAGATGGATACCGACCAATAGCAAGGATGCTATCACGTCACCATGCAATTTTGAATTTTACATGTCTAGAGATGAGGAATTATGAGCACAGTTTAAAAGCCAAAAGTAGACCTGAAGAACTAGTTCAGCAGGTACAATTTAATGATTGTGTAAGTTGGTCTTAAGGAGAACTGGTAAAGAATAATAAATTTCACCAACAGGTTTTAAGTGGAGGTTGGAGAGAAGGCATTGAAGTAGCAGGAGAGAATGCACTACCAAGGTATGACCATGCAGCTTACAATCAAATTCTTTTAAATGCTAGACCAAACGGTGTCAACAAGGAGGGTCAACCAAAACTTAAGATGTCTGGAGTGACATACCTTCGACTTACTAGCAAACTCCTGCGGAAAAGAAATTTCAATATATTCAAGAACTTTGTGATGAAGATGCATGCTGATCAGGTAATGAATTACATTGTTCAGAAAAAGCAAGTGTGGGATGGACATGGAGGATTAATCGAATTCTTTTGTGTTTCGTAGGGTTACTGTCCCAACCCAAAGGACTATAACTGCTATGTGGTTCCACTTGAGCAGTCGAAAGAAAAAATTTCGATGGAAGAAATTTTAGAAGCAACCGAACCATTGGAACCATTCTCATGGGATAAAGAAACTGATGTGCCAATTGGTGGTCCTTTTGTGGACTTCTTTAATAGAATACTATACATATTAAGATGAAAGAACACCCAAACAGAAGTGAGCATTGCTAAACACAATACGTTACTATAAAGTTCATGTCTAAGAAATATCACACCTCTTATTATTAAATAAAATTGATATGAAAGTTTGAAACAAAGTCAAAACCAAAAATCGCCATAGGAACAAATTCATATATAAAGTGGTTAAACCAACGCATGATAATTTCTCCATCCATGAGTTTTGGTATTAATTTTGTTAGAGTGGTAAGCTCCAGAGACTTGAAAGATTCTTAGTTATTCTAACTTTGATCTCTGAAGGGATATTTAAAGAGAGCAAAAGCAAAAGCAATTGTCAACAGCTCACAAGCAGAGAGGAGGGCAAGCAAATAAATCCCATCAGCTTTCGACCCAGCCTTTACCATTAGATAAAAATTGGTTCAAGCTTCTATTGGTTTGTTGTTCTTAACGTAACCAGAAATCACAGAATTCAAGGAAACTAAATCCCTCTCGAGCATTTTATCAAACACATCCCGAGCAAGATCCATGTTCCCAAACTTCCAAATTCCACCTAACCATCAGATGCAAGGGCCTTGTAACTTGTAAGCAATAGAGTACCATCAGAAGCGTAACCTCAAATCACACAATTTCAAGGTAAAAAATATTTTGAGCCTACCATTATTTCGGATAATCAATATTTCCCGACCAACATATCAAGGCAACAAATATTTATAGGCAGTCATTATTTCGAGGTTACTATAAAGAAACCGAACCATAGGGAAATCCTTATCATGGGATAAGGAAACCAATACGCTAACTGGTGGTCCTTTTGTGGACATCTTGAACGAATCCTGTGCATATTCCAAGTGAACAACAACAAAACGAAAAAAAACAAAACAAAACAAAAACAAAGACATTGCTATACACGAGGTTACTGCAAAGTTTGTACCAGCTTATGATTTAGCAATAAAGCAAGCATAAGGGAAGGAAGTATAAAGAAAAATGAATCATTGTTCCAGTCTCCAATATGTACCAACCGTTCCAGTTATAGGCCACTGTGGCTGCTTCTCCCCAACGAACTTGACTGATGTTATTGTAATCTTACGAACCATTGGATTTTTATGCCAATTGGTGGTCCTTTTCGTTGATTTCTATAACGAAATCCTGTACATATTTAAGGTAAATAACAACCAAGTAGAAGTGCACATTGCCAAATACAAAAGGTTCCCATAAATTCATGCATAAGGAATATCATACCTCTTGTTATTATACAAAATTGAATAGTAATTACCAAAAATCACCACAAGAACAGATTCCATCTATAAAATGGTGAAACCTGTGGTTATCACGCATGATAATTTCTCGATCCATGAGTTTCGATATTAATTTTGTTACCGTGTGGCAATCTGCACATACCCGAAGATTCTTGGTTATCCTAATTTTGGTCCCTGGAGGGGTATTTAAAAGAGCAAAAGCAATTGCCAATCGCTCACTATGATCCCAAAGCATCTTCTCCTTCTGTTCTTCATCAACATCATATAAAACTGAACTAGTATCAGGCTTGTGCCCTTCCTCCTTGAGTCGCCAACTGATATCCTTTAGTTTGGCATATATATCTTTTGTCTGTTGGTGTGACCTATCTCCAACAAAGAACATATGAACCTGGCTGTCAAGCTCAATTAAGCTGTACCCTGCTGGTTTTTTCAGTCCATGTCTCCTCATTGTAGCTCTCACCTTCTCCACATCAGTCCATTGTTTCTTAGCAGCATAAATATTGGAAAGACAAATATAGCTACTAACCCTTGTTGGGTTTGTTCTGAAAATATTTTGTGCTGAAATTTCTGCCAACTCGACATTTCGATGAAGCCTGCAAGCAGAAAGAAGTGCAGCCCATATTTCGGCTGGTGGTTCTACTTCCATATGCTTTATCAGTTCATATGTTTCATTTAGTAGGCCTGCTCTGCCAAAAAGATCCACCAAACATAAGTAATGAGCGAATCCCGGTTTGACATTGTACTTATCAGTCATTTCATTGAAAATTTTTTTGCCCTCATTAACCAAACCTGAATGGCTACATGCTGACAGGACAGAAGTTAGAATACCCTCATCGGGAACAATGCCATTTGCTGTCATTTTATTAAAAATGGATATAGCCTCTTTTCCCCTTCCATGAATTCCATAAGCTGCAATCAGAGCACTCCAAGCAACCATATTCTTCTGAGTCATCTCACAAAAGACATGGTGTGAGCAAGATAATTCTCCACATTTAGCATACATGTCTATAAGGGCAGTTCCCAAAAATGAATTTAAGAAAAAACCTATTTTAGCAAAATATGAATGGACGGACTTGCCAAATTGCAAGGCTGTAATCTTTTCACAAGCTCCAAGGACAGCTACGATAGTTATCTCATCGGGAGCCGCTGTTCTTTCGACGAACATTTGGCAGAAAAGTCTTAAACTTTCAAAAGCATCTCCACTTAGTTGATAACCTGAAATTATAGAATTCCATGATACAGTATCTTTTATCTTCAACTCCTCGAATAACAGCCTAGCACCAGCAGTAGAATTGCAATTTGAGTACATATCAATCAGCGAGTTCATCAGGAACTCATTAGAAGTAAAATAATTATTACGTACAGCATAACAATGGATCTCCTTCCCCTGTTTAATGGCAGCCAGATCAGCACAAACAGAGAGGAGCGCAAGCAAAGTAGTCCCATCTGCTTTCGACCCAGCCTTCCCCATTCGATAAAAAATCATTAAAGCATCCATTGCATTGTTATTCCTCACGTAACCTGAAATCATAGTGTTCCAAGAAGTTAAATCCCTCTCAGGCATTTTATCAAACACCTTCCTTGCATCACCCATGTTCCCAAACTTCACATACATCGCTATAAGAGAGTTGTTGACATAAATATCAGATTCCCACCCACAAACCTCCACCCGACCATGAATTTTCTTTCCCATTTCAGTAAGACCCAAATCACCACACGCCTTAAGAACAAAAGGGAATGTAAAATTGTCCGCCTTGAATCCTAAGGTTACCATTTTGCGATACAGGGCAAGGGCCTTGTAAGCATTAGTACCATCAGAAGCGTAGCCTCTAATCATAAAATTCCATAGGAAGGAATTTTTCAAAACAACCCCATCGAATATCACCTGGGCTTCTACCATTCGACCGCAACCGGCATAAAACGCAGCAAGTTTGGAATTGAGATAGGCATTGTCCTGGAGATTCCCACATGTGAGCATATAGCCATGTAGTTTCCGGCCTTCTGCAGATGATTTTTTGTTGGTGAGGGATTGCAAAATGGCTCCACATTGTAGAGAATTAAGTGGGACTCTTAAAGGGGGCGTGGGGCTGGAGATGGCGGTTGTATTCAGAGATCTCTTGAAAATGATTAAGTTATGAAATATGAATGGTTTGAGAGCAGCTGTGCCGATCATGGGAAGAAAGAAAAAAGAAAGTGAAGCATAACCATATGGCTATGGCCTGCCAAGCTATTGCTAAGCGTCGCGGTCTGCTATTGATGCTCTGTGCTTTCTCGGCTCCCTGCACTTCTATATAATAGTTTAATTTACAACTTTGATGGAAGTAATGATGTAGTCCAATTTCTATATTTTTAAATGGATAGTAATCTAGTCTTAAAAATTAGATTAGATTTAATAGAAATTTAACGTGACATATCCATGCGTACAGATAATGTGGAACTGTACTATCACGACTTTTCACCCCATTCTCGTCGGCGATAGCTTCATTTTCTGAAAACTGCCAAAGGAGGACGAGGCTTTTGGGTTCCTGAGCTAGTCCATTTGTGATAAGGGTTAGAATCGCCTTCAACATCAGAAAAAATTCTGAGCCAAAAGCCAACTTCTTCCTCCTTTTCCACTTTTCAGAAAATGAAGGCGATTCACGCCAACAACCCCATCAAATTATGAAAAATGTTTAGCATCAAGAAACATGTCTCCTTTGCCAGTTCACAAAAAAAAAGTCCCTGTTCTCATTCACGCCAACAACCCCATTGCTGAATTATTAATCATCCTTCACTATACTGACGAGGTCTGGCCCTCTGCTCCTTCGATCCTCCCCTCTGACCCTTACAATCGGGCCATGGCTCGATTTTGGGCTGCGTATGCTGACAAAAAGGCAACCATTTCAATTCTGATTCCAATTATAAGAATCGCCCGCCTCAATTGGGTTTTCTTATTTGGATGTTTTATTCCGAAGCAATTGGTGAAATTTATTGATACACACCATCTAGTTGAAGTGTCTTGAAGTCGGCGAATATCACGAAGCAGCGAACGCGATTCACCGCCGGACTGCTGGTTGAGCTTCTCGGAGCCTACAAAGGCAGACGAGAATGAGATGGCGTGAACAATGGGGTGATTAGTCGTGAAAGATAGGGATTGGGGACATTTTTCTTTTATAATTATTGTTTTTTTTTAAATCTTAAAACGTTTGGAATTTGAACCGACCCAAATTTGAACCAATTGCACAATTCAACATTATTTGTCACATGATACGTCACTGTTAAATCTAACCCAATTTTTAACGGCAGAGACTTATTGTTATCAATTTTAAAATACAGAGACTAAATCGTTATCTTTGAAAATTCAGGACTAAATCGTTACATTCATCAAAGTTCAGGGACCAAATGTATTTTTTAACCTTTTATTTATTATTACATTCGTAGATTTGTCCTAAATTTGGGCATGTACATTCTTTTGACACGATTTTTTAATGTTTTTGTTGGTTTTTTTTTCTTTTTTAAATACAACATATAAGGATGAGAAAACTCACAGATTGGAGATATATGTCAATTACCGCTGGTTCGCCTTGACAAATATTTTGTTAGTTAAATGTTGTATATTGTTTGGTTGATTCATAGAATATTTATAATTTTTCATTTTAATACAACACTTAGTTAAAATTAAGTTTACTTTTAAAATTAACTCGCCCACCTAAGTATAAGGAAAATTCCTTTTTTTTTTAATTATGCTTTTAACATTTACCAACAATTTTTAAAACATTTTTTAAATGTCCAAATGAAAAAGGAAAAACAGAAGTTAAAAGTTTTTTTTCGGAGGAAAGAAGTTATTTTAGTCTATAAAATTAGACCATATCTATTATTTATTAAGTCATTTTAAATTTTAGAACAAAAATTCACTCACTAGATTTTTCCCCTCTTTTTATTTTATTATTATTATTATTTTTTACTTCACTCACTAATCACCGCTATGAAGTTTAGGGGAAGAAGGGACTCTAACTGTTGAAAGACACCTAAATTATTAATAAGGAAACGTACAAAAACCAAAAGGCGATGTCCAAAGAATTTTTATCTTTTTATATTAAAAAAGGTAAATGAAGAAATAATTGAATTGAATAATTACCAATTGAAATTCCTCCTTCAATTATTGAAATTTGGCTTGGGAGTGTCTCGAGAATTCAAAAGCAAATGTTCTTAGTAACTTTTTACTATGCCTTATTCTTATGCATCTAACTATCCACTGCTAAAAAATTAAGAACATAAAAATAACTACTAATATGATATTTCGCACGAGATAACTGTTATTCAAATGTAATTGAGTGTGTAGACAAGTACATTGTTGAGAGAAAATACTTCTTTATTGATAGGTCAGGTCAGCTATAACCAACATTAAAATTTTTAAAGCGTTAGAGAAAAATGTAAAATAAGAAGTTAAGAAATAACTATCAATTTTTCAGCAGGGGTCATAAATATAATAGGTAGTTAAACATTATTGTCTATCGGAATGTTAAAAAAAAAATATTTATCTCCTTGTCAATGCAATACAACCAGTCAATATTAAAAGAATTATAATATTTTGAAAAGAAAATAAGGTAAATTTTGATTTTGAAAATACTAACTTGCTTAGTGGTTATAAATCCTTTTTGACGAGGAATACGAAAGAATGAGAGATGATACGATCCTAATTGACAACAATATCTCACCGTACAACACCAATAATAGAATGAATTCAGCTGTTGATACGACCTATGCGGACGAGAATCTACCAAATAATTTCCAGTGTCGTTTTTTGATGATTTAGTCTCAGTCGTCTCATCTCTTTCATTTGAAATGCTTACTCCTCTGCTTTGCTCCTTCTCTCATCGCCTGCCCAAATAATCCTCCGCCATGGCAAGCATTCTGCACGTAATTTCGCCCTGTTGCTGCCCAAATTCTGTGCCCAAAGTGCTTCCTGTGGAAGAACTCAAACCAGAAAGGCCAACAAAAAAGGTAAAATAATCAATTGTGCCGAAAATGGGTCTACAAAATTAAGGCCTAATTTACACTTGGGATTTGATTGGTGCAGGCGTCGAGCACAAGCAGCATTGTTAATAACAATAAGGACAGGCTATTAAACTACGTCCCAGTTTACGTCATGCTTCCAGTAAGTGACGAGTAAATTTTAATTCCTGTGTTGTTTGTTGTAAATATTAATCCATGCACAACTGAGCGACTGAGAGATGGAGGCCTGCTAAAAATGGCTTTAGGGTTCACCAAAAACAAACAGGGTAGGAAACAGAGGCACACCCTAGGATTGAGCTTTCTTTCCTCCTCGAGATAATTACAAGGATATAACTGTAAAATGAAAATATTTACCTTAATTTATTGATGATAAGGACCAAATCTTAATTTCATTTGACAATTTGTTAATTTTTATTAAAATATTTATTTTTGTATTTCTCTCTCTTAATTGGGTGATAAAGATTGTAGAATGATTTAGAAAATAGGAAGATATTTGGCTTTTAATGGTAAGGAATAATATTGTCTCTACCCACCACTAAATATAGAAAGAAAAACAAATACGTTTTATAAAAATTAATAAGTTTGTCAATTTTTTAGTTGCAGTGAAAACAAAATTTATACTTCAGAAACCAAGTATATTTTAAAAAATAATCCTTGAACTTGAATTAATATATTTGATAAATCTCTAAAATTATAAAATTTTGTCTTTTTATGTAACTTTCAATTTTATGGTCAACCTTTGATATTTCATACTAATTACGCAAGGAATTGAAAAGTCTGAATGATATCATATACAAAAATTGATTTAATATCCAATAAATTTGTGAATTTTAAAAGATTCAAATGGATTAATCACTTATTAAATACAAAATTAAAAATTTTAGAAATCAATTAAACAACTAAACTTGTGATTAGTAATCAGCCCAATTTTTTATTTAACAAAAATGTTTAGAACAAAGCAACCAAAAAGCTCATAATTTTTCATCTTCTTGAATTTTGATGAAACGTGTTACAGCTGGGAGTTGTGAGCAGCGATAACGAAGTGATAGACGGCGAAGGGCTGAGGCAACAGCTGAGAAAGCTGCGAGCCGCCGGAGTGGACGGCGTGATGACGGACGTGTGGTGGGGAATTGTGGAATCCAAAGGGCCAAAGCAGTACAATTGGAAGGGATACCGGAGCCTGTTTCAGATACTCCATGAATGCGATCTCAAAGTCCAAGCAATAATGTCGTTCCACCAGTGCGGCGGGAACGTCGGCGATGAGGTTTACATTCCGATCCCGCCGTGGGTTCTTGAGATCGGAGGATCAAATCCTGATATCTTCTATACCGACCGCTCCGGCAACCGGAACAAGGAGTATCTCTCTCTCGGTGTCGATAACCGCCCACTCTTCCACAGCCGAACCGCCGTTCAGGTTTCACTTCTCTTTCTCTTTTGGCCGACTAAACTGTAATGTAATCTTTAGTCATGTTATAAATTTTTGTTAATATTGAAAGACTTTATAGTTTAATATACGACTTTGGCTGTCAATCGAATATCTATACTCCCGTATTTAAACTTTTAAACTATTTTTACATATTTTTTTATTTCAAATAACTTTTTAAATGGTAAAAAAGTTATTGGTTTTGGTCACTAAATTTTTAAATTTATTTCATTTTTAACTCATATGAATTCTTATTTTTGATCCCTGAAATCTTATAGGTTAGTCTCTAAATCTAACAAATAAATATTTTAACTCTTACATTTATATTTATTTTAAGGAATAAATATGATTTTTATATAGAGTTATTTATTAAGTACTAATATACCAACATTTTATCTAACGTTGGATTTAGAGTCAAGTAATTTAATAGAAATGTAAGTTTTTATTTGATGAGTGATATATCTTTTTCATCGAATTAAAACATTCTGCTAAACACTGAATTAATATATGTAACAAAATTAAACTTGAAATTCAAAGGATATCTAACACTAGGCTGCATGATTATTCAGATGTACAGGGACTTCATGAGCAGCTTCAAAGAGAATATGGCAGAATTTATAGCAAAAGGAGTTATAATAGACATAGAAGTTGGACTTGGCCCTGCAGGGGAGCTAAGATATCCTTCATATCCACAGAGTCTGGGATGGGTTTTTCCCGGCATTGGAGAATTCCAGGTCCGTAAACTAAACTAAATTTAAAGTCGATGGGTGACGGTAAATTTAATTTTCTTTTAAACGCTTCAGTGTTACGACAAGTATTTACGCGAGGAGTTCAACGAGGCTGCAACAGCAGAAGGATATCCAGAATGGGAACTGCCAAATAATGCAGGAACATACAATGACACACCAGAATCCACACAGTTCTTCAAATCAAATGGCACTTTTCAATCAAATAAAGGCAAGTTCTTCTTGACTTGGTATTCTAACAAGTTGTTGAAGCATGGAGATCAGATTCTTGATGAAGCCAACCAAGTTTTTGTGGGCTGCAAACTCAATTTAGCCATCAAGGTAAAGAGTTCTATGTTCAGCAAGGATTGGAGTTAAAAATTTTGAACAGTGCTAAAAAAAATATACATTTGACTCCCTTAACGGTGAGAATCAAATCTTGTCCTAATCACCATCTTTACGGTTAAGAAGCTAAGTATTTTTTGATAAAAAATTGATGTTTTGGGCATTAAAACAGGTGTCTGGCATTCACTGGTGGTACCGAGAGGAAAATCATGCTGCAGAACTTACTGCAGGATACTACAACTTGAAAACTAGAGATGGGTATCGACCAATTTCAAGGATGCTATCAAGGCACCATGCAGTCTTGAACTTCACATGTCTGGAGATGAGGGATTTTAAACAGAGTGAGCAAGCCAAGAGTGCACCAGAGGAACTCGTTCAACAGGTAAAATTCACACCACTTGAACGAAACAATAATGCGTATTGAACACATTAGTGAGAGGTAGTGTTAAGAACTTGGTATCATTCTTAATTACCGTAACTTATAATTTTACTGACTTAAATTTTTGGGTTGGATGGTATAATAGGTTTTGAGTGGAGGGTGGAGAGAAGGCCTAAAAGTAGCGGGAGAGAATGCATTGTCAAGATACGATGCTGCAGCTTACAACCAAATGCTTCTCAATGCCAGACCAAATGGTATGGACAAAAATAGCGAACCAAAGCTTAGGATGTTTGGAGTGACGTATCTTCGGCTCTCTAACGAGTTGTTTGCTAAGAAAAATTTCAAAATATTCAAGAAATTCGTTAAGAAGATGCACGCCAAACAGGTAACAAACAGAGACGATCTTCCATATACAAATTAATTTTTTTTTTACCTTGAATTAGATGTTAGTTACGTTGTTTATAGAAGTACAAGTTATTTCATTTATAAAGAAACAAGAATGTTACCAAGTAACTTCAACCATTTTTTGACTTCATTGACGTGATTTAGACATAGAGAATGATCATTCTCGCATCATACTGATCGAATGGTTTGTTTGGTTTTGTTGAAGGATTATCGACCCGATCCTAGTGACTACAACCGCCCTCTGGTTCCGTTGAATCGCTCTGGACCAGAGATTCCAATAGAAGTGCTTTTAGAAGCAACCAAACCGATGGAGCCGTTTGTTTGGGATCAGGAAACTGATATACCAGTGTAATCGTATGGTGCTTTAATTTTGTGGAGTTCATGAACAGAGTCTTTAACGCAAGTAATTGAGGCCAACAGGTTTCTGTGTTTATGTAATGGCCATACAATCTATCAATAAAGGGAACCGAAACTAAAATGTTTAATCATAGTTCCTAATGTTTAAAACCACTTTATATAATTACTAATATTATAATATTTTTTTAGTCCCTTGTTGGTGGATAAATGTTTAAATGGGCTAAAAAATTTATAATCACATAATATTCAGTAAAGTGAAGAAAGTTTTGTAGGAAAAATATCAAAGGATAGAAGAAAATTTATATTTCATCGTTCAAATTACTAAATAATTGGTAGAAATTTTAAATTTTTTTTTTAATATTGATAATCTTTTTTACCATCTAAATTTCTGCAAATTTACTAAATATTATGTAAATAGGTGACTAAATTAAAAAAATATTAGAATATAAAAAACTAAATTGAAACTTCCTAAACAATTTTGAAAAACTCAAATTAGGAGCCAAAAGGTGTATCTACCCCATTTTTATTAGGTGATTTTTAATGATTTTTAAAAGGATAAAAATGCTTTCCCACCTATTAATATATATATTAAATAGTACGGTGTTAATTATATAGTCAGAGTGATTTTGAAAATGTTAAAAATTCTTAATTTATTTTATGTTCTTTAACAAGTACAAGGTACCTTAATCAATTAACATACACTATGTTAATAGTTAATAATATATTATTATTATTATTATTACTTTCTAATACAATACATGAGGTGGAAAATTTAATTCACAACCTTTTGGTTGGAGATTATGTCAATTATCGAACTATGCTCGTTTTGACACCAATATATTATTTTACTTTATGATTATAATAATAAAAAGTTGAGTTGTTAGTTCGAACATAATTTATTAGATTAAATATTTATTACCATCAATCGGTCGATAATTCAATCTCACAAAATAAAAAATTAAGTTTCCTACTCTATGATAAGTGGCAACTGCAACAAAAAATAATTTAGTATTAAATTTGATCTATTAATTCCTAAAAAAAAGATCTATTAATTTACAGAAAACGTATTTTCTCAACAAAAAAAATTACAGAAAACGTAGATACTAATAATAACTGAAAAGGTGTTTAAAGAAAAATAATAATAATAACTGGAAAGGAAAAGTTTATAAAATAATTTACAATTCATAGCTGGTGCAGTGGGACCAAAGTGGGTGACGATAATGTTATTTAAATTTTGGAAAAAGGTGAAAATTAGAAAAATAAATAAAAAGTTGAAAAATAAATCAAAACATGGAGAAGCGGGGTATCGATCCCCGTACCTCTCGCATGCTAAGCGAGCGCTCTACCATCTGAGCTACATCCCCTCGTTGAAACAGCAACCATAATTAATTATAATAATAAACCTTTTAATTATTGACGTGCGTGAATTATGCTGTCATTCCCGCCACGTATTTTTGTCACTTTTTGTCACTTTGGGAATAAAATACGTCGAACCAATAAGGACATGCCACGTCAAAAATACCCCAAGGCGTGAAAAACCCTACTCCAATACACTATAAATTTCTGACGCCGGCTCTTCCGAAGCGAAACCTACTCTTTTCTATTCGCTTCTAATGGCACCGAAGCGGCTCGTCGAAGATCTGCCATCCGCTGCTCGCTTCTCCGATGCCGAAGAAGAGGAATCCGATTTCGAGACTCTCGAAGAAGATCCAGAAATCGATAATGTGACGCCAAATTCTGAGGATGAGAACGAAGAAGACACCCCCGAGGAGGAAGAAGAAGAAGAACAGCAACCAATCCCTTCTCCCATCTTTTCCAAACAAGAAAATTCCTTCGATAAAGATTCTGGGTTCGTTTCAGATTCCGATTCTGAGAAAACCCAATCCTCCCCAAGCGCTTCCGCTTTCACCATCAAACCGATTCTCCGCAAATCCCCATGCGGTTCTTCGAAACCTAGAAAAAGTTCCCACAAATCGAATTTGGATTCCGCGACTGTGGCGCCCAGTTCCGGCTCGAAGCGCCCAATCGAGAGCAAATTTCACGGGACAGAGTCGAATAATAAGAAGAAGAAGGTAATGCATGGGGAAGATGAAGAAGGAAAGAAGGTCTCTGGCTCTGGAATTAACAGGCTCTGGAGCGAGGACGACGAGATCTCCATATTACAGGGCATGATCGATTATCAATCGGCAAAGGGATCGGACCCGTATAGCGATATGAGCCTGTTTCTCGAATCCATCAAGAAGAATCTAAGCGTGGACGTATCCAAGAACCAATTGATCGATAAGGTTAGGAGGTTGAAGAAGAAGTACAAGAACAACTTGGAGAAGGGCCGAAATGGGGACGACCCAGTACTTCTGAAACCCCATGAGCAGAAATCCTTTGTGCTGTCGAAGAAAATCTGGGGTAATGAGGCGAAGAAGAAGCCAAGGAAACAGAGTGTGAAAGCTAGCAATTCAGTGTCTATAAGCTCGCCGAGAGTGGATGTGGAAGCAGCAAAGAAAGATCAGACTGTGAATGTGGAGAGTAAGATTTTGCCAGAGGAGTTTCTGTCTGATTATCCATGGCTGAAGGCATCTTTTCAGATGGAGAATGATAAGTTCTGCTCAGAGGGGCTAATGCGCCTTGTTAAGGAGAGAATGCCTTCAATTGGGAGTGAGAAGGCAAAGGAATTGGATGATAAATGGAGGAAGCTGGGAGAGGGAGAACTGGAATTGTACCTGAAGAAGGTTGAATTAGTTAGGGAACAATGTAAACTAATATTGGATTCAATGGGGAAGGCAAGGAGCTAGAGCTAGTTAAGGTAATTAATATTTTCTTGGGAAAGTTTTTTTTTTGGTTCTGAAATTCTTTTGAATATGAGCATTTTGGAGTGTACTTGTCCCACAATGGCAGAGAAACTGGTACACTTTTAATGGGTGGTGGCTAGAAATAGTTGCTTTTTCTGTATTTTCTGAATTACAATATATAATAGATGATATTCCTTTTTGGCGTTTTTACACATCTCTTTGTTTCTTCAGCTTCATTCTGGTCTTTTCTGGTTGCAAGTTTGGCCCATTAGAAGCAAATGAAAGGAGAAGTAGCCACCACTCACTCAACCACGAAGAAAATGTTTATAACATTTGAGTTAATTTTACTAATGTCTAGAATTTTTGTTATTTAATATTTCTGTTGATACAAGAGAACCAGAAGTTGCTTTACTAATGGTGTATTATCTCTGCAAGAAGATTTGCATTGAAAATGGCAGGGGTTTTTAGATTAGAACTCTTGCAGAGTTTTAACTCACCCCATAATATCCTATTTCTTCTCTTCCTCTTCATGAATATAATGAAGCTTTTGGTTTAATTTCATTACCCAGAAGTTTTTGCTGGTGTATTCTAGAAGAGATCTAAACTTTTTTTATTTTAAGTTCAACATGACCGAGTATATATGCCTTTACGGTTTGATGCAATAAATTTTCGTGTACAAGGAGATATTTGATTTGTTCTTATTCTATATTCTTTTGGATCTCCAATAATTCATTAAAAAATTGATCAATCATTATTTACAAGTTGTTTATCATTTTCTACATAAAATTTTTTCTCAGGCCTTTTCCTTTTCTTCTCTCTCTCTCTCTCTTTTTAATACTTTGAGGATTTCTTGCTCTTATGAAGTCTGACTCTTTACACAAATTTTAACAGTAATTTGTTTGATTAATGATAGATGGTTTACAAAACCAGGGTTCTGAAAAGATGAAAACTGTTGATTCAGCTTCATCATCAACTGAATCATGGTATGAGTCAAATCAACTATGATGAAGTTTCAAGATCAAAACTAGATGAATATTTTCTAATATAAAAAGCTAGTGAACTCAAAGTAAATGGTTGTATTAAAACTAATGAAAAATCTGTTGGTGTGGGTGATTCCCCAGTTGAACTTTTTTCACATAAGCAATAATATTTGTCTCTAACACAATCTATTATGGTTCAGACTGGCTACAACAAATCTGCAGTTTCTACAGTTCTTAAGCATAGCTATGCATTGAAATCAAGAAAATCAACGATTAGCACACAGTTCCAACAGACAAGTTCAAAGATAAAAAGCAGAGAAAATATTGCTCAAACAAACTTCAATCTGAAAATTTTCAAGTTCCTTCGATAACACAATGTTCAATTTATATTGTAATAATTTAACCTGATGTAGCATAACAATTGACCTGCTCAATATGGGTGTTGCTCTCGACAAATTCTGGCCACAAGGACAGTAAATGATCACACGCAATGGAAAAGCAATTAATCGCAGGCAGAAAATTGTCTCCTGAAAAGGATCTCCATTGATTACTGAAATAACATTTTGTACCACATTTTCTGAATCACTAACACTAAGGTAGCTGTTCTTTGTACTTTCAGCTAAAAAGCATTTCCCAACATTCCAATTCGTGACTACAAAAAACCGTTCCTCAAAAAGCAAAAAGAGGGGGACTGCATATTCTTATCACACTTTGTGATGACCTAAAAAGTAAACACATGAAAGAGATAAAGTTGTAGTACCGTACTGAACCACCAGCGGCGGAGCTTGATCGGAAACTAGGGTTTCGGGAGAAACGTCGACATCTGCTGTAGCAGAGCCCTTTTCTCCGCGATCTTCTGGATAAGCCCCAACTGCTCCGCCGAGAAAACACAAAAACTCTGCGAACAAAGCATCGTCTGAGCCACCGGAGAGTTAACCAGTACTTGCAAAAGTTGGTTTCTGTTCAGCCTCTCTAATCCACCAAACGCACCGCTGTTGGACACCGAGTTGTAATTATTCGAACCGGTAGAAATGGCCGATTCACAGGGCATGGATTGAAGGGCGAGGAGTTGCGCCTGAAGGAACTTCACGTATTTATAGGCTTCTTCAAGCATCGTGGCGATATCCATCTTTTTGTCCCACGGCAGTAGCTTCTGCAAGCAACGCGTCCTGTCGCTCAGCTTTTGGCGCCGCTGTCGAGCCAAAGCGCTACGAGGAAATTGAACGGCGGGAGCCACGGCGGCGGAAGTGGTAAAATCCGGCAAGGGTTTATACTGGTACGGCAGAAGAAAGTTCTGGAAACTCTCGCAGCCTCGCACCATCGGCTCCAACGTTTGCAACGGATTCAATCCAGAATCAACTCGAGCACGCTTGTTAAACGACGACGACATCAACGGAGACAACGAAGACGACGAAGATTGCTCCAACGAACGCAGATCCGGCAAGTGAGGAAACGACGTCGAATCATGGAAAACGAAGACGGATTCAGTCTCCTCTGTTTCATACACATTGTTCATCGGCTCGGTTTTAGGCAACTTGAAAAAGGCGTCGGAAGAGGCCGTGCTCTCAGAGACGAAGTTGGAGCTCGCCGGAGGATATAACGACGTAGAATCGGGGAGAGAGATAGCATCCGCAACATAACCTCCAAACAGAGACGGCAGAAATGGATGGTTGTGGTTCACGGCGAGAAATGACTGGAGACTAACGCCGGAAAACATGGCGTTGAAGCAAGCATCATCCCAGACCTCCTCACAAACAGTCTTGGCCGGGAAATGAACACGAGCGGAGAAATCGTCGCCGGCGGAACTCTCCATCGTGCATAAAACCAGAGAAGGAGGGAGAGATTGTGTAATATATATACTTGCAGATTAAGTAATGGTGAGGAAGAAGACAAAGAAAACACAGAGGCGATGATGATTGGGGCCGTACAAGGAAGGAGGGCGTTACCGACAGGTGTAGGTGGCAGAGGGGGGCTGTACAGCTTCTTCCGGTACGCTTTTGTCTTATTATCTTCCGCCGTTTCAAATAATCGGACCGGACGGGGAGAGTAACCAACTTCTTTTTCTTTCTGCCTTTTAAATTTTAATTTAAAATTTATTTTTTGGTTTTGGTTTTGGGGAGGGCGTGTGCCCGGCACGTGGCGGAATCTTTCAAGTACAATATGGTTGCGAAATGCAGGTCCAGGTTCGAATTGACGGATTTAGCCTCGACGGGAGGGTTCGGGTTGACCCTTGTGGAAGGGTGATGCTGTAATTTCGAGAGCAGACAATTCTGAAGCTGGAACGCGTCATGCGTAAAGGGATCATGGATGGTAAAAGAGCAAAGACGAATATACTTTCGAAATATTTTTTATTTCGAAAATTAAATCTTTGATATTAACCATTTACATTTTGTGTTGAAAATATTAATAGCCCAAGTATTTATGCTTCTAATCTGTATTTTAAAATAATTACAAATTTAGTCTCTAAATTTTTAAGTGAGTATTTAAAAAATCCCTAAAACATCTAATAAATGCTTGATTATGCACCATCCTGATTTAAACAACATTTTGCTTCAACTAAAATGTATTTGGAGATTAATATTTTAGACAAAACTCCAAAAAGTAGTATTATTCAAGAGGCTATAAACCGTTTGAAAATATTTTTAATTAACTAAAAACATGTTTTACCATTACAAAATTCTTAGGGTATGGTCCACGGAGGAGCATAATTCCCACCAATGATGCAGATTTTTGCACTAAAAATACAGAGAGACAGGCTAAACCATTTTGAACTATTTCTTCTACTTTCATTTCTCCAATTAGAGGGAATAATAATGATTTACTGACCAAATATGAATTACAAATAACGAAAAGAAGATGTGAGGGTAAGAGTAAAAAAAAAAAAAACTGTACACAAGAATTGGAAGGAAGCTACACTAGTAATGATGCTGACTCTGGAATGATGGCCAACCCCCCCAACTATTTTGGGCAGCGGTGAACTAAAAATGGAGAAATCATTCCAAAACAATATACAGAGGCTTGGCTAATGATCCTACCTAGTCCTACAAAAGTTTACCGATCCCACATGCCCTGAAATATGGGAGTTCTGTGTTTTAGCCAATGCACCAAATCCTTCTCTAGAGGCGAGTTGTTCAAGACCGTGTCGAGCATTGGACTGCCAATGACTTGGGGGGAGCTCTTGAATGACCATATCCGATCCTTTGGCCACGGTCTCTGCGGCTGCTTCTCCTGATCAAACCGAGAGAACATTGAAAATGTTATAAAAACACGGTAGAGAAGTCTGAAACAACTGGCATTGATTTGAGAATGGAGACTCACCATTCTTGACAGCATAAATTTAACAGTCTTTGGGCCATAGACACGCTGCCGTGAAGGCTTCTGATGAACTTTGGCATAGAAGGAGCTTATCTCTGGCAAAGACAAGCAACCCCTGCTGGCCTTAGCCAGGCTACAATCTGGATCGATGTTTTGCTGGTTATGCCAAAAAATTAGCTGCCCTAAGCAATAATTCTGACCATACGTCTTGCAGTACTCTTGAAAACCTGTCCCTAACTTGTCAAAATACTTGGGACCCAAGTCAAGTGAACTAATGTAAACTGGTGGGGAAGTTACAGCTTTGTATTCCTACAAGTAAAACCAAACATTGCCTTAGTGTCGAGCTTAAACGATGGGAATCGAAATTGAAACCTGCACAATTATATAAGTCAGTACCTGTATTCTAAAAAAATTCTTAGTAAAAGCATAAATATGAATCAAATCTGCAGCAGCATCGTTACGGGACTTGTATGTACATGGAATGTTACGGACTTCATCTCTCAACCTACACAGAAGAAACGAAATGAACTTCAAATAAACGTTCGATTTTATTGGGGTTTTAAGCATGGGCATACGAAGCTACTCACCACAATAGAGATTGTTGAAGTTCCTTTCGAATGTCATCAGAGCCTGATGGATCATGGGCACGGATCTTGGACTTGAGATCACTTATCAAGTCTTCTTCAACATATGAATCCATGCTCTGAAGCAACTCCTCGACAAGTGATCCCTCTCCCTTCCATAGATAGGATACAGTTTCTTCAGGAGTAAGCTTCTTTAATGGAGGTGGAGCATTCTTTGGGTCTCCAAAAATGCATCTCATCACATATCTCACCTTCAGATATAATTTAAAAGAATTCTTAAGATGGATAAATATTAAGTTTCTAATTCTTAAAATAAAAGGAAAGGAAAAGACTTCTCTGGCCTTATAGGGAAGAAAAACACTAGTCACAAAAACCTTATCTTATACCAAATATCACACACGCCACAAAAACCTCACTTTAAAAATAAGTCTCCTGACAAACAAGGAAATGTGGAACAGAAAGTAACAATCTATCCTGATTTCTGAACCAACCCAATAACATATACTTGACAAACAGGACACAACAAGATGAGAAGTTACTTTTGCAGGCAAGAGAAGGTAATTCACCTTGTCGAGAGTAACAGCCAAATTATATAGCCTTTGGTTGTTAACACCTTCAGCCTGTCAAGGGCATAAAAGCAATGAATATCAAAGAAAAGCTTATGCATTTCAACCAAAAGAATATGCATGCAATATTTATATTACCTGTACTTCAGCATCACTCTTCTCAACATCAAGACAAATTTCTGAAAAGTATTTCCTTTTCTCTTCTAGATTGTGCGCCAGAATCTCCTCAGGAAGCTTTGTCCTTTCAAAATTAATGAACCTCACCTGAAAGCAAAGTCCAAGTGTCGTGAAAATATAAATATATGTACACACACATAGACGCAAGCATAAAGGCACACTTAGAAAAGACACTTACCACACGAGCTGAATATGCAACCAACCAATCAGGCAGCCCCTCGAGCAAACAACTGCCTAATCCAGCCCTGGACAAGTCAAGATAATCCTCTTCTGACACTGAATTTAATTCACAGGCTTCTAGCATCAACTGATGACAATCAAGAAGGCCATGCCACTCCTCCAGTACCTGGTGGAAAGACAACTAGGCCTATTTAACAAGTAGGAGACTAAGGCCACACAAATAATTAATAAGACAGACAAAACAACAGTGACAACCAAAATATCCATAAGTTTGCTGAAAACATGAAACCCACAAATCTTTTGGCACGTGAGCCAGACATTATTAAAACCAAGGATGTGCACCATGTCTTTCCTAGAAATATTACCTTTTGAAAGGCCCCATCACCGGTCAAATTCAAGTAGCTACCTCGGCAAACATGGCTTCCACATAAACAGACTGATGCTTCGTATTCTTCCTTACTCTGCAGTCAAATGAAGAGTAATATAAGAGGAAACAAACACCCCCAGAGACTGACCTCTATCAGGAAACCATTGCAAAGAGACATACCTCTGTAACAGAATTATAATCGAAAGTGATCTCCTCACCGTACTGTATTTTGCGTAAGGTATAAATTCCAATCTGGTAATGACCATCTACAGCAGTAACTCTGCATTTTAAAACATCATGTTGAATTATCTATGTTTCGTGAAAACCTGGGGAATATTATAGCAAGGCAACTATCACAAAGAAAAAATACACAAATAGAGTAGATAATTATTGGGCAAGGTTCATTATTCGGCAATTGATTTCAAGTAATGGCCATGATTATTTTTTGGGGTAAGCAACTAATTTTATCTAAATAACGAAATATGCAAACAGAAGAACCCCAAAGAAGGAATCCACAAGAATTGTAAAAAGAACCTCACTTGGCATGGGTAAAGCTTATATGCCAAAAAGATAACAACAAATATGGTAAACTCAAAGTGCTGAACCATTTAAACATGATCCTTCGAAGAATAACCCTTCTAAACTATTGAAAGCTAGAGAATTTAAAAGGAAAAAAAAAAAAACATGTTTTTAAAAGAACTTACTTTGCTTCACAATTAGGTCGGCAAGAATGGCAAATTCGGCTTGCATAGTTTGCCTTGTGCATGGCATCAACTACCACTAAATCATATCCATCACCATCACCCTACCAGAGAGAGGAGATTGAATAAACAAACATAACGAAACACAAGGAATTAAGAAAACAAAATTATATATACTGAAACATACATATAAAATATATATATATACAACACAGTTAAGTAAGAGAACCTTTGGTCTTTCTAAATTGATATTATAAAATTCAGGAGCTGGGTCCTTGTCATTTTTCTGTAAAGACCGGATTCCATCCTGCTTCTCGTACCATTTCCAAACAGGATAAACCTATTAAAATAGGGATGATAAACATGTAAGTAGTAGCACATGTATGTGAATTTCATTCCAAAGAACCTAGCAAGAACACAAAATTAAGACAACTACTTCCAAAAGAGAACCTAGCAAGAACACAAAATTAAGACAACTACTTCCAAAAGTGGAAAATGTAGATATTAAGGACCCAAGATTACTATCTGGAAACTTGATTAATTGCAATCCCAATCAATACATAAAAATAATGACATAAATAAGCATATACATTTTGAAGAGATGCGGCAATGTCTCTTGATCACTGTAAACGCACTAAAATCTCAACAATATTTCAGTGGATGTGCGGAACTAATATAAACTTAGTGACCATATTGATTTACATTAGATTTATATCTAAAGTCCTCAACCAAAATCCCAAGGAGAATTACAGGCATACCTCTCCCAAAAATTCAACAACGAAATCATCTTCTGTAAAACCTTCTTGTTTGTTGCATACAACACCCAGCCCCTAATTACACCAATAGACAAACAAAATAATAATTAGCATCAGAAAAATTGAAAACAGGTCGTGGAATATAAATTTAAGAAGTTCATAAGATGGTGAGTGCATACCTTCCTGTAGGCAACATATTTGTCTTCTGGACGACTATGTATAGCCTTCAAGATACCTTGACACAGCCTCATTGTTCGGATATCACATTCTTCTGCAGCAACCTTCTCAATTTCTTCAACAACGGGCTGTAAAGGATACACCATGGGAGTGCTTCCAGTGCCAGTGAAATGTATGGCCTGCTTATTGAGAGTGCGAAGTAGCACATCTTCAATAAACAAATGTCTATCCATAAGAGGCCAATCCAATTCTTCAGGCACTGAGTCAAGCAAAAGATTGTGTGTATAAGGATCAATTCCATAAACTTCCTGCTCTATGACTTCCTCTCCAATTTTCTTTCGGGGCTTGTAGTCCTTTACTTCAGGAAGTCCCATATCTAACTCCTCGGCACCATTTTTCTGAGCATTTAATTTCTCAACATAGTCATCTGGTAAAGATACCCTCATCTTACGCCGCACTTCCTCCTCGTCTGCTATGACAACATATTCGTCAATCAGCTCATACTTCCTTGTGACAGGAGGAACAAGGCTTGCTTTTGTCATGCGGGCACCCCATTCACGTTCATCCATAGTAGAATCAAATGCCTCTTCAAGAATAAAGCATTTGTCTCCTCTTGATTCCCCAAGTCGACCTGACGAAAACTCCCTGTCACTTTCTGTATCTGATACACTATTCTCACTGTCACTCTTGCCTTCTCCAGAAGACCTATCAAAATCGTCAGATGTTTCACTCTCAGATCCAATTGACTTTTTATTCAATCTGGATAAACGCCTCCTGATTTCTCGATCAGATGCATACTCTCCATGATCTGAAACACCATTTGCAAAGATGGAGCCATTGCTCCTATTCGTGTATTTCCTCTCAGTAGCTAATTTACTGAGCCGCCTTTTGTACTTTGAAGCAGCAGAAGGACCAAGTCTTGAAGATGAATCATCTTCCCAAGAGTTCACTTCATCCTTCTCGAGACGTAGCTTAGATTTCTTTTCCAAACGGGTTGCAAGTTGAATGAATAGCGTAATAATGTGATTCATATCTCCAGCACCTCGGCTCTTTGCTCTGCAACAACATAAAAGTTGAAATTTCATAACAGAAAATGGATAATCCAAGACCTCAAGCACTGAACGTGAATAACTAAAAGCCTTAGAAACAGAGAGAAAAAAGCATGGGATTATTTAATAGAAAATAAGAACGATTTAATGATTTGTGACAAATGATAGTTACTGGATTCTCAAAACGTCCACAGACAAAAAATTAAACTACCCCAAAACCAGAATACAAAATTTTGCATACAAAACAAGAATTTTACTGCTTGTTTAGAAATGAAATTTAAGAAATGGTTACTGCTGTAGAAATATAAATCATTTAATAGATTTCTATTGAAAAGCAGTTTTCTTAAAAACTAAAGAAAGTAAATAATTGAAATTAAATATTAAAAAGAAAAACTTTGTTATTTTCCAAGTCTAAATAAATTTTTTATGAAAACACACCAAAATGAACCTCAGTTGACCATTTCATCGAATAAAGGTTGTACAAAACACATATTTCCATTCCTTGTAATACATGTTAACCCTTCAAGAGGAATTTGCAATTATTACACAAGGAACTCAAATTAGACCAATACCATGTAAACCTGTCGCAAAATCAGAAAAGGTCAAAAGCTTTCAAATAAAACATACTTTATGGCATCCCTACACATTCGACTGATGTCTTCCTTGACAGAACCAAGGCCCCGCCTGATGTAATAACCATTTCTTATTCTATCCTGAATTTCAGCAACCTGCTCAACATAAAGACATCGGAAACAGTGTTATAAAAATGTCAGAACAAAGAGCAGCTTCTGGTATACTAAAATGAATAAAATGTGTACACGGTACCTTGGGCACAAAGAATTCAAATGTATTGTCCTTCATGATCTCCTTCAGACTGGAAGCAAGAAATTCCACCATCCTCTTGTACCCAACTTCTGATTTCTTAATGGACCATTGTCTCATGCGGGCATCTCTAGAAACAATTGTTGAGGACCTTCTAGCATCAAATACTTTTGATCGCTTGTATAAGCTTCTACGGAATAACTGATTTGCTGACTCTCTCTTATCCACACTCTCAAAATACTCCTTCAGCTCACCAAAATCATCCACGTTAGAACTGAGGCTCTTAATTTTAGAAAGGGAAGAATATTTATCAGTTATATGCTTAAGGCTCCTCATTTTAGAGTGTGTTTCTTCGTTGTTTTTTGCGCCATTTAAACTTCTTTTCACCCAAATTACATTCGGGTACTTAGAGGACAAATCATTGAACTGACTGCAACCTCGAACATCTATAGAGGCTAACTGAGGGAACATGCCAAGAATCTCTTCAAGTACAACTGCAGTAATGTTGATGCAGCCAACTAGAATTATAAAATTGACTTTTTCTTTATTATAAGCACTCTGCAATCACAAACATACAATAAGGTTAATCCGAGATTAAATAGTCAACAACAAAAAACACAAGCCTTAGAAATAATACTTACCATGATGTTCATGAATGTGGAATTTGTACAGTTTGGACCCAAGGATGATAAATCAACCTGTCTAGAGATATCTTTGTAAAACCTAACAGCAGATCTCCAGTGCTTACAAGTTACAGAAGCGAAAGATAGGGATTTTAGGTCAGACTGCAGAAAATGAAAAATTCGGGCCAGAATATGACCATCAAGGAAACCCCAGGAATCCTCCTCCAAACTTGTACACCCTTCTCCATCGAAAGTAGCATCACCACACAAATCCTCAAATGCAATTTCATCCTTTTGATGTTGATGCAACAAATCGTCATCCACTTCATAATCATCTTCACTGTCATCAACCAGCACCCTGGCTCTTTTAGCAGCACGTAAATTGCCATCTGTAGTTCACAAAATCCAGCCACCCCCAATGTGAAATCAGAAAAATGAGCAGTACTCATGAAATAATTGAGGAAAACACTTGTGTAAGGAACAAAAGCCAATTATGCCTAGAAGTCAAGCAATACGATGAGGGAAACAGATGGATGAACCAATGATAAAAGTTTTATGAAAAAGATAATACTAATGGCCACTCAATAACAACTATATGCCACTTAACAAAACTAATCAATTATTGATAATGCTACTCTATTCATCGAACAAACGCTCATAAAGGTGAGGAATAGAAAGATCTACAGCATCCTAAAATGAAAAGAAAAAATAACACATTCAAACTCAAGAATGACTTCATCAGTACCTGATTTCCAGTGCACGGTCTTTTCTATCTCCTTCTTTGGTTGTTTTGCATTGATCCATGGATCTAAGACATCATTTATTGCTGCAGCAAACTCTCGGCTCTTGTAAGATTTCATGACAAATTCATGTAACTTGCCCCGAGTATATCCAACAAACTGAGGATGTAGTTCATGAAACACACTTGAATTAGTAATGAGTCCACCAAGGGAAGTGGCCCCAGATACTGAAACTGGATTTTTTGTTGTTTCACCTAATGATGGAGTTTTCTCCCTCTGAATCTTTCTTACCGATTCAGAACATTCTGCAAGAGATGTAACTGGAACCCACACCCGATCAAATTTCCTGAAAACACTACTATGCTTTTGAATGACACCCCGATCAACTAATAACTGTAGCTCTGAAAATGATGAAGGCCCACATTCATGCCCAGTACCATCAAGGTAATACCAATCACCCAAATGCAACTGCAAGTCATCATATGAGCAAACACGGTCTTTAGGGATGCTAATGGAAGCAGTAGTCTTCAAAGAACTCTCTGAACCAACACCTCTGGCAATTCTTGACTGAGAATCACTATCAGCTGATGATCGCTTCCCATCACTATTTGCAGAGAATGGCCTAGAAGACCTCGAATGTTGCCCCTTACTCCTGACCTTCATGCGAGGCTCAGAGACAAATGAACCATGATCCTTTACCACACAAGCGTTTATCCTGATAACAGGTAGCATAGTTCCTTTTGTTCCCCTTACTGTTAATGCTGGCTTATTTTGAACTGGTCTGGTAATGGAACCACATTCATTCCTATCATCCAGACAGGTAAATGCCCAAGGAGGTAGATCAAGTCGTCTACTTTGGGAAGGATAATACAATTCATCTTTCTGATGCCATCTAGGATCCTCATAACCTGATTTGGACATCTGACAAAGTGGAAAACCATCATTCAGAACGAGCTTCTTACGAGCATTTCTTTCTTGGGCAGATTCATCATTTCTCCTCCAATCACCACCTTTGCAAGACCATGGTCCAGAAGTCAAGTCAGCAGCATCAATGCCAAAGTCCTGGTCAAATGATACACATGTTTTGGAGCCAGCATCATCTGTTGTTGCGAAGTCAGTAAATTCTAAAACATCATCAGTTCTTTGATCGAGCTGTTCATCAACGTGATCTTCGTTTCCAGAGAAACCTGTAAAGATCAAGATTAAAAAGAGGAAGGAGCTGTATTTTCCCCTCACAACCGAGTCCAAGTATCAAAATGATAAATTACTTCTAAAAAGAGAAAAAAGAAAAAACCTCACTGTCACTCCTTTCGTGTGTGATATGTCAGAATACAGTAGAAAACCCTGAGGACTAATTTATCAATTGTCAATTTGCTAGCACAATTGAGTGGTCCTTATCTGAGATTTTTAACAACAGGGTGCGTAAAACTCAACCTATCAAGGATTTTCTTATGTAATTGATGCTAAGACGCTGTTTTGTAGACAAAGGTCAAAGAACAGAAGTTATTACCTCGATGTTGGTTACATGCTAGGAAATTTGATTAGAGAAGCCAGATATTCTGGACATGGTCATGACATGTTTACCTGGTTTCCACAGAGGGTTTTTTTTTCTCTCTCCAAAACGTCACAATTACTCTCCTTTCCTTAAAATGCAACCCTTTTTTAGTACTTTATAATTACACCTTTTTAAACTAATGACAATTGAATAGTATATTTGTCATCTCCCTTAGCTTTTGACTTCTAGCCCTAGACTTTTGGGTTAGGATTTTGGAGGATGTCTTATGTTCCCCACACAATTCTTTTACATTTCATCTCTTTTTTTTTATTTAGCATCCCAAAAATGAACAATGACAAATTCCAGAAAAATTAACTAATACCTTCGGAGATGGCCAATCTTTCCCATTGTTCACCATCAAAAGTCATCTGCAAAACTTCTGCAAGAATATGATGACGGGGAAAGTCAAGAAATCTCCATGACTAAGGCAAGGAAGAATAAAATACAATTTCCTGAAATTTGTGAGGAAGTGTGAAAAAGGTTGGAACAAGTACCTGCAATGGTTTCAAGTTCTCTGCCAGGAATAACAGTAATATCCTCTAACAAAGCGCCAATCCTTTCATCGATGTGAAGATCTCCTAATGGCTCAGAAGTATCCACAACTTCATCAGAACATAAAATTGGTGCACGACTTGGAATTTGATTATGTTCAGAATCACCACTTTGAATGTTTAATTGTCCAGTATCTATGGCATCTGCCAATACATTGCCGGGAGCTTCAGGAGGGCTCACCAGCTGAGTTACAGAGTCTGATACAATGGATGGAAAATTTATGGTTACCAAAGGAGAAACAGCATTCTCGACTGTCACCCATCTATCACTATCCAAGTGCTTGATAAAGTGATCTGGCATCAAAGAACCTTCTTCAACGAGTGCCTTCAGATCATACAGTCTAGTAGGTCCACGTTCCACACCGTAATAATCGAGATAAAACCATTTACCCGTTGATGTATCAGTCAACAAGGGAGCATGTGGCGGGGTGTCACAAATATCCATATCCTCCTCCATAGAAGGCAGCTCTTCAGGAACTCCATCCACATGAGACAGTTCTTTGCAAGCTTGGTTTGGACTCTGAGATTCCTCCCCTTCATAAGACTTGCAGTCAGTAACCATCTCGAGAGATCCATTGGCATGATGCACATTGATCTCATCACAGGATTCTTTTGCTATCACAATGGATTCCCTTCCATCGAGGTCCCTCGGTGTAGTTTTATCTTCCCGAGTTCTACTTCCATTGAGTAAACTGTTCTTTTCACTTCCTTTGCCTTTCCGGCTTGTTTCTCTATGGTTATTGCACCTACTCCTATCAAGAGGTGATCTTTCCAAATAGTTTGGTGTTCGATCTCTACGGCCATGACATCGAGCTCGATCTTGTGGGGACCGCTCTGCATGAGGACTACGATAACGATGGTCATACTGCCGACTCCGATCATATGGTGATTTATCACGACCATATGGTGACTTGTCACGACCATATGGTGATTTTTCACCAATATACGGAGATCTATCTCGATGAGCAGGGCTACGGTCCCTGTGATCATAATACCGGGCTTTGTCACGAGGTGACCTGTCAGAATGACCTGGACTATGCCCATGTCTGTTATAAGCTTCCCGAGAAGAGGTAGAAGAAGATTCATAATGCCTTGAAGAGAACTTATCTGATGAAGATACCCGAGAAGAAGAAGAATTTTTACAAGACCTCTCCAGAGGGCGGCTCGAGTAATGATCAGAGTGGCCAGCTCTATTGGTATCCTCTGAAAGCCTCCTGCTTTTTGAACCAGCATAATCCCCATAATCACCATAATGCTTGCGCTCAAAATTATCTGACTCCAGGCTGTAGCGCTTCAAACGGTTGCTAGAAGAATAATCTTTTCCAAAGTTCTTACCATCGCTATAGTCAGTACGGTGAGTAAGCTCGTCGTTCAAAGCTTTTGAACTATACCTCGAACCTCTGTCTTGGCCACTCTCCCACCTGGACGTACTTTTGCTGTGCTGACTCCCACTTCGATTGAGTTCCTTTCTTCTAGTAACATCATCAGTTGAGTATTTAACAATTGGTGGTGTGGGCTCACGCACACTTTTCCACCCTCTGTCCTTGTCGGACTCGTATCTTCGTGTTCTTGAATAGCGGAAGTCATCCTTCCCAGTATCACCTTTTTCCCATCTGTCTGGAATGAACTCTCCTCTCTCAATTTCATCCTTTGCCAACCTCCGTGATCTATTTTCAGCCTCACTCTTCCTACTCTTCTCTGAAACTATCTCCCCTTTCTCTATATCCCCTCTCCGCCACTTTCCCCGAACGTGCTCTCCTTTTTCAATCTCTGCTTTCCTCCATTTTTCACTGTTTTCAGTTCCACCTCTTCGTGACTTCTCAGGCACAAACTCCCCATTCTCTACTTCTACTCTCGACCACTTCAACGTACCCAATTCACCCTCTTCAACTTCATCTTTCTGTGCATTATCAGCGCCATTTTCAGCATGCCCAACTTCTCTGCTGCTCTTCCCTGGCTTATCCGATCCTGATTCTGTTCTTCCCAATTCTACATCCTTCACTACGAGCTCTTCTTTCTTTACCTTCATCTTCTGCTTCCGTTCTGCCCCACTGAATTTGACTGAAGACTTTGAATTGAACCCATTATTCTTGGCTGCGCAAAGCATTTTCTCTGAAGGAATTGGAAACGTCTCCATAATATGCTGCTGTTGTTGCTGCAAAGGTATGCATGCGACGCCTCCATCGCCCATGGAAATCCCGCCTCTGTCACTGAAACTCAAAACCCTAACTCTCCCCTTCGCCGGGGCTCTCGATGCTCATGCTGCGATGTCTTCGAATCTGTGAATCTTCCTCCAATTCAAGACCCTGTTTTTTCAAAAAAGAAGAAACAACACCAGAGTCAAGCCCAAGCAATGTAGGGTTTAAAAGACGGAATAAAACGAAGAACACGCAAAATTCGCGAAACGAGTATTATCCCCCCGAAGAACAACCCCGCTGCCAATACTAAAACCTATCAATTGAATTCCAAAATATGTAAAAAGAGAAACCCAAAGAACATTAGGAGGGGGGAAATTTTCCCCATAACAAAAAAATTGAACGCAGACTGAATAGATCCGGAAAGAAATTGGAGCTGCGACACACCGTGGAGCGCGCGAGAGAGTGAGTAAGCGAGGTACGGATCAAGAACAACTCAATAAATTACAAGTTCTGAAATCAATCTCTCTCAGAAAATCTCCCTCCCTCTTTTAAACTTGTAAAATCTTCCAATCTTTCTTGCCTTTAAGCGCTATATCTTTGAGTCGCTCTTTGGTTGCGTTCTATGTTGGTCTGAAAGAGGAAGCTTTCTTGTTCTTTTTTTTCCCTTTTTTTTTCCTTTTATTTTCCCTTCAACAATTCCGATCGTTGCCCCTTGGTGAATTTATCGGGGCCGAGGAAGTAAATGGGCGTGAAATTACCCAAAGGGACATGGAGTTTTAGAAGCCAATTTAACGGGCAACTAAACTAGGTTTTTTGACGGAGAAGACGAGTTGACTCGGGGTTTTACGTCTTTTTTATTTTCTTTTTTAAATCCGAATATTTCATTTGTTATTAATATCCATAATTATTGTCCTGATCAAAGTAATCAACTTAATTGTTATTGATAAATAAAAAGAATGATCGAGCTTTCGTCATTTTCATTTTCATGCATTATTATCTGCGTGAAGTTACTGAAATGTCCCTGTACAAGTGGGGCTATGAACAAGATAAATACTTTTATAAATACGTCGTCCTTTTCCGGGGTGGGGAGAGTTGGGCGGAGCGAGGAGCAGGGGTATTTTGGTAAATGTGTATTCGTTTTGGCGCTCAAGTTTTTGGGGGGTTGAAAAAGGAGGGATTCACGAAGTCGTCGTGATTTCGAGCTGGGCTGTGAAATTCGGCCCATATTTCATGAGCATTCCTAATGGGCCTGCCTTATTAAGTCGGAATTGGGCCTAATAATGGGTCCAACGTTGTGAGTCAAATGGTGGGCTCGTATTTGATTCGCTTCGTTTTCTGGGTAATGACCCAACTTTCTCTCTCTGTCTCTTTTGACTAATATGACCCAACATTGTTGGCGTAAAGATTATATTTTAAATTATTATGAATGAAATAAACAAAATAGACGGACAAAATTAGATATTTAAACATGGTAAATACTTGATTGAAAGTTGAATTTGTAATTATCTTATTAAAAATTTATCAAATTTCTTAATATTTTTTAACCCAATTATATTGGCTGATTTACATTTGTAGAACAAATTATGCAATATTTTAGATGGGTTGACTGATTTATTTTTGTTCTGATTTAGGTGTTTGAACATATGCATAGAACGTGGTTTTAAATAAAAATAGTTAAATTTTTGTTTTTTATAAAACAAAATTCAATTTTAATATTTTACTTTTGTTGAATTATACTCGAAATTTTTATAAACAATACTTCATTCTGATTAATTAAATTTTATTATCTTTTCAAATTTGTGACTAATTATTCATGTTACTGTAATTAAACTATACGATTTTTTTTTATTTTTGGTTAAATAATTCAGTTCACCCGAATCAAATAAAAAATATAGCTATAGAAGGTCATATTATTGATATTATAATAACACTTTTTTTTAGTACCAATAATAAAACATTTTAATGTAAAATATAGTAGAATTTAATAAACGTAATATAGAAAATTTTATTGACCATTTTGATTTCACAATTCTTTATTACTTGCTTGCAGTTTTATATATATTTTAATTGCATATTTCCGTTACAATATATCCACAGCGACGACAAAACAGAACGAAACCCTGCATGTCGTTCGGATGAGGGGATTAAAATCTCAGTATATATGTAACAGAAACGCCACTTTCGGTGACGGTTCCGATCTCCTCCGCCAGCAAACGGAAAAAAGAGATTCCGATTTCCGATCATCACAATTCACAACTGAACGACGCCATCAAGACATAAACGGCGCCGGCGAAATCGTCGGCATCGCCACCGGCGTTGAGTTCGTCCTGCAGATTAAATAAACAAATTAAGCTCTAAATTTGTTTTCTTATTTTTTGAATTTTTCCTAATTCGTCAGAGAGTTCAGCTTGATTACCAGTAATCATCTCTGCCGTGATAACTTTGTGACTTGGCGATGGCCCTGGCCCGCCGGCCGGACGCTTTCTTCTCCAGCTTCCTTTCGCCGGATTTATTCACCTGAAACTGCTCGGCGTCAGCGGCATTATTATCCTCCAAAATCGCCGAAAGCGCAGGCCGCCAATGCGCCGCCGGTCCCGACTTCGAACACCGCATTCTCCCAACGCGCTGCTCCTCCACACGGGCACGCGTGATGGGCTCGTCCGCCGGAGCCGTGTCCTGGTAGAGCCGCGGCGCCACTGTCGCCGGGGACCGGCAACAAGAACCGAACCGGGAGAAGAATTTCATATCGCGAAATTGGAACTGAAATTAAGAAGGGGAAATTTCAAGAATGTGATTTGTTGGAGTGGAGCGGGAAAATGGCTGGGATAATGGTGTGTTTGTAGAGGGCATTGGGGAGCAGCGGCTTTTATGGAGGTAGCCCATTGGAATTGCGAAGCCATTTTTGGTGATTAGAACTTCAAACTTGTGGGCGCTAACAATATTTTCAGATTAAACTGCCCACGCTTCTCTCTTCAGTTATAACTTATATTCAATCCCATTGACAGTCTTTCGGTTTTTTGTTCCACGTTTCTTCTGTTAGTGTGGTGTGACTTAAAAAATGATGCATCCTTTGGTTTGGTTGATTGATTATTTCCATCTCTAGTATTTTGATGAACAAATCTCCACCCTATTGTTGTACCCGAACGAAAACAAAAATGACAAAAACTATTTTTTTTTATTTGTTATTTATTAGACACTTTACTGGTTTATGATTTAGGAACTAAAATGGGAATAGTGGCTGAAAAAGAAAAAAAAAACTAAAACGGGAATATGATAATTGAAGGGATAAAAGTGCTAAAGTCATAATGGGCCAAAGTTTGACCATAACTTGGGCCCGGCACAACCGGTATCGTGCTCAGGCCCAGGCCAGGCCCAATTATGTAGGGATCCAATGGAACCGCGTCCACGGAAGCTGCCCACTTCCCCGTGAAAAGTACGTAAATCCAATTCATATGCATTTTTTATTTTCCTTTTTTCTTTTAGTAAATAATACATAATAGATAATACAGTTATTCAGTTGTAAGTTATAACTATAAATAATTCGATTTTGTCTCCACGCATGAATGGCATGGCATGGCAGCTTCATATTTAAATATTTCTCATACGGAACTTGGTTTTGTTTGTATTATAATGGACCGTTATTATTATGATTAGTTTTACGCAATTTTAAATTAATTTGTTTCGTAATGTTAAAACTTGTAACCTATAATATATACATATATTAAACATATAAATTTTAACCTATTGAACTTCTACATTTTTCTAATACTCTGCAACCTATATATTAAACATATCAAAGAGAGTAAGTGAAGTACCAAAATCTATTAATTCAAAATATCAAAATGACAGCAAAAATATTTTATAATTTTTCAACATCCTTTGGATTATTATCATTATTATTTTTACCAAAATCTATTAATTCAAAATATCAAAATGACAGCAAAAATATCTTATAATTTTTCAACATCCTTGGATTATTATCATTATTATTTTTAGAGACTTGAACAAAATGGAAAACACTAATTTAAAGGGAGGAGACAAAAGAAAATTCTCATTTTGATTTGATGACAGAGACAAGGAATGCATTTTTAGACCTCAATGTTTATTTTTATTTTTCAAAAATTATTATTTTGTAATTAGTATCTCTATTTCTATATATGGATTTATGTTATACAAAATGTTCATGGAATAACATACTTTATTCTGCCATTATATAGTTATATAAAATCCAAATATTAAACAAAAAAAATAGGCATTTTAATGATGTGAAAGATGGTACAAATCTGTCTTTGTCCTCATCCCAACAATATCATATTAAGTAGAGACAAAATGGCCAAATAGATCATTCTGATTAGAATAATTAAAGGGGATGCCAATATAATATATGGTGTGTGAACATTACAATGTGAATTATTAACTACATGCTCCAGAAAACTCTCTATTAATTAATAATTATGATTAAAACTCACTCATTAAATGACAAAAGCTGACCAACCTCCTCAATTACCCCAAGAAGAATAGAGCTGATCAGGTGTTGTTCTGAATCTTCTGATTATTATTTCTCTTTAAATTTGAAAAAAGGGACTGTTTTAACCTAATAATGAAGAAGACAAGGTTCACTTATTTTAAACTCTTTTAAGTCTAAGGAAAAAGTAAAATTTGTGATATAACTTGAATTTTATAAACTGTTAATAAGTTTCAAAAGCTAGAAAAATGGATTGATATGTATTTTGGTGAAAATGGGTATAGTAGAAATTAGTGACGGAGATGGTACAAATTAAAGCAAGTTGTGTGATTCCAAAGGAATGTTTTTTGGTTGCCTTTAATTTTACTGAGACGATACAGTTGTTGGAAATTTCCAATTCAGATAACTGATTATCCCCTTAAAGGAATTAATATGCTACGGTATTTTTTTTTTTCTTTTTACTGCCCAGGAATCAGCCGCCTTTTGACCTTTTTGCCCCTATACATGTGGGGTATGCGCACTATCCATATACTCGTACATGTTTGGTGAAGTTGTGTTCTTTGTGATTTGAATCCAAGACTTTAAGATATTCTTAGAAGCTCCAAACCACCCAAACTATCCGAACCTACAGTACCTTTAGTTTTGGATTTTCTCCCTTTTTAATCCACACCACTCTTATGGAATTTCAATGTTAATTAAATCTTAGGTTACACCAATACTAGATGTTATTAAAAAAACAAACCTTCATCAATTGACGAAACGTCCCGCTGCTTTATTTTCCTCAAAATCGATGTCATGTGGCTTGTACAAGAGTGGATCTTTATATCGAAGCTCATTGTCTGGGTTGAGCAACGTTGTGACTAGTACTAGTGCAAGCTCGAACTTGAACCTTCAAGGTAGATAATACTTCAAAGTCCCAAACACTTGCCAATGTACTATCTCCCATGAGACAAAACGTCGTGCTACTGACACTTGAAAAAGCTGTTTTAATAAAGGTCTAGTACTCGCTTGGTGAGTCCCGTTGAGTAAATTATTGTAGAGTTGGTTTTGAATTGGCTGGTGACCTAACTGTTGCTAAGACATGTGGAGGACCGCGCTCGAGAGCCCCGTATATATTGGTTGTGGTTGAGGCTAAGACAGCGAATGGTCAGTAAGTATATAGCCTATAGGCAGGGTGGGGTAGCGTTGAGTAGAATGGGAGGGGAGAGAAAACTGTGTCTCCCTTAAGTTGTTTGTCATAAATTAAAAATGCATTCATTTTTTTATAGATTTAGTTGTTTTTTTATAAATATTTAGAATTGAAATATTATATATACAAAGTTAGAATGTAAAACTTTGTCCGTTTTTTAAAAAATTTATAGTTTTATATTCTTATATATGGATATAGTTGTATGGTCGCATGACTATGAAATTTATACTAAACCGTAGTCTGAAACATGTCTTTCATTTAAACAAAAATAAACATGAATGAAATTTTAAGCAAAATATTTGAATAAAAGTTGTAACTATAAACCCTAGAATCCAAGAGAGTTGAAATAACTAGCCTAACTTTTGTCTTCCTCTTTGTCCTATGTTGCGGCATCACATGGTGCACAAGAAACCAAAAATTCACCTTTCGTGTATTACGTACGTGGAAAGATGGGCATGAAAAGTAGCCATCAATAATATAAAAAAAAAAAAAGTATATAGACAATATATTTAAAAATAAAGAATCAAGATTAATTAAAATAATGCAGTTTTATTTGTCTAAACACATTCCTTGAGCAAAAATTAGACAAAAGAGTGGCCGGCTTGAGACAGCTTCTTAACCTACTCTTTACCTTTTTATTCCACAAAGGATGCTCACATTACCCTTTTAGAGCTCCAAAAGAACTTAAATCCATCCCGACATAATTTAGTAATTAAGATATTATTTACGTCTTTCTTTAAAAAAGTCGTAGATTCTAATTCTCGTCCTATATTTATAGAATGTAATATTTTATTTAATAAAAATGTCAGACGGACCAACTACTTTATAACTCTAGATACTATAAAGCGAGACACTAAAGTTCCATACTACAAAGTGATGAAATCGTGGTTTCACCCAGTTGGATCCCTATAACCAAGTGTGTTGACAATCACCCAACACTTTAACCGATGTATAGAAAGCCCAATACCCAACCAGACGCTGGTTGTAAATTTTGTCACAATATATAACAAATATAATGTGAAATTATATATCATGGACAAATTTTCATAATTTCTTCCTTATACACACACGAAATGTTATTTTCAAGAAGATAAAAAGAAACATTATCCTTTGACAAAGAAAAATATAAAAATAAAAACATTCAAATTATTTCCATAATTAATATAAACAAAAAATGGAGATCGAAAAAAAAAATAGAAGAAGATAAAAGAAAGACCAATATCTACAATAAATGTTATCAACATGTTTATGATTGTATACATGTGGAAGCCATTAATGAGAACAGATAATTGTATATATACACTTAAAGGAATTAGCATATAATTTACTGCCCTCCCTCTCTCTCTAAAATCTGAGATGTACTACAAAGAAAACACAGTACAGAAGAAATCTCTCTCTCTCTCTCTCTCCTCCATGCAAATTAAAGTTCCCATATAGTGAAATCTCTGAGAAAAAATGAGAGCAGAATTGAGAGGGAATAATAATGGGAGGAGTTGTATTTCTGTGCACAATTCAACGCTGTTGAACACGGCTCATGGTTCACTATCTGGTGCGCTAAAGGGGTGCCTTGGGAGCCTAGACGGCGGCTGCATAGAGAAGCTTCTGGTTCACTGCGGCGGCGCCTTGGAGAGTCATGATGTGACTCTGGCTCAGCAGGTTATGTGGGTTCTCAATAACGTCGCCTCCCCTGTTGGGGACCCTAACCAGCGCCTAACTTGCTGGTTCTTGAGGGCTTTGATTTCTAGGGTATCTAGGGTTTGCCCCACCCCCATGAATTTTAATGGAAGTAGTGCTCTCGAGAGGAGGTTGATGTCTCTCACCGAGCTTACCAGGTACCGTAAAGCTTAAGTTGATAAGTTATGTTAGAGTAAATTCAATCTCTTATTGTGTTCTTGGCGCAAAAGTTTTGGGATCAGGAAATGACATGAAGAAGGGTTTAAACAAGTGAACTCATGATGCTTGAGTATGTAAGGTTATGGTAGCTAGATTTAATCTTTCATTCATATCGGAGTTAGAATTCAAACTTACAATCTATTAGAAGTAGGGATGCTTTGACCACTCATATTGACACACTTGCAATCTCAATATTAGCCAAGAAAAAATGATATTACTTGGAGTTTAATACATAACCTCATATTACGATATCATATGGGTTATGATAAATTTAATCTTTTTTTCCATATATTCTTACAACTTAACAATAATTACGGCTGAATGTCGATATATAATAAAGTTCTATCTTTCACTTTTTTTAGTTTGATCTTAATTTGTTCTGAACTTGTTCTATTTTCCATGAACAACAGATATGTGGATCTGATTCCATGGCACAGGTTTGGATTCTGTGCAGCAAATACTGCGATTTACAAGGCAATTGAGAGGTACCCAAAAGTTCACATATTAGATTTCAGCATCTCCCATTGTATGCAATGGCCAACTCTAATTGATGCCTTATCCAAAAGGCCACAAGGCCCTCCTTCCCTTCGCATCACAGTCCCATCTTTCAGGCCACAAGTTCCCCCTCTACTCGACCTCCCCACACAAGAAATTGGCCTTCGTTTAGCCAAATTCGCCCATTCCAAGAACATCCCATTTCAATTCAATGTCATGGACCACATTTCCCCAAACAAACCCATCTCCATTGACCCCTCTAGTTTAAATCTCCAACAGGACGAGGCCCTGGTCATAAATTGCCAACATTGGCTAAGATATCTATCGAATGAACCACACGAGAATAAGAATGATAATAATAACTCTTGTTCTCCACGAGACGATTTCATTAGTGCCACCAAATGCCTCAACCCGCAAATCGTGGTGGTCGTCGACGAAGATGCCGATACGAGTTCCCCGAGTCTTACCTCGAGAATTACGGCGTCTTTCAATTATTTATGGATACCGTTCGACGCGCTCGAAACTTTTTTGCTGAAAGATAGCATGCAGAGGCTCGAGTACGAGGCCGACATTGGGCAGAGAATCGAAAACATCATTGGCTTCGAAGGGTGCCAAAGAATGGAGAGATCGGAGAGTTGCGGAAAAGTTTCGGAGAGAATGAGGAATGGTGGATACTTGAGTGCATCATTTTGTGAAGAGGCGACTGCGGAGGTGAAGGCATTGTTGGCCGAGCAAGCCAACGGGTGGGGGATGAAAAGAGAGGGAGATGCATTGGTGCTGACATGGAAGGGCCACAATTCGGTGTTTGTCACGGCTTGGATCACCAATAAAAGAACAAATACTTGCCTAGATATCAGTCAGTAATAATTCTCACCGACTTTCTAACCCAACGCGTATGTTTATTATATTTAATAGATAAGTAGATCCCACTAAAACTCGTGAGCCAATAAAAATATACGAAAGAGCATGAAGAAGATGAAACGAATGTGGTTTAAATTGATGGAGAATTAGATTTTGGTTGGGTCTACTTTTGGTTGTCCATGTGATCTAAATAGGAAATCTCTAAGAACAAGTGTGTTTTCTTTGTCTTAAAGGCTGCAGCTTTTTCAGGTCTTTGGCTTGGTTGGGTTGTTGGGCTAAAAAAGAATTAAAAGCAGCCAGACATTTTTAGGATTTAATTTTAAGATATGAACAAAGTATATATCTTTTCTTTTAGTTGAGACAAAATTGTGTCTTTGGTTTTCCTTAGCTTTTTGTGTTGAAGCCAATCCATCCCACTAGGCCAACTGTCCCCCACAACTTACTTTTATTTTTGAAATTAGGATAAGAATTTGAAAAAATTGTAAAAAAAAAAAAAAAAGATCCCAACAGATAATTTTTTTTTCTTTTCTGTTTTTAGAAATTTAACTTAAAAACATTACTTTGTTTTAGGTTAAAAAACACTTTTTGGTTCCTGTCTTTGGGCTAAAGTAACAATTTAGTCATTTAGTAACGATATGTAACAATTTAGTCACTATAATCTAAAGTTGGTAACGATTTAGTATTACTGTGAATTTTTTTTTTTGTTAAATTTCTTATATATATAGATTGAGAAACTAAACAGGATCAAATAGGCTTATAATTACAAAGATTAAATTGTTATACGATAAAATTTGACACTTAATTTTTAATAAATTTGTTTACAATAGGTACTAAATGTTACAAATTTTAAATGACAAGGATTAAATCGGACTAAATTGTTACTTTGGTGAAAGTACAGAGACTAAATGGTTACAAACTAAAGTTCATGGACTAAATTGTTACTTTAGTGACGGGGCAAATGAGTTTTTTAACCCAGTTTTTATAAACATTTTTTAAATCTAAGCCAAATTTTTAAAGTATCAAACTCAATTGTTTTGGGTTATGGGTAATAATGTGATCTGAGAATGCAAAATGCTAATTAGGGTTTTGCATGAACACTAATCCCTATTATTACCTGCTCTTGAGGCAATTATTTTTTGGTCGGCGGCGGCTAATTATTCCAAATTTATTTTCTGATTTTGGGGTCCCTTCTCCTTCATCATGGTCGGACATGGATTCTATTGCTTTCAGACCCACTCCCAATAAATAATTGGAATCTTTATAATAAGCTTCTAGTACGCTATAGGGTTTATTTATGAATAATATAACATAAATTTGCAGTAAGAGATCAGAAAATCTGAAAAAAGTCAAAGTGGTTGAAAGAAACAGATGATAGAAGCGAAAATCCTGAATCTCTTTTTCTCCACTGCTTCATGCAATTCAAAATTCAAATTGCAAAACCTTTCTCGTATTTTGGGTCGCCGACGGTGGAATATGAAACGTCGCCGTCGTGGGGCGGCGGCGTTTTCCAGGTTTCACAAAGAAAAAATAATAATAATAATAAAGGACAGCCTGCTGCTGCTGTTTTATTCCCAGTGGACCTACCCGATGGATTTCGTTTTTCTTATTATTAATATTATTTCTCAAGTTATATTGCTTTTGTTCTTCTAAAAAAAAATAGAGAAAAAATAAAACAGAGACAATGAACTTATATTCAAATAATATCAATTCACAAAAAAAAAACGTCAACAGCAGGATTCGAACCTGCGCAGGCAAAGCCCATAAGATTTCGAGTCTAACTCCTTAACCACTCGGACATGTTGACATTTCTGAAATGAGGATTTAAATAATTTATCATTTTTAATTTTAAATGTTTAAATACATATTTTCAAGATTCAAAGTTTAAAAGTAAAATAAATTTCAAAATGGAATTTAAACAATAGTGTATTTATTTTGTAGGATAACATGAGATGGAGATTGAACATTCAATTTCAATTTTATCGCTCCTATTTGCATGAAATACACCTCCTTTCTAATGTTAATAATGCAGTTCTTTTTTTCAATGCTTATCATTTGGTATATTTCTTTAAAAAATAAATAGTATTATTAAAAAAAATAAAAGCAAATTTAAACCATAGTTTTTTTTCCGTACTACATGCAAATAGTAGAGTTGAACCATCAATTCTAACCTTATTAATTGAGTCAGACTCCTATTCGCATAAAATATATTTTTCTAATAATTATATTGGAATTTTGTTCTCTTCTATTATTCTTATTTTATATTTGAAATATATATATATGTATGCTTTTGAAAAAGAAATTAGTAACAAAAAAAATTAAAACCATATTCTGTGATATTATTGGAGTTTTTGTTTTTTTTTTTTTTATAATTCTTCTCATTTTACATATATATTTCAAAATTAGAATAGAATTCACACATCGTCCACAGCAGGATATATATATATATATATATATATATATATATATATATATTTTGTTCTTAAAAAAAAGCCGAGAAAGAGGACAAAAAAACCATATTATGTGATATTCATATTGGAGTTTTGTTTTTTTTTTTTAATTCTTCTCATTTTACATATATCTCTGAAAAATAAACTAGAATTCTATTTCGCTTTTGAAAAAGAAATTAGTATTCTTAAGAAAACCGAGAAAGAGGACAAAAAAAAGTTAAAACCATATTCTGTGATATTAATATTGGAGTTCTGTGATATAAATTAGAATTCTATTTCATCGAAAAGAAAAAAGACAAAAAAAAAAAAAAGGAAAAATCGTCGACAGCAGGATTCGAACCTGCGCAGGCAAAGCCCAACAGATTTCGAGTCCATCTCCTTAACCACTCGGACATATCGATGGTTTTGAAATCGCTTTGTACAATATATTTCACAGAAAAATAAAATTAGTTGCATTTGCATAATACCTTCTCATTTCTTCTTTTGCTGGAACGAGCAATTTTTCCTTCCGTTGGTAGACAAGATTCTGCACTTCAAATTCCATATACAAAATTTTAAATTCTGGGAATAGCAATGCGAATTACTTATCATCTTATCATGAAGTATGTAATCTTCTTTTTGCAGGAATGTCAGATGGAGTTTAAGGTTCGTGTCAGGCAGCAAAACGATCACGGTTCTTCTAATCCCTCCTTTCTGTCCCCTCTTTTGCCAATGCCATCGCCCCCATCGAGGATTCTTTTCCCGTACTCTGCTCTCTTTTGTCTCTCTAACAAATATTCTTCTTGTTTCCTGCAATTACAGAGTACATACAGACTCCTCTCTGGCCATGGACGACACCGTTTTTGCCCTAATTCATCACCAATCCATTTCAAATCCTCCTCTCACCCCTTCCCCACAAAACCCCACAAAACCCTCAAAACCCACTTGGTTTTCGCTTCAATCTGGTCTTCTCCTTCGCTGTTCCTCCTCCATTGACTTTTCTCCTTGCCCCTTTCGGCCAGAATTGATGTGGGTCATGGCCACTATTCTTTGTTCTTCTACTTCAGGTTACTTCTCGTGACCATTCATTTTCTCTTTGTGTAAAATCAGACCCCTGCTTCTTTCATTTAATGCTTTTTGTCTCGGGATTAAATTAACTGAGCTCTATACATTCTGCTATCATGGGGCTTTCATTGCTTCTTTTTAACTTGTTCCTCTCGCTCTTCATTGGTGAGATGATTAGGGGACATCTACTGTAATTGCTATTTGCTAGTTGGCTTGCAATTTATTGCTTACAGCGACCCTTCACAGTTCTTTTTCTGCTTTGCTGTATGATTCACACTTCTATCTTCACTTTTTTTTTTTTTTTTGTCCCGATTTATTGTGTTCATTGTTTTGTGGCTTGCTTATTTATTTCATTCCATGTTTGTCATAAAGCTACATCTGTGAAGAACTTTTTCCCTTTTGGGTGGGGATTTTTTCTGAATATCTTTAATTTGGATGGTCTCTGCTTTACAGTTATGAAGAACTTTTTCTCTAACAGTGTAATGTTTGTTTGTTTATATGCTCTAGTTGTTCCTTACATGACTTAAAGGCAGTGTACTTTCTTTCTTTCTTTCTTGGTGATTGGTTATGAACCAGTTTATTATGTGGCTTGCAGACAATTAATGCTTCATATTCAGATTGATTGAGCAACTTTGGATGCCAGTTTAAGAGGCGAACAGGCTATTGAAAGGTAATATTCCATGTTTTTCTCAGGGAAGAAAGTTTCAGTTTTTTTGAAATTCTTCATAATCACAATTTGGAAGCAATAACTTCATCAATGTTGCGTTTCCTGAATCACGCTGCAGAAATTATGGAGAAGACTGATTCGGCTTCTCTATTCCTTGATCTTGTGCGAACCGAGAAATCTTTGGAGGTGATCAAGTACTTGACGTGGGCAGAGCTTTTGATTGCTTTGAAGCAATGTCAAGAGTTACCTCCATTGACAAACTCATCAATTGTGCTCAAGAAATCCATGGATTTGCTTAGCCAAAAGATCGTTTTGGCCGATGGAGTGAGTTCATCTGCCTGCTCTGATGATAGTTCCAGATTTCGGTTATCTTGTGACAGCAAAAGCACGGAAAGCTTAAAGACAAATTTTGCTTCCACAACTTGGTGGTTTGAGGATCTCTTGTTTTTGAGCTCTGAATCTGTTGAAATGTTTGTACAATCCATGATCTCACACGAGTTCGACCAAGTTCTTTTAAGTAAATTCCTCATTCATTTCCAGAAATCTAAGTTCCTTACTGCAACTGCAGATGATAAGAGGAAAGTAATAGAATCTGTCATTAATATGCTCGACACTCTCAAGGAAGATGTGCTTTCCTTGAAGGTTCTATTCGACATTCTACGCATTTCATTAGGCTTGAACATAAATAAAGGCAGCAGGAATAGGCTGGAGGCCATGATTGGTTCAAAGTTGGGTCATGCTACACTAGACAATTTGCTTGTTCCTTCTCCCTGTGGGGCAAATTACTTGTATGATGTCAACCTTGTTCTGAGACTATTCAAGGCATTTTTATCAGGAGAATCCAACCAAGCATCTCCATCTCAATTAGGTAAAGCTGCTAGCTTGATGGATTCATACATGGCCGAGGTAGCCCCCGACCCGTGTCTTAAGTCGTCAAAGTTCCTTGCTCTTGCAATAGCCGTTCCAGACTCCGCCAGGACGTCCTATGACGAAATGTACTATGCCATAGACCTCTACTTTGAGGTATTCACTTGATCCTTCAAAGTTTCCTATTTAACTGATTTTATGATTTGTTTTCATCCGATTTTATAAATTTGTAGTTTGATTGACACCAACAATCTTAGAACTGAAGTTGTAAAGTGGTTAAATCTGGTTTTTGGTAGATGCATACAGGAATGTCAGAAGAGGAAAAGGAGAAAATATGTTCTGCATTAAACAACAAGAAGCTCTCCTACGAAGTTTGCATACATTTCTTCAAGAACCCGAAATTTCCATCGAAATCTTCTCCGCCTAGCCCGGAAAGTCAGCAACCAGAGGCCGAAATCTTACTTCAAAACATCAACTACTCAAAATCCCTGATCAACTGGCCTCACAATCTCACAGAAGCCATAAACACGAGTCAAAAAGAAGACAAAATATCAGAACAAATCGTGCTGTACCATGGAAAATTTGATCTTCCTGCTGATAACGAGAAAATAAAAGTTCAGTTGGAAGGAATGCAATGGAGAGTGGTGGAATTAGAGAAACTGTGCAGAAAAATGCAGACCCAAATGAGAAAGATGTTGAAGTCTAGAGTGGGTTCAAGCCATTGCCAAGTGAAATCCTTGCCTAAGCTATGTTCATAGGTAGATTTTGAATAATGTATAGTAAAAAATCCTTCTTCTCTTCTCTTCTCTTCTTCTGCTTGTTGCAGCTTTCTCTTCCTGTGTTTAGCAGATTGTTGACTTTGGTTGTAAAGTAAGAAAAGGGAAGATGAAGGCTTTAACCAAAGCCAATTATTCTCGTGAATTATTGGTGTAAAGTTTATGTTGTGAAGGAGATTGAAAGTTGAAGGAAGAGTCTTTTTCGCAGTCACTCTCATGCAGAGCCGATGCGTCTCTCTTTTGCCTTGAAAGTTGCAACTTGACAAAAGCTACAAATGCATGAAAATCTATCAACATCTTTCCTTATAACTTTTTTTTTCCCACTTCCTAAAGTCATTCTTCTTGTCGACATATTGATGATATGTCGGCGACATGTTGGAACTTGGAAGTTTGAAGAACGATTCTTCTCTCCATGTTTTGTTGATATGTAAATTTTGGTAATACATTGTTTTTTACTTCTTTTTTTTTTTTGGGTTAAAATGTCTTATTTATAAAATTTAAGTAAAATTACTTTTTTTTTCCTTCCCGAAAATTGTCTCAAATCTAAATGTATTGTATATTAAATCTTCATAACTTTTCATTCATATATTCTCTCTTATTTTCATCTATTAATTTTTACCTACTACTTTTACTACTTTGGTTTATTAATAATATTTAGGTGTTTAAGAGTCAATATTAATTTTTGGATAGACTACTAATAAAAATTTGCCAACTTTTTAGTTTTTTGAAAAACAGTATTTCTCGTGTAGTGTTAAGTATCTAAATATTTTTCTTTTCAATCATTTTAACCTTTTATCTTCGAATTACGTAAAAAGATATTTTAGCATCTCATAAATAATGATTAAGTGTCGGTAGGTTCTATATCAAAATTAACTTTTCTATTAATTTTGTTTTTCGTAGGATATTAATACCTAGTTAGATTATTAATTTTAGGTTAAAAAACACATTTGGTCCCTCTACTTTTACTAAAGTAACAATTTAGTTCCTAAACTATAGTCTGTAACAATTTAATCCCGGTATTTTCACTAAAGTAACAATTTGGCTCCTGAACTTTAGCTTGTAGTGATTTAGACCTTGTAGTTTAAAATTTGTAACAATTTAATCCCTATCGTAACAAAATTTGTTAAAATTAAGTGTTAAATTTTACCATATACCAATTTAATCTTTCTAATTTATAAACATATTTGGTCTCTATTTAGTTTATCAATCTATATATATAAGAAACTTAACAAAAAAGTTTCACAATAAGGACTAAATCGTAACTAACTTAAATTACAATGACTAAATTGTTACATAAAATTCAAGGACTAAATTGTTACCAATTTAAAAATACAGAGACTAAATCGTTACAAACTAAAGTTTAGGGACTAAATTGTTATTTTTTAATCTTAATTTTGTTATTGGTTGACTATCTATAATATATTAAAAAGGTACAATCCCTAATAAACATTTTAGAACTATAATACTCCTCTAATTTTTTGTTGAATTAGAAACCAATAACTCAACTTAATTTTAATGTATAAAATAAAATAAATTTTAATTTATATTAAAATGAGCAGTTATTTGAAGATAGGAGAAGTTTGCTGACCACCGTTTGAATTTAGTAATAAAATAAAATAAATTTTTTATTTATAATATAAGTTAAGCTAACTATTATAATTTATAGTAAATTAATTTGTTAATAATAAATTATCAATAATACTAAATATATGAAATATAAAAGATAAGTTTTTCTTAAAAAGTTATTTTAATTACAATTCATGATGTAATTTTTAAAATTGTGTAACTTTTAATAATCTATTACCTATATAAATTAAGCTTTATTCCACCATTTTGTTCACAAACACTTGGACCTCCATTCGTTATTCCCAATGCTCTTAAAGAATTCTTCAATCTCGAAAGACATCTCAAGACTTGGTGACATATTCAAGTGGCAAGGGAAGCACGCGTTAGATACATATCTTGAATCTTAGGTTGTGTGTCGTTACAATTCCATATTGTGATGAAATATTTTTTGTTGGAGCCATGACTTTTCGTCTCTGCAATGGTGATTCTACGGTATAATCATGAAAATTGGTGATCTAATGATGGGCGAGCTAGTGACTATTCACGTTAGAAATCTCGGTTTTTTATATATAGTTACAATAATTTCCTTTGTTTTTGTTGCCAATATTTTTCTTTTACTTTGGCGGTACTTGATTGATTTCGTGTAATACAAATGAGCTAAATTTCTACCCTATTGAATAATAATATTAGCAATCAATTATCTAGTGAGCAATTTTATTTTAAGGGATGATTCCATAGATAGGGTATTAGATGTTTTTTTTGGTTACTTTGGTTTTTTTTTCTTTGTCTTTTATAATTAATGTATTTTTTTATTTAAGATGTTGGGTGAAAAATTAATAATTTATTGATCACAATATCTTTTTTTTTCTTTTGAAAAAAAATCACGTCCTCACAAATTTTTTAATTAATTATAAATAGTAAATTAACTAATTGATCAATTCTCAATAATAATCATCTTAAAAGTTGGAATACACGTTTTTTTTCCATTTCATTCACCTTAAAGTTAAAAAGAATTTTCAAATAATAAATATAATTATAATATAAAATCAAAACAACAAAATAATTTTTCTTTATCGAGGTTGAAAATGATTATAACATAAAAAAAATTAGATTAAAAAATCTTTATAATTTTAACTCGAACAAACAAGGTAAAAAAATAAGAAGCCTAAATTAGGTAAAATAATCTTTTCAAAATGAAAATATAAAAAAAATGTATATAATATTTTAAATTGTTATATTAGAAATAATAAAATGCAACTCAGACTTCATTAAAAATGTTGTATAAGATAATGCAATTTATATACACTTGAAAAGATTAAATTAATAGAATATGAAAATATTTAAAAAAAAAACGTGAAAAGTTATAATATAAAAAGTTAACGTGCATAAATTAACTCTAATTAAATATTTGTATATACGTATATTTAATTATAGAATAGGATAGTTTTGGAATACAAAAATTATTATAATTTTTTCATTTTCTTCCACTATAAATTTGTGTATTGAATTTATTTCCAAAATAATTTTAAAATGGTATGTTAATAAAATTAAGAAAATAATTAAGAAATTTAAATCTTACATCCTAATTATAATAAATAAGAAAATAGTTAAAGATGCAAATGATATATAAAATATAAAACATAGACAAATTATAATATATAAATTAATTTAAAATCTAATAAGATATCATAAATATTAATATGATTTGATTCATATTTTACATTTAAATATCGTGTTTATCATTTTTATTTTTAACTTATTTTATTAATAATAACAATGTTTAATCTTATATTTTTGCCATTATACTAATTATAAAAATTAAAATAAATTTAACAAAATTTTGATATTTTTATAAATTTGAAGCACGTACTAATTTAATTAAATAATTTATTTTACAATGAATAAAATTAAAATTTTTATTACGTGCAAACTAGTTTTATTAAAAATCTTTAGAAAAGAAAAGAAAAACAAAAAAAGAATATAATGTTGTAGCCCATCAAATTGCAAATGAGGCTCTTAGAATGAATGGGGCCTTTTTATGGCTCTCAAGCTTCCCTTCTTGAGGTACCTTCTACTGTAGCCCTTGACGCTGTTTGAGTTTTTACTTTTTATTTCAAGTGTTAAGACTTTAAAAATGAAAGTTATTTTGTTTCAAGCTTTTCATTTCACTGAAATTAAATTGAGATAATATCTATTTATTTTTTGCATACTAAATAATAAGGATATATTTCATATTTTAGAAATTTCTATTGAAATTTGAAACAGACATTTATAATTAAAAAAGAAATCCATATATTTGAGGGCAAAAATCCTCGTTAATTTATGTAAATCTGTGAAAATAGATTTGTTCTCTAGCGGCGCCAAATTAACACTACGGTGCAGACTTGCTGATCCTGCTCCTCCTGTCCTCCATGGCATTTGTAGGGCTAACTCTGCATTCTTGTTCAATTATCTAAGCTATTGACCCTCTCGACCGGAGCTCAAATCAGGTTTAACCCAGCGCTCTCACTTGATTCCAGTTATTCAATTTCTAGATATATATCGTTTTTTCATCACACTCCATTGACCCCATCATATTTGATTTCTGTTTTTGTAGATTATTTGTTCTGCTTCAGTTTACTGTCGGTCAATTGTTTCCGTAGCCGGGAATTTCTGGTTTAAATTTCTTTTTATTTAGTGTTGAATGTGCATTTAGTTCCTGCCAAATTACTTCTTGCTTGTTTGCAATATTTTTGTAATCATCTTCGGTTTATCGAGTTTGCTTTCTTATGTCTCTCGTATCGTTTATCCTGAAGGGCAGTAAGTTAAGGAACTTAGCACTTGAGAGATGGGGGAACTGGCAGCTGAGAAACATGTTAAATACATCATATCTGTTGAAAAGGTGTGTTATTCATTTATGTATCTCACTCCTATTTAGCATTTCTATTACTTTATTTACATGGTCATGGTTATCCTTCATTCATACTCTTATAGTAGACTGCTACCCATTTATTCTATGTACCCCATCTTACTTAGGTCGTTTTATGTAATATGACAGAGAAAGGATGATTTTCAATCCGTAATGATGGAACATCTTAGAATGAATGGTGCATACTGGGGGTTGACCGCACTGGATATTCTTGGAAAGCTCAATACCGTTGATGTTGATGAGGTTGTTTCATGGGTCTTGAAATGTCAGCACCAGTCAGGTTTTTAAACATTCTGTACTGTCTCAACTTGTGCGCGTCTTTGTCTATGTTTATTTTAAGAGCCATATGGATACATTTTAATGTCGTGTGACTGAGGATCATTTACCTGGTTGAATTGAATAGATGTACATGCACAATGTTTTGTCATTAGTATTGGGTATCATGCAGGTGGTTTTTCTGGCAATATTGGACACGATCCTCATATACTTTACACCCTTAGTGCTGTTCAAGTCTTAGCCCTCTTTGACAGGTTGAGCGTTTTAGATGTCGATAAGGTGACAAATTGTATCCTTTGGCATTTTAGGAGTTGAATTTAATTTTTCAGCGCTTCTTTGGGTCTCCTTTTACGCACAAATTTCATGAATCTTTGGGAAACATTGTGGCTTTTTCACTTGTTTTGGGGAGAAGGTAGAATAAGAATCTTGGCGAGGTGATAGTTGATTTTCCAACTTTGAAACACTCTCTATGTGATTTCTACTTTTGTTGATATCATAAAAAATTATCGCGTGACTTAATCATGCTGGTAGATATTGCTGGTTTGCAAAATGAAGATGGTTCCTTTTCAGGGGATATTTGGGGTGAAGTAGATTCAAGGTAGTCTGTACCCATTTCTTCTTTACTGTTCTTTTTTTTTTTTTTGACTTCCATTTCTTCTTTACTGTTACTGTTCTGTTATTATTATTATTTTGGATTTCATGCTTCATGTGATCCTATACATGTGGAAAATGTTTAAAGCTGTAATTGTTTTTCTCGCAGGTTTTCTTATATTGCAATATCTTGTCTGTCATTGTTACATCAATTGGAGAAAATCAATGTTGAGAAGGCTGTGAACTACATTGCTAGTTGCAAAAATATGGATGGGGGATTTGGATGCACGCCCGGTGGAGAGTCTCACTCTGGACAAAGTATATTTAGCATATTTCATTTCTTATGTTTTACCTCTAAAGATTGTTTTAAAATTTACCATCATCTGAATGAAGGGTTCTCTCTTGTGCTTCAAAAAATTTGTATTTGTTACTTCTCTTGCAGTGTAAGTGTTTGATGTTAGCCTATTTGCACGTTGTTGCATCAGTGCATATTTCTGCTCTCTGTTTGCACAAACATACGCAATACCCTTTTTTTAAAACTTCTCTTAACGAAATTTTACTTATAAATTATATGAATCATAAACCCTGAAGATGTGATCAGTTTTACATACAACTGGGGTTGTGGAGTATAGCATCTGACTGAGAAGCCTTTTTTTGTATAGATTATAGCGAAGATCTAAAAAGTGCTACTACATACTTGAAGAGGAGAATGTCCACACTCCACTGAATGCCTTTGTGTCATATTAGTTTCTGACGTCCTAATCTCAGTTCCTTGCTGTGACTCCAGTTTTCTGTTGTGTTGGCGCTCTTGCCATAACGGGATCTCTACACCATATTGACAAGGATCTTCTTGGCTGGTGGTTATGCGAGCGACAAGTCAAATCTGGAGGTCTTAATGGTCGCCCTGAGAAACTTCCTGATGTGGGTTTGAACTTCTGTTGTGACCAAGTTTTTTCTTCGGAGTTATTCTTGTTCTAGTCCACTTGCTGACTTTGTTATATTTCCTCAGGTCTGCTATTCATGGTGGGTTCTTTCAAGCTTGATCATGATTGACAGAGTTCACTGGATTGATAAGGAAAAACTCGTCAAGTTCATCTTAGACTGCCAGGTTATTAAGACAAATCTTCTGCTATCTAGATTTGTTTTATTTATTGGGGATTTATATTGCTTCTAGTGCTGGTAGCTTCTATAGCTTAACTGGTTATTTTTAAAATTTTCAGGACACGGAAAATGGCGGTATTTCAGACAGACCGGATGATGCCGTTGATGTCTATCATACATACTTTGGAGTAGCAGGTACATTTCATTCCCCCAAGTGAACATAAGTTGTAAATCTAGCATTCTAGTTGCAGGGTATCAATTTTATTTTTTCCCCTTCGGCATCATTTGTTGTTGGCTAATCTTATATCTTCTCTAAATACATATGTTATTTGTCACTCCTGAAGTTTGTTCTCAATGATGCAGGCCTCTCACTTCTTGAATATCCAGGTCTAAAAGCCATTGATGCAGCTTATGCTTTACCAGTTGATGTCGTGAACAAGATTTTCTTGGGCAAAAAATAGTATTACCTAATCCGTAGATCTTTTATTCTCTAATATGGAAGTAATTTACCATCTTATTGAATTAAATTCTAATTCTTTTTCATCTTTAGATTAATTGAATTTTAGTGAAGCCATACCCAGTTTTTTCAAAGTTGTCCTCACTTGCCACACAATTTCATATGGACTTTGATCATTTAAAGTTATTTTACAATAAAGAAAAGCAAATGGGAAGACTTTGTTTGCTCTAAAAGATCTTCCTTCAGGTGTTAATCAGGATTTTGCGACCTGCTCCTTAGAAAAAGTGTCACATGTCCAGTCCATGGATAGACTAAGATTCATAAGGCAAGTTGAAAAAAATTCTAATTTCATAGTCACATATTACTGTTACTTATGTTAAAATGTTCCAATATCATAGTCACGTATTACTGTCACTTCTGTTTGTTGGCACCATTTCTAATACTATTTTGATATGTGTACTTTTAGTTTTGTTTCGTTTTTAAAATACCTATTTTGGTCATTGTATGTCCATTTTGATCTTGGTACTTTTAAAAAGTAACTATTTTAGTTCATTCATTTTCATTTTTATCTCATTTTTATCAATCATAATTTTATGATTACAGTTCGCCCACTAAACTTCTTGAAATGTAGCCATAAATCCATATTAAAATTTATGTTAAAATTTTGAAAATAGGAACCAAATTGGTCACTCTTTTAAAAGTAGAGGGACCAAAATGAATGCTTTTGAAACTACTAGGACCAAGATGAATCAAATTTTATTCAATAATATTGAGACATTTTCTGGTGAAGTATATCATCCTTTATCCACAGAATGGCAGCAGTAGCTCTCTGATCAGGATTTATCCAAAGTTCACTGATCTCTCTGGTATTATTTCCATTTCATAAATTTAGCTACTGAACTTTTAAGTTTAGATTACTAACTACTCTATCAAGTTGACTAATATTTATGGTGTGGATGTAATGCACTATTGTTGGTTTAATGGTGTTAATTAGAGGGGTTACTAGAAAGTTGAAGTAAGCTAAATTGATATGCTATTTAAGGCAGAAATGTTTCACGTGAAAACTTAGGAATTGTTTTGATTGCAGAGAAATTGAGAGTGGTCCATCCATTAATGGGCGTGGTCTGAAGTTAGGGCAATGAATAATAAATATGCAGAGCTGGTAAGCTCCTGAAAGAGTGTCCACTGACTTTGAGAGACTGCCATCACCATCATTAATCACAGTAAGACATCATCCCTTCGCCATGCCCACGCCGGTACTTAATCTCTTGCTTTACGCCATCCTCTGCATTTTAACCTGACACCATTTTCTTGTCTTTTACTCTCACTTCAACTAATTTTACGGATAATTACCTGACAGTTGAAAATTTGTAGTAACTAGATGTACGAAATTGGTAATTGTGTAGGAACTAGATGTATGAAGTAGGCAACCACCTTTTTTTTTATCAAAAGAACGAAGCGTAAATGATTAAGTAATAAAATCGTTCTCTGCTAATAGAATAACCCAAGGTACAATTTCTCCCACATTACAGTCTCAAGCGCGCAAAAAAATGTCGTGCCACCTGCTTTGCACAACCCGTGGGACTAGCTTGTTTGCACTCCGGGGAATCGATCTCAGGGAAACCACCTTCTTCCCCGCTATCAAGGTACGGATGTCTTAAGATCAAAACCTTTATCGATTAACATATTCTTAACCTCTTCTGAATCCGTTTCCAAGTGGGCAACCACTATTACTCCAAATTGACCTTGTATCGAATTTTCTAGAGAATCAAATATTGTGCAGTTAGACAATTATCTCATAAGACCTTCGATCTGGACCTGGACATTCCAATTCTGAAAAACCCTATGGCTCGAAGGATTCAACTTTGTTACGAAGAATTATGATAAGAGACCGACCGACAAGACAGGAGTTACAGAGAGAAATTGGGGTACTTTTAAGAAGATTATAGGCAATTTTTGAATGTGGGAAAAAGAAAAGGTTAACTTTTTCTAAGTCAAGAAGTACACCCAAATTGTACTTTTCTTGGTGAAGGTGAGTGTGAAGAGTTGGATAAAAGGACCAATTTCGTAATCTCAAAAAGCTCAAAAACCAAAACGAATATCAAAAAGCTCTAATTCCATTAGCTAACCTCAAAATTAGCAACATGATTAGATTTTTATAATGCTTGAGATTCTAAAAATTTGAACACATCCCTTCCCCATTATAAATAATTGCACACAATCCAAAATCTATTAAACAATGGAGACACACATCATAATTATTAATTAATGTATATATCTAAAAGCAACCCAACCCACAAGAAGTATTCCAAAATCACAAAACATGGGATTTCAATTTTTGATATTAGCCTAAAAGCCTATATCTCCCTACCCCCTTAGCTTTACCAACTTTTCTGTCAAATTCCCCTTTTTCTTCCTTTGGTTGTCTTTATGTCTCACGATATTTTTTAAATAGTTTCTACTTTATATATGGTCTAAACTCTAAATAATATTTGTTTTGTTTTTTTGTTTTTTATTTTTGTTAATTTTAGTTTATGTACTTTCAAAACATCTATTTTAATTATTTTTTTTCAACTTTTTTTTATTTGAGTCCTTAAACATGTAAGATGGCCACTTTGATCCTTGTATTTTTTAAAATTGGACATTTTAGTTTCTATTTGTAAAATTTTAACATAAATTTTATACTCAATAAAAACTCTTTAATATAATTTTATTATTACATGTCAAGAAATTTTTTGAGTGAAGTATCATGCTAAATTTGTGATGGAAAGAAATAAAATAAAAATAACCAAAATAGTTATATTTTAGAAGTATAGGGACCAAAACGGATGTCTTGCATAGGACTAAAATAAACAAAAGTTGAAAGTATAAAGAACAAAATAAAGATCAAAATGAATCAAGTCAAAAAATACAGGGACAAAAATTATATTTACACCTTTATAATTATAAGTTCACAAAAATACAAAACATACTAACTTTTATAAATTAAAAATTCACAAATTAGAGCTAATTTCTAGATCAGTTCATAAATACTTAATTACCATTGCCAAAGTTGTGGTTGAATTCCCCACCCAACAAAATTTTGTAATGAAGAAAAGACTCATAAATTTTAGACAATTTATAGACATCTAGGCTTCCGTGCATATTATTAACGGAAATAAACAACATGAATATTATTTCAATTTCAATTTCTTTTCAATTTTAGTGGCTTATACGTGTAGTAATTAATAGTTAATTGCAAATGTAACAACTACTTTTATGATTTGCAAATATAGCAAAAACTGAGCTCCAGTTTAAATGAAAAAAAAATGGAAAATTTGATTATACCCTTCAAAATAGTGGATTCCTGAAAAGAAGAAAAATTACTCATACACCCCATAATTCATATTAGACATATTAGTTATATTACTGATATACCAAAAATTAAGTATATCACTCTCATTATATTAATAAAAAAAAACTTGCAACGACAACTTCAATATAACTCAACTGGTTAAGGAACCTATATAGGACCAAAAGATCGTGAGTTCAAATTCCTATCCCAACATATTATATTAAGAAAGATACAAAAACATACTTTATAATTGATATATCAGTTAATATTAGCTATATAATCGATATATTTAATATAAGTATATCGTGGATGACAAAATGAGAATAATTAAAAAAAATGTTTAAAATTTTGTAGCCATAATTACAAAATAAAAAAAAAAAATTGCTGTAGTTGCAAAAACACCCAAGAAAATTTTGCTTAATTTCTCACCTCCATTTTCAGCTACGGAAAAAGTTCTAAAAAGATTGCAATTTCTTTTTCTTTTCCAAGAATATATATCGTACAATAGAGTAAATACATTTCCAAGTCCGTGACACGTCAGTTTGCAATAAAAATGCCAGGCTGTCCAAATAAAGGCAGAGTTATTAGTTGCACTGAAATTTTGAATGGGCGTTGGTTTTTCCCAAGCTTACCTAAAAGTTCAGGGCTACACCTACGCTCCAAAGTCCCACATCAAATTTCTATTTGTTATTTGCCAAATTCAGAACATTTTAAAAATAATGTACTCTCTAAAATCAAAATATATATTAAATTATCAGTAATGAAATATGTATTCCCCTAGAAAATTTTTCGAATTAAAAAATATGAATGAATACTTCTTTCATTTAATATTTATCATTAAAAAATAATGCAGGATTTATTAATATTAAAAAGTTATTTATAAGTGTAAAATTATAGTATGAACGAAAAATAGTATGATATTTTCAAAGAGAAAAAGGATTTAGAGCAGAGAATGACGTTTTTTTTTTCTTTTTTCTGTGGGTCATGCAATAGTGAATTTCTCTCTCCATATTGCATGATTAAAGTTATTTCACATAATGTTTGGGACAGTATACCAGTTGTAAAGTCACCTCTCCAAATGATTCCTTCAAATCTTGTGCAGATTAAATAATTATTCATCATCCCTTTTCTATTTTTTTTATACCCTAAGATGCAAATCCAATCCTTATGCTCCCCTCCCCCCAAATCCCCAAATTTTGCATTTCATCTCTATTCCATTTCTTGTTTTGAAAATTTGCAAAAGAAATTATTTTAATCTTTATTTTCAGTAGTAAAGATATTCCTATCTCATCTCGAAACTAATGGTTGATTGGTAGCATTTAGACAAGTTAACCTAATATTGTTAAGGATCCTACGGGACCTAACAATAGACATGAATTTCAATTGGCTTTGAGATAGAATACATGAATATTAATATGTATCAGAGCTCAAAAATAGGATCTGACCAAGATTTGAGATGAAATCCCATGAAATGGGATTAGTATTTCAAATACGTATCTAATAAGAATACCGATAGAGTTGCATCCAACAATTATTAGCCATGAGAAAACTAAATGGCAATGGGTACAAATGCATAGTACATATTCCAGCTAGCACATACAGAACTCATGCAGCTACGTAAGGTAAAACAAAAGACAAAGACAAAGACCACGCCCATGGCCCCCCCTTCCCCATTTTCAACTAATTACCAACCCTCACTCTTCTGCCATCTCCAGCTGTAGTTTACCATATATTATATCATTCTATCCCAACAACATTTCAATTGCTGCGGGCTCCATCCACGTTCACGAACACATCGTATATTTTGGTTTTTATACTTTCTAGTTCGTTAGTTTCTACTTTCATCCGACTCCTTACATATTGACAAAATGTTCACTTGGTATTTTCAAAATTTTTGTACCGTCAAAATGTGCACCTTGCATTTTTAGTTTTTGTTTTATGGAACATAGTTGGCTCCTCAACAACGAAGAGACACCTTGTCCTACTACAATTCATAATTATTTTAAAAAAGTCTCTGTTTTTACATTTTTCTTTCTCTTAGTTGTCAAACATTTAATGGATGTTCCTCCTTACAAGTGGAAATCATAATAAATGAGAACGAAACAACTACTCAGATGTTCGAACACAGGACCTCCCGCTCTGATACCATGTTGAGGATGAAGTATTTTCCTTTGTTTATGATGGTTCTTACCCTTTTTTAAAAGTGATCACTATTTTGATCTTATTAAAATTTTAATACAAATTTTAGGTATAATAAAAATTCTTCGAAACAAAATTATAATAACATTTCAAGAAAATTATTGAAATAAAAGTAAGGTTACGCTGAAATAACAACGTTAGAAGAATAATGAGATAAGAAAGAAAAAGATATATTAGTTTAAAAGTTCAAGAATTAAGATAAAACTTTTTACCCATATAGCTCCGATCAAAAGGACAGAGATAGATCTCGACTGAGGTAAATGTTTCCTAAACGAAACACACAGATGAAATACGATTTAAATCAAAAAGTTACAAAAATCTAATCTAAACGGAGGAGTATGAGAAATTTCCCCCTTTTTTATTTTACTCTATTTGATCTAAAATCCACATGGGAAATTATGCGGCACTGTAAATGAAATGGCGTGGATAAGCCCACTCTCACTCACCAGTGAAAGTCGCTATAAGAACAGCTCTCTCAACACCATTTCACTCCAACTTCCACTCTGCTTCTGCCACTCTCTCTTCGAAGCTCTCTCCCATGGCTGCTTCACTGTTTCTGTGGCTATGCCTCTCTCTTCTACTTCTGGGTTTTGCTTCTTCTTCCAAGTTCGATGAGCTCTTCCAGCCCAGTTGGGCTTTAGATCACTTCAATTACAAAGGAGACACCCTCGAGCTCAAACTCGACAATTACTCTGGTAAACCACCCAAAATTGACTCAATTTCATGCCCCATTTCTCTCCCCCATTCTGACCAATTTGTAACCATGTTTTGGAAATCTAATTTCAGGAGCTGGGTTTTCGTCCAAATCCAAATTCATGTTCGGCAAAGTGACCATTCAGATTAAACTCATAGAGGGCGACTCTGCTGGAACCGTCACAGCATTTTATGTAAGTTGAAGAAAAAACAACCCATGCCATTAAAATGGTGGCTCCTTCTTAAGAATTTCTTGTTTTTTGTTTGGTTTCTTCTGCAGATGTCATCGGAGGGTCCAAATCACAACGAATTCGATTTTGAGTTTCTGGGTAACAAAAGTGGAGAGCCCTACTCTGTTCAGACCAACATTTATGTTAATGGAGTCGGAAACAGAGAGCAAAGATTGAACCTTTGGTTCGACCCAGCCACTGATTTCCACTCCTACTCCATCTTTTGGAACCGCCGCCAAGTCATGTAAGAAACCCACTAATTCCTTCCAAATAATGGTTTCTTTACATTTTAATTAGATTTGTTAACATTGATGGATTAGATTCTTTTGGCTGAGTGATTTTGGTGGGATTGCATTTTTCGTTTGAATTTACTTATTAATATTCATGATTCTATCTTAAAATCAATTCATAAGGAGAGGATTAGTTGTTGAATGCTCGTTCATGCGTTGCAAAATCAATGAAACTACATAAAACACGTTACTTTCTGTTTCGATAACATGATAATAATGAATAATTATCGTCGAAAAGTTTAAGTTAATGAATTGGATAAATTTAATTCATATATGGATATTTCGACAGATTTTTAGTGGACGAGACGCCGGTTCGAGTGCACACGAACATGGAGGAGAAGGGGGTGCCATTTCCGGCGGACCAAGCCATGGGAGTGTACAGCTCAATATGGAACGCCGACGACTGGGCCACACAGGGCGGCCGGGTCAAGACCGACTGGTCCCACGCCCCATTCGTCGCATCGTACAGAGCCTTCCAAATCGACGCCTGCGAGGTCCCCGCCTCCGCCGCCCCCGCCGCCCACTGCAGCAGCGACGCCGCAGCCGCAGCCGGCAAGAAGTTCTGGTGGGACCAGCCGCTGCTCTCCGACCTGAATCTGCACCAGAGCCATCAGTTGCTGTGGGTTCGGGCCAACCACATGATTTATGATTACTGTACTGATACTGCCAGATTTGCTGTGCCGCCGCTGGAATGTGCTCACCGCCGCCACTAGCGGCGGCGGCGGACGCCATGTTTTGTCGGTTCCGGGCAATGTAGTTTACCATGTGTAAGATAATAACATCATTTTTTTCTTTGTTTTTTTTGAATTTATTCTGACATCTTTGCCTTATTTTGGCAGGACACTTTCTTCACCTAATCTTAACCCAAAAGATATAATTTTGCTAAAATAGTGATAACTATGAAATCTAATTCAAATTCTTAAGTTAAAATATTGGTTAACATACTATTGGGGAAAAAATCGATTTTTTTACCTCTAACTTTGGCGAGTTTTACCCTTTGATTCAATTTTGACTAATTTACTCACTTATGTTAACAAAAAGCTAAGTATAAAGCTTTAAAACCTCATTAATTTCAATGAAATCAAATTTAGCTCAAAATTGAATTTGATTGAGGCACAAAATGGACAATTGAATAACTCTATTAAAATTTATAAATTAAAAGGATATCAAAATTAATACATCTTACCAAGTTCATAGTAAAAGTTATATTTTTTCCTCTAAATAGACAAAACAATACTAAATGCCAACTCTCCACTTCTCTCTATTATTAAAAAAAGAAAAAAAAACTTGATAATGGTAGCAACATTTTAAGAGATACAATCAAGTCAAATATTGTCCCTAATAAAACTTTTAAAATTGCAGATGTTAAATTAAAATTAAATTATAACTATAAACTATAAAGATTAGATTGGTAATCTAATGTAACAATATCGTTTCAAATAATATTGCTAACGAATTTCATTAGAAATTAAAACATTTAAAAGTATTCTGAAATCAAATTTTAAAAGAGGCATGCAATTCATCCAACGGTTAATTGTTGGGGTAAGACTTGAATATAATATCAAATTTTTTGGTACAAATAAGTGACCTTTAATTTTCTCTCTTGTTGGTACAAATACAACTCATTTGGTGGAACCCATTTGTCCCATTGGCTGAAAAGGAAGTGATGGTTATCCAATTATTTCAAGGCCCCTTGAGACTTTTACATGTTCAATTATGGGGTCCTAAAAAGTCCATGGAGAGCTCCTACTTTGGGAATCTAACCTTTCTTTCATAAAAAGGCTCAATTTTTGGAGTCTACTTTTTAAAAACATGGTCTTAATTTCAACTTAGAAAATGCAAATACGTACTCTTACTGGACTTTTATGATTTTTTAATACAATATGTGAAATAGAGGATCGAACTCACAACCTCATGATCTGAGATATATACCAATTACCACTTAGCTATGCTCATTTTGACAATTCTAATAATATGTTGAAGATTAGACCCTCCACCTCGTATATGTAATGCAAAGAGAAAAATTCAATTGAAGTTTACACATATACACAATTTGTGTTTCTATGTTTTTTTTTTTTTTTTTTGAAAAGATCATTTGTGATTGCAATCCAGTCCTTACTCTTGTGATTGGACTATTCAATCAAAAGCACATTGGGCCCATCTAAAAATATCAGTCAAAGATATTTGGGCCTATGTTTGGGCCTCATTAGGAAACTTAGCCTAAAATAGCAGTCTCTATAGCAAGAGTGAATTAGCTAAAACTAGTTACAACCTCTTTCAACCTCATGATAACAATCTCGACCATATGACATTAATCATCAGGTGACATCCTCGCAATGTTTTTGTCAATAATACTTAACTTGACTTTCGTTTTCTGGAAAGATTATCTGAAGGGATCAGAATCCATCTATCTAATGATTCTACATTGTTTGAACTTGTATCAAACAGTCATTAGGAGATAAAAAGATTCTGAAACTCCGCGGACTATTATAAGATGCACTAATTAACCACATTGACAGCCAAACGAATTGCTACGTTCGAATCAAGAAACCTTTAATTTGGTAGCAGCCTAGCTAACATCTACATAGGACATGAGCGGTCCACAATGTTGCCAACTGCCCCAACAAACCACCCTTACATGCACACATAGGTTTTGGATGGATCTTTTGATTAATTCAAAATTGGGTTTGTTTATTATATGTAGTGTTTGTTAAGGTTGATATTGTTGCCTGGTGGAACAATTGATGGGAATCAGTTTGTGTTTGCTGCATTATTAGGCTCCCCTTCATTTATGCCTCTCACAAGTTACCATCACAACCCTGTCTCCACCAAATATTAAACATGATATAACATTACATTAGCTCAACTAAAATTAAGTTCTATCCTACTCATGGAAAGTAAATAATAGATAACAAAGTATCAAGTGCATACCTGTTTTAAAAAGTTTTCAGTAATCGGAGCAAGAAATATAGAAAATATTGAGGATGGGATCCTTTCTTTTGTAGCTTAGAGTAGTTGACCCAAAAGGGCGACGGTTGGAGGTGGCAAGGACACGACGTACAGTACGGTGAGCATCGTGGAGCATGTTTCCGACAACTATGGGGTGGCATCACCACCTGCAGCCCTGAGGTTTGGTGTCCCCTCGTACCGATAATGTGCGCCTCCTACTATTCTTACGTGCAGTATTGTAATTGTTTGTGGTCTAACACTTCTTAGTGAGGGGACATGTATCCTGCTCGACAATGCCAGCTTGTGGTACGTAACCTCATGTGATCCCGTGCTTCCTGAAGATGGACACACGTTCTGCTCGGATTTTACCCTCAACAATCTCTAAACAACACGTTACACAACTTGATTTTTATTCATTATAATCAATGTGTCATATTAGACATAAAATTAAAAAGTTTAGAGAGAGTTATGACTAATTTCTTTATTATAAATTTAAAGATTAAATATACACGAGAAATATTGAAATTTCAGGAACGAAAATTGTAATTTAACCGAATGTAATGATCATCATTTATTAGTATGGAGGTGGGTTAGGCTGTTAGGTTTGGTTGGCTACTAAAAACGAAGAAGATGAATTATATTATAATTATTAAATTATAAATTAGTTTGGTTATTAAATAAAGAGTGGTATGTGACACCGACCATAAATGAAAAATCTTTGGGAGTCCAAAAATCCAGCTGTGAATTGGCTCGATATAACCCCATCCCCACCTCCAGCTGGCTTTTTCTAATTTTAATTTTATTTCACCTTTTCCTTTCAACTTTCAACTTTATTTATACTTTTTCAAACTTTTCTTTTTATAAGAAGAAAACATGATCTAGGTTAAAACATATTTTTTGACCTATACTTTAATAAAATAATATTGTAGTTCGTTGAATTTTAGTTCGTAACAATTTAACCAATCTAACCTATAAGTTTCAATAGGTAACAATTTAGTCCATGTTTAAAATTTGTAACGATATAGTCTATGAATATTGACGAGGGACTAAACATGTTTATAAATTACAAATTGATAAAGATCAACACTTAATTCAATGATATTTTTTACGGTAGGGATTAAATTGTTACGAATTTTAAATTATAGAGTTAAATTGTTATATACTAAAATTTAATAGATAAATTACCACTAATTTAAAAGTATAAAAACTAAATCATTAGTTTATAGTGTTACTTGAACCAGTGAACCCATATCAAATGTGTTCTTTAACTTAATAAGCATTATAATTTATTTTTTATTTGTGATTTTTAGTTTTTCTAATACAAATAAAAGATTTTCCGTGAAAATGCGTCATTTGATAAATGTTGATGTAAGACAAAAAGAAGTTTCGAGATTTTCCATGTTGATTTTTCGTTGTCATAACGATGCAACAATTTCGTCGTTAAAGAACACTTTTGGCGACGAAAGTAGTTGTTGTCAAAAGGGAAGACTTTTGGAACGAAACTTCTTTTCGTTGCCAAAAGTCTACCTTTTGACTTCTGTCACACTTTTGGCGATGTAGTAATTTCATCGTCAAATGACACTTTCGACGACGAAATTTGTTTGTGTCGCAAAAAATTCCGTCGTCAAAACTTAAAATTCTTATAGTGTGTTAAAATGAACCTAACCCGTGGTTAAAATATACTTTTCTTATTTTCTCTAAGAAAATAAGATGTCTCAACATCCTCCATAATTAAGAAGAAAATAAAGGNTTCAGAATACATAAAAGAGGAGTTGAATTGACAACCATGCAATATATTGCTTTGGAACCATCTTTCAACGGCTAATTCCAACTGGGTCTATCTCTACCTATGGTTTCTTAATTTGTTCACAACCAAGCATTTATTATAAACTCCTACAAACAATTATTTTCTTTGACACACCATTTCAGTTCAACTAAAGCTTAAAATTGGCTTCCAAGGAGTAAATTATTCCAACTAATTACAACATACGAGAGGGTCATAAAAATAAAGCAAACAAATCATCTTAATTTCTATACTTTGCTTATGACTCACATTTAATATTAGTTTCAACTTAATCTAATTTGGTATTTGTTATTATTTAAACCTCACAAATTATCTATAAATTATTTTAAAAAATCTATCTGCAAACTCATGTTCCATTTTCACTCAGTTTTGAATAGCGTACGCTGTCGTTTTACTCTGATTTTGTGTTTAGAATGAGATACTTTCCTAGGTGTAGATCAATCTTTTACTCACATTTCACTGTATGATATAAATAAGCTTTATATGATTTATTTATGTGAAACATTTCACCAACAAAATCCTAGCAATTGTTGTACCCTCTTTAAATTATTCGTTCACAAACCAACTTATAATTGAAACTACAAATATTAAAGTGAAACTAAATCCAAATTATAGACAACAAAAATTAAAAGTTGTAAAATTTAAAAATGAAATTGAAGCTAAACTCGATAATTTAAATGGTTAAGATACTATTTTGGTCCCTGTACTTTCAACTATGATTCATTTAGTTCATGTATTTTGAAAGTGTTCATTTTATTCACTGTACGTTGAAAATGAAAATGTTCATTTTGGTCTCTGTATTTTTAAAAATCGATCATTTTTGTCTCTCATTGCAAAATTTTAACACAAATTTTACACACAACGAAAAACTCTTTAATACAAAGCAATATATTAATTTTAGTATCGTGTTGAAATTGTAATAAAAAATGAGATTAATAATAAAATTAGGGGACAAAAATAGTCACTTTTTAAAAATACAAAGATCAAGAGAAATATTTTGATAATACAAGGACTACAATCAACCAAAATTAAAAGTAAAGAGATCAAAACGAACATTTTAACGGTATAAGAATCAAAATGAACCAAGCAAAAATTCGAGCGACAGACACGAATATTTTAACCTTAAATCAAACTTATGGAATTAAAGTTTGAAATGTGAAGGAAAGGGTAAAATTAGTATACAAATAATTACCAACTACTCCACGCGCATTGGTTGAGAGGACCCACCATCCCAGTTACCAACAAAGAACTCGCACTTCACCAGCAACTTCACTCTGCCAACCCAGATCCCAATTCTTCTCTCTATATATTTAACACCCAAAATCCAAAATCCCCACAAAATTTCTCACATCATTTGGAAATGGAAATCCCAATGGCCAAAATTTACCTTATTTGCTTAATCTTAGTCGAGATGTTGGTGATTGAAGCAATGGGTGGAGATGATTCGGAGAGATCAGAAGTAGAACTGGCGCCGAGCCCATCGGAGATCAGACGGCTGGGAAAGCACCACGCCGATAAGTCGGTGGCCGGCGGCGGAGTCATCATCGGCGGCCTTGTCACCGCTATCTTTGCGGCCGTTTTTTGTTACATTCGGGTCACTAGAAAAAGAGATGGCATTGATGCAGTTCGCTGAGATCAGATCAGATGGATCCTAATTTTGCCCACCCCAATCTCCCTCTCTCATACATACTTCTGATTATTTTTATTTTTAAGTTTTAGAATAGGAAAGAAGAAGAATCTGGAGATTGTTGTGTACTGTTTGGTCTGAATATAAAAAATCGACTGTTCATATAGTGAAGAAGCTCCCAGTTCAAAATTATTTGTTGGGTTTTTGTTAAGCTGTTGATAAATTATTAAAATTGGTGTAAAATAAACTTTTGAATCCATCATTTTTTGGAATCCGTGTTTTATTTCCTCTCCAACCACTTCTTGGTCAAGCCTACCACCAGCGAGAAAAGAGTAGGGTTAAATGTTGATAAATTAGTAAATTTTTAGTAGTTGATAAACTTCAACTTTTGAATTTAGTGGTAATTTAATATAATAATCCATTAATTTAAACTTTTGATTCCGTATTAATTTAACTGGTCATGACTCATGACAGATTTTGAAGTGAAACTGGTCATAGATCTTTCCAGAATCCTGAGTATATGATTTCATTGGTTTTCTAAAGCAAAAGTCTCATTGGTTGGAAACGCGGAAATATATTTACTTTAATTTAAAGCCGAAAGTTTTCTTTATTATTATTTTTTAATTTAAATTTTCCTGTATATAAAAATTCGAATTTAATTTAACCACCAGTAGCCAAGAACTACAAATCACTCGGTTTGTCTCCCGCTGCCGCGGCCAGGAGATTCCGCCTTACCAACTTTGCCCCCATTTTTGTTTTGGTTAAATAATTAAATAATTTTATTTTTTTTCAGACATTTAGTTTCTTTTCCAACCAAATCAAAATTTTAAAATAAAAATTAAAACTAAGTCGAAACCATGTTTCTTTTATAAAATCGGCTGAGATAGCAAGGCCCAGGCCCATCTCAGATTGGGCATAGCCCAATTCAGAAATAAATTGGGCTTGGGCCTCCACCAGTCAAAAATCTGCTCCCCTACCCGCCACCAAAACCAGGAAACAGGCTTTCTTCTGACGCATCTTCAGTTGTGGAAACGCAGTAAAAAATCAAATGGCTAACTGTTCTTTCCAATGGTGGCATGCCCCAATCTTCTTCACCATCTCCGTAGTCTTGGCTTTCTTCGCCATCTCCGCCGCTCTGCAATCCACTTCCCACTCTGCAACTCCGCCGACCAAAGCCATTGCCGACGAGCTCTCGTTGAACGCATCAAGAGCTCTGAGAAGAGCCGGATTCAACACCATTGCCACGCTCCTTCAGGTCTCCCCTGAACACTTCTTCTCCGCTCAAAACTCCACCATCTTCGCCATTAAAGACTCCGCCATCTCCAACACCTCCCTCCCTCCATGGCTGCTCCGGAATCTTGTCCACTACCACACTTCCCCTTCCAAGCTTTCCATGGCGGACTTGCTCAAGAAGCCCCAGGGGGTCTGTCTCCCTACCCTGTTGAGGAGGAAGAAAATAGCAATCACTCGAATGGATTCGAATTCCAGATTGGTGGAGATCAATCACGTTCTTGTGACGGACCCGGATATTTTTCTTGGAGGAAACGTCTCCATTCATGGAGTTCTTGGACCGTTCTCTCCTCTGGATCCTATGGATGTTCGTCAGGGGTGGAGCTTCATTCAGGCGCCGTTCTGCGACTCGAACGCCACTCTAGTTTCAGATAATCTCGAAGCCAAGAACGGAATCGAAGTCGAGTGGAGAAGAATCATACGATGGCTTAGTGCTAATGGCTTTGTTTCTTACGCAATCGGATTGCAATCTGTTCTTGAAGGGATTCTTCAAGATTTTGAAGGGTTGAAATCGATTACAGTCTTTGCACCGCCGAACTTGGCGTCCGTAGCGTCTCCCTCGCCTGTGCTGCAGCGAGCTGTGAGGCTTCACATCGTTCCTCAAATGGTTACGTACAAATCACTCGCTTCCTCTCCGCCGAGAACTTTCCTCAAGACGCTCGTCTCCGGCCAAGATCTTGAGGTCCTCGGAGGAGTTAGGGTTCCGAGAGGAACGGTGGTCGTTAATGGTGTAGAGATAGTCTCGCCGGAGATTTTCCGGTCCGGTAATTGTGTAATCCATGGAATTTCCCGGTCGTTCGAGATCGTCGGTTTACCTCATTCATCAAGATGAATTCGCTTCAACTTGAGGAAATTCAACCCATAGAACATCTGTTCTGGTTCAGAACTCAGAATTCAGAATCCAGATTGTAATGAAACAGGAGGAAGAACATATAAAAGCAGAGAGGAAATTCTCGTCTGCATTTTCTGTACATTTTAGGGTTTCATTTCATACAAACTAAGAAAGAAAATTCTAACCAGAAAAAAAAAAAAGAAAAAAGAGAGAAACGAATCAAAAGCGAAAGGAAAAAAGAAAAGAGAAGAACAAATCGAATGATCGTCTATCGAGAAACTCTTTTCATTATAATCCGAGTCATTTTCAAGCCAGTTAACGTCACATTGACTGAATCTAGAAATCGCGATTTCGTAAACAACCCCACAATCTCCCCAACCTCTTCATCTCCACATTCCTCAACGACGACGACACAGACGCCTTTAGGCCTCACAGCTCTCTCCATCTCCGCCACGAATCGAGACGGAAACAGCGCCTCCGCCAAATGAGCACTGAACGCGAGATCAAACGCATGATCAAAAAACGGCAGATTATGCGGATCGGCGCGGCTGACCAAGGGCGGCGAATCCACCAATTCGACGCCGGTGACATCAACAACTCCCATCTGCGAGAGCGCCATGACCTCGTGGCCGGCTCCGGCGGATACGCAGATGACTTTGGTGTGGTTGTGGAGAAGACCTAGATCGCAAATCGGGCGGAAGAGTTGGGCGAAGGAGGAGAGCTTCTTGTGCCAGTCATTGGTGGACCAGAGGCGCTTGTTCTTCTTGGCGATGGAGACGAGCTCGCGGGGGGAGGAATCGCAGGAGGATTTGGGGAATTTGAGATGGGGTTTTGAGGGGGAATTCAGAGGGATGCAGGTTTCTGGGGTTTGGAGGAAGAGGAGGATGAGGGTGAAGGTGGCCATGGCAATGGAGCCGAATGAGATCCTGTTCAGAAAAAGCCGTACGTGCCGTTCCATTGGAATTCACCAGATTATGCAAATGCAACATTGACCTCTGCTCTGCTCCGAGACTCTCTTTGGTGCTTAAAAGTTTAGAGGAAGAGCCTACAAAATTGTTTCTCACTTTCCCATACCTTATCTAGTAACTCATTTTGCCCCTATCCAACGAGTTCATGTGTTATTAGTACTAAAAAATGGATCTATAATTTTTTTCTTTTTAAATATATAAATTATAAATCTATTATCAAAAATTACGAGGGAGGGAATTATTAGACAATATAAAAATTATATATATATATATTATATTGGATGAATTTTTAATTTAGTAGGGGTGATAAAATTTTTGGACTACACATTATATCTTCTCTCTTTGGAATCAAGCAATATAATAAATTAATTTTGTAAATATCACATTGTAATTTACCTGATTGATTGTAATAACGTTATTGAGTTGGGTTTGAATGATTTTTTTTTTCATATTTTAAAGAGCAAATAACATAATAATATTTAACCTCTAATATTTTATTGTGCACAATAAGTAGGGGTTGAAGGCTCGAACTTACAATCTCCTGGTTCGAAATAGATATCTTAACCAGTTGATCTATACTCAGGTTAGTAGCATCTATTTCGACTCGACTTGATGAGAGATTTAAAAGAAAAAAAAAAGTTTCTCCGTATAAATAATATTCAATACATAACATTTGTAATTCTCTTCAACGATCATCTCGACAAGTTAAAACTGGAGAGTACATTCTAAATAATATCAGATAGAGAATAAGGAAATGTGAAGCTCTACGTCAATAATAATTCATATGGAAAGACCTTTCTTTCTGCTATCTACCTTCTTGTAAGGTGACTGTCAACTCATTGTGGGAGAAGGTTTCTGGTTTGGTGGAGGACGAAGCTCGGCTCGAGGGGCACCTCCGCACGATGAATGCTGGTGGTTTTGGAGATGGGAGAGTCGCAGTTTCACTGCCGAGCATGAAGACGACATTCGACATGGTGGGTCGATCCCATGGATCTTCCTGCACACACAACAGCCCCACATTTAAACACTTCAAATATTCATCTCTTTTGCAGTTCTCGCTCACTGTTTGCTCCATCAAGTCCAAGCCTTTGCCTGTTATCCACAAATCCCATGCCTGAGATTTGAGAAAAATCAGTCCGAAACTCAAATTGATGAATCTGGGATACGAGTTCAAGAAGTTTTAAACTTCAGAAGGTTAAACAGAAGTATCAAACTTACATAGCCTAGAAGACTCAAAGCTTTCTCCGAGTGATAGAATCCCGTGTTCCTTTTTCCACTGATGATTTCAATCACAACTACACCGAAGCTAAAGACGTCAGATTTAACTGAAAATAAGCCATCCAGTGCGTACTCCGGTGACATGTATCCACTGTAGAACAAACAGAAAATTCAAGGAAATTGTGTGACATTATATTATGGAGCTGGTTTGATGATTTTTATTGCATGAGACTTACTAAGTCCCTACCACCCTTTTGGTATTTGTGGCAGTTTCTTTCCCTCCAAAGATCCTGGCCAGGCCAAAATCCGATATTTTGGGATTCATCTCCTCATCTAGAAGAATGTTGCTCGTCTTCAAATCTCTATGAATGATTCTCAACCTTGAATCCTGGTGAAGATAAAGAAGGCCACGAGCGATTCCTAAAATGACGTTGAAGCGCATGTCCCAATCTAATAGTATCCTCTGCTTTTGATCTGGCAAACAGTCAAAATAAGTCCATTTGTGGCACATAAATGTTAAGGAAAATGAAAGGACTGGAGAAGATTATGATAACGAACCAAATATAAACGCATCTAAGCTTTTGTTTGGCATATATTCATAAAGCAACATCTTTTCATCTCCTTCAACACAATAGCCCAAAAGTCTTACGAGATTTCGATGCTGAAGTTTCGCGATCAACAAAACCTCATTCCTAAACTCCTCAAAGCCTTGTCCTGAACCACTTGAGAGTCTCTTTACAGCAATCTCCTGACCACTAGGAAACTTGCCCTAAAAATGCAGTGATTCCAGCTATTCTTAAACCAGGAAAGCTTAAAATGACCATCAATGAGTTCTATTTAAGGATCTGTACCTTGTAAACTGGCCCGAAACCTCCCTGTCCAAGCTTATTTGCATTTGAGAAGTTCTCTGTGGCAATAAGAATTGTTTCCAAATCAAAAAATGGTATGTCTATTCCATTTGTGTCATCTTCCTTAAATCGGCCTGATTCAATCAGGTCTTTGACACGTCTCTCATTGTCATACAAGTGAAGCATTGATTCTTTTTGGCTGTTTCCCCTGCTTTCTGATTCCAAAGACGATAGACTGTATTTAGATTTAAAGGAAAAGGGATGAAATTATTAGTATATAATTGGCTTCACTAAATTGAAGAACTTCAAAATTACCTTGTCTTTCAATGAGCCCAGTCTTGGAGAAGTAAATATAAAATACAGTACTTGAGAGAATCATCAGAAAGACTATACATATGATTGTCGCAACGATAATCACAGAGAAGGTCATTTTTCCTCTTCCATCCTTCTCTTTGTTGTGATCTACATTACAGCAATAAGGAACTGATGTAAGAAACTTTTTTGTAGCTATTGGCTCCCGGGATAACCAAAAACATCAAATACAATGGTTCTTACCTGTACTGCAGTTCAAGCCCCAGCCATTCCAATGGAAGTTTGTTATACAAAGGCATCTTTGATTTCCATCTTTAGTCATGTTGCAAGTTGAATAAGGCCAGTCTTTGCAGTCGGTAGATGAAGAACAAGTGGGTTCCAATGGCGGCTCCCAACCGATTTCAACTTCGTTGCTGGTTTTCAGAGAAAAGTTCTCTGGATTGGTCTCCTTAAAGTTGCACCAGTTGGTAACATGGAATGGAGACGACTGGTTCAGCTGAAGGGTTTTGATTATCCAATTCTTATCACCACAATCACCAGCATCGTTAGTTTGAATGACAAATTTTCGTGCTTCTGAATTGATGAATTTAACTTTATACATTCCACCTGGTGCTGCAAAGGTTACCTGGCCAGTAGTCACATTGCAGTTAAAACTCAAGTACATGGGGTCGCCACAGTTAGGTCCGGTGCTAAGCGGGTAAGGAATGAGATTTGTGCCACATGTTTCACAATTCCTGACCGTCAGTTCTGCAGAAATGCAAACTCCAGATCTTTAGAATCATAACTGAAAATTAATTATTTGAAAATAAAAATAGACAAACATACCTAGATCTCGAACTGCTACTCGGACGTTGAGGTCACGGCCATTATCAAACTCATCCTCAAGATTGTTGAGATCTCCAGACCAAATCCAACAAGCGGAATTATCAATCCCACTGTGCCTTGTGATATTAGCTTCCACATACGAGTAAGCCTGGCACTGGCAGTTGTTAAGACACTCCAACTTGCAATCAGAGTCATCCTTTGCATTGAACTGGAAGTCTGGGTTCCCAGATTTCATCATCTTTAGACTCAAGAACGTGTCGCTTTCATCGTCGATACCACACATTGGTGACTTTCTGTTGCATCCACCAGAATAATCTCCGATATTCCAACTCTCTGGAGAGGCAGGCTCGAAACCAGGGAGACATTTGCAAGCCACACCGCCCTTACTATTACAGCTAGCAAAATTTCCGCACACATTATACACACTGCACCTATCTCTTGGCTCCACCCAAATCTGAGACCAGACTCTGTGATCATCCCAGTTTAGATATTGAAGCTGGCCGGAGCTGTTCAATACTAGCCTTGTATCAATGTATAATGATGATGTCAGACGTGGCACGGAGACGTTGGAGACACCTTTCGATGAGAAATTTGACAACAGGTATAACAATGCAGCAGGCATCTTATCAGTGGTAATAAACTTACCTGAAACACCACTTTTCCAATATTTAACCGATCTCTTCCAAATGACATATTGGCCACCGTCTTGGTCTAGCTGAAAAGTGAAGTTCCCTTGACCGGGGTCCTCATAGCTCTTCCATGAAGTCAGCACTAAGTTATCATCCATTACCATGCCAGGAAGAAATGTATCAGTTGGGTAATCAAAACTCTGCCAGAGGATTTTCTCAGAGAAGTCTTCTTGATCTTCATAGCTCAAAATCAGATTCCCATTATCCATTAGCTTCAGGGTCCTGGAACCGATTATTGGATGACCAATTTTTGTCGACCAATAAAGATTCCAATTTCCATCGGATACTTTGAGGTTGCCATCATCTTCAATGGTAAAGACACCATCTGAACCCAAAAGTGGCCTGTCTCTATTGGCAACCCAAACGACCGTTCTTGGATTTGATTTGTAGTACCATATTCCCACATATCTTCCCCTTTTAGAGCTGCCATACGGTGTAAAAAATCCGAGTTCAAATCTTGCTCCTGCCGAAATAAGAGTATCCCCTCTCTCATCAATTATGCAGCTCTTAAATTCTAAGGTATCTTTAGGAATGCAATTAACTACAGAAATAAAAAACACAAATGAGTACAAAAGGAAAAAAGATATCAACTCCTCTGCAGACCAGCTGATGGCGACCAAGTTCCTGTAACTTCTTCTTCTGGCCACCATCATTTCACTGCTTCTGCTATGCAACAAACATGTTCCCTCCCCTCTATTTTGATCTTCCTCGATTCATCCTTATGATTTTTAAATTAAAAGTGATTTTAAAAGTAATGTAAAAGATCAGACTGGCGAGGAACATTTTCCTTTTTGGTTTCAACAACAATACAAAAATGTCGCTTTCCAGCCCTGGTCCGCATGATCAAGCCATTTACCAATAAACACTGTGCATAATTTTACTAATATAATAATAGTCTGAATATACCAAACATGTGAATAATTGTATAAAGAGATCACCACCATGAAATATGTCTAGAATAGAAGCTCATCTGGAATAAATGACACATATCCTACAAAGAGAGCCAATTTTTCAGAGTAAAGTTGCACAAGTAAACACTCATTTCTTGGTTCAGATTTCAAACCCAAGATAATAAACAATCGTGCTCTAAACAACACTAGTTCACAACTTTTTTCCCCATTTACAAGTGCAAATTGATAATCAGAAAGTATAAATTGGGTGTTTTTATTTGTCTAAGCTGAATTATTGGAAAGCAATATGGACGGCCAAGGTCAAGATTTACTGTTCTTGTCAAGTCCATCTTTCCATTAGTGGACCCATAACTCCACCTTTTTCCTATATCTTTATGAGAGAAAGAGACTAAAGGCAATAGGCTACATAATTTGATCAACCCTAACTTTTATTCATCTTTATTTGGGCGGGCGATTCTAATGTACGAAAAACTATCTACCTCTTTCGGTTATTTAATTCAAGGAAAAGAGACCCACCGAAGACTTTCGTCGATTTCAGTCTTTTATGTTACAGATGGTGCGATTCTATAGCCTGAAACACCATCGAGCAGTACAATTCGAAAAAAAGGTCAAATCTGAAATTGGCAAACCCTAGGCAGGAAACAACAGATGTTTGAAAATTTGAAGAAGACTAGAAATGGAAGTTAAGCAAACTATGGACTGAAAACAAGAGACGTTTGAAAAAACCCATATTAAAGATCAAGACCTGCGGTTTCTGATTCCCCATTTTGACGCTTTACTGAAGATTGGAAGAGAAGAATTCACTACAGTTTTGCGACTTGTCGATTTGCGGAGCCTGTGACGTCCCAAAGACGACATTATGAGGAAATAAAGCATTCTATTTAGCTAAATTACACAAAATCAGCGGTTTTAACCTTTTAAAATTTTGAATAATACCCGAAGTTACTTTTAATTAGAGGAATTGTGAAATTTTAAGAAAATTAGATATTTTTACTTTTAAGTTTTCTGTTCTTCACAACGAAGATGAAGAAGAAGAATGCTCCAAATCTCAAATTATGCTGTCATCTACAGCTGGGGCATGGCAAAAGAAGCTCTAGTGGCTATTGTTAGCCTGAATTGATATTATCTTCCAGACCCCACAAAAAAATTCATACAAATTCTGCATTTTTATCGGCCACAAGTTTAAAAAATTAATGTTTGAGGAAAAAGATGGTGAGAGAAAAAATTAAGAAGTAAAAATAATGAATTGGGTGTAACTTGTAAGCCGATGGTGGAGCGGCAAGCTTTGCGGCTAATACAAGGTAAGGAGTTCATCAATTAATATCAAATTAACGAGAGAAGGAAACAAAAAGTGGTTCTAAATTATCTTCTAATGGCTCTTTTTTTCGTTTTTTTTTTGCTTCTTCACTTTTTGAATTTGTGGACTAAATTTTCGTTGGGGTTTGCGAATAATTAAAGTTAATTACGTGGGTTAGTGATACATTTTGATTTGCCGACTGGAATCAATTCCCATCTCTTCTTTCCTTCACCGATTGTTTTATTCCCTCTAATTCTGTCCTTAATTTTTATCTGCTTTTCTCTAATCCGAACAGAATTAGTTCCCAGAAAAATGTTTGAAAATCTGTGGCCGTCGATTTTCGCTCTCAAATCATGGTGTTAAAGCCTAGGGTTACCATCAATACTATCAGGCTGACGTTGAATGGCAACAATATAAACCCACGGGTTGCCTTTACTTTCGTATTCATCACCAGAAAGACAGGAGAAGGGCTTCTCCATGAGATTGAAGTTTTTCCTTAATCATGTTGAGTGAAGAAGGTTAGATCTTCGATTCCTCCATTTGTTTTTGTAATTGAAACTCCGTTCTTTTCTGGGTTTCCCGTTTCACGGGAGAATTAGTCATTTTGCATTGCCTGCGATTCTGGTATCCTCTGGATTTTGTTTGATCGTAACTCTTCATTTTAGTTGAATCTCTGAGTTCCAACGGATCCTCTACAAATATTTGATCGATAGAAGTTGCTGAAATCATGTTTATGTTATCGCAAGAATTGTTCGATCAGATTTGGATGGAAACAGAACCATTTGCCATGACCATGAACATCTTTAGATTCCTCTATGTGTGGATGGTTGTTCGTTTATGAATCTGTATTTATGTTTTTTTTCTTTTTCTTTTTCTTGTTATCTATCAGGTCTGCGTCTCTTCTACATGTATTGGTTCAGCTTCTCGTAGTGGGAAAATAATTCTCTTCACTCTGGCCGCTGCAACCACCTCAAATTCTTCTCGCACCTACACATGGGTGTGGGATAATGGAGTGATTTCTCTTGGTGTTCTGAGGAAGTCAAGATCATCACACATTTGGAGATTGTGTCGTGTTTTAGAGGGTTTGTCGCTCGATTATGGTTAAGGTTATTCTTGGCTAAAAACCGTCGAACTATCTATATATTTGCCTGTTGTTCATTGTCTTGTAAGGATTATACTCTTGTTTAAGGCTTGTCATAAGACGAGCGAGTCAGGTTATGGCTAATGTTATGCATAATGCAAATCTAGGCTATCTGTGGATGTAGTTTTTCAGTTGCTTCTCCGCAATGGTTAGATTTTTTTGTTTCCATGCTCACATCCATAACCACAAACTAAAGGTAAATGGAAGATTTTCTTCTCGGCATTGACGTAAATCGCTTCTATTAATACAGGTCGTGTATAATTGATTTCATCTGTCCGTGTCATATACAGAAAATGGGTCAACCGTCTGCTACCGAGGAAATGCCAAAGACACTCCAAGATCTTTCTCCAAGTAAGGTCTCAGAGGATGCGCCTCAGATTACAAGTCCTAATCAGTTGTTGGCAAAGACAGGGACTGCTAAACAAGATACTAACAGTCCAAATCACATGGCTTCCATCATTGAGAATAGCATATTGGTCAATCAGACGTGCGACCTTAAGAAAAGTCAGTCTCTAGGAAGCATGCCATATGGGGATAGGTCAGTTGCTGCAGATAAGGACACTGAAGATGGCATCATAGACCAGGTATTTTCCTGTGATAGTTCCCAATGTAGGTTTGAAATTTCTGATTCTGGAAAGGCTCGAGGGATAAGCATTTCCGATCGGTTTAAAGACACCATAGACTCGGAGTCTTTTCGTCTAAGTTCAGATCCTGTTATATCAGAAGCAATCTTCTCTACTGATGACCTAGCATATAGAGAAATGGAAGGTGGTGGAAATGATGGTTCTTCGTTGTGCATTGAGAGTGTTGGTGATACTGGGAATCATACACCTCACACCACACAAATGATTGTAAAATCATGTTCAATGCCCAACTTTGATGCTTCATCACCTGTTTCTGGTGGTTGTTCTCCCTGTAACGATATGCTTTCTGAAGTTCTCCAACTCTTAGATCCAGGGCATGGAGCGATGACACTTAATGAGATGGAAGTGCAGGAAAATCGATGCCAATCAAGAGAAGATAGTATGCTCGAGACTGAGAAAATTTATTTTGAGAATTTGTCAGATGATGGTAATGAATCTTATCCTGCTATAGTGGAAGACTGGAGAACACCAGTTGCAGATGAAGTAAATCCAAGGGAAACTCTACAAGGAGGAACTGTGGTTCAGCAGTTTGATGAACCGCAGAGCAATGATTTCAAGATTAAGCGAATTGAGGAGTGGGTTAGCGATCTTCAAATTTGTAGCCCGGATGAAACAACTGAAGTCTTTGAATCTGCTGCTAATGAAGTGGAAAGAGAACCTCATATCGAAACAGGTTCCAGTGCTGGACGAATGGATTCCAAAGCGACTGCGGGCATGGAAGCTGCAAAGAGATATATTTCTTCAATGAATGCAGCAGCCACTACTGCGCAGTTGGCAAATCATGGGTTGGCTGTGGTTCCATTTCTTAGTGCATTTGTAAGCTTAAAGGTGCTCAATTTATCAGGAAATGCCATAGGTTTGCATCCGTGACTTAAACTCTACTGTTCAGAATTGATCTCTTTCTTGACATTTTCATTATTACGTTGATCAGCTGGTGAAACGCAACATTTTGATAATACTGGTTATAATCCGTTATATTTGCAGGAAAGATTACTGCTGGTGCTCTACCACGGGGGTTGCATAGCCTGAATTTGTCTAGAAACAATATCGCGACTATTGAAGGCTTACGGGAACTGACCCGACTTCGTGCGCTGGATTTGAGCTATAATCGGATATGTCGAATTGGACATGGTATGTTCCCCAAATTCAAAACTTCGTTTTGTTTGAAGACTGAACAAGGTTTGCAAATCTTCCCTCTGATATCTCCTTTTAATATCTTGGTGAAAGGCCTGGCTTCTTGCTCATCGTTGAAGGAGTTGTATTTAGCTGGAAATAAAATTAGTGAAGTAGAGGGTCTTCACCGGCTCTTAAAATTGACCATACTCGATCTGCGCTCTAACAAGATCTCGACGACCAAGAGTCTCGGCCAACTTGCTGCCAATTACAATTCTTTGCAAGCCATCAGCCTGGAAGGAAACCCAGCACAGAAGAATGTTGGAGATGACCAGCTGAAGAAACAGATGCAGGGCCTTCTCCCACATCTGGCTTACTACAACCGACAAGCCACGAAAGGCAGTATCCTGAAGGACGGTGCTGATAGGTCAGTACGGCTAGGAATAAGTAGCCATCAATTCGAGCATGGAACCAGAATAGATCACAAGGGCGTGAGGAAGATTGCTCAGAGTCACAGAAGTCACGGGTTGGCCTCGCCAAGACGATCCAAGCTTCGGCAAGGACATGCCTCTGCCCTGCCCCCTACTGGAACTGGAAGTAAATCAAACAGTAGTAATCGGCACCACCATCAGGACATTAGCAGCAGACAGATCGAGTTTATTAGATCAAACTCCCATATGCGGCGGAGTCGAAGCGAGGGAACACTGGCAGATTTTTGAGTTAATACCAAGCACAATGTACTTGTTGAATGAGTTGAGCTATGAGTGCTAGCAATCTATGGGGCTAGGCTATCATTGATTTTGTTAAGCACATTAGTGTCTTTTGAACTGTGTTGTTTCATGTCGAATAATCTCAAGTCCACCGATTCGAGGTGATTTAGTTCATTTGAGCATTCAGAATATCATATTCATCTCCTATCTGCATCACTAAAATCGCATAACTTGGCTTCAGAGGATTGCTCTAAACTTAGAAGTAGAAGTTATAGAAAGAACAAGAGATGGACGAACATTTATGAACTATTTATTAGTGTGAAAGGAGAACACATAGGTACAATTCAAAGTCTGAACATGCAATTTTTTTTGTATTTCCAACACAGGGTATGAATATTTTCACCATGTACAAACACGAAACTTCTTCAAAGTCAATTCATTTCACTCAGCAGTCTTCTCTACGTTTGCCACGTGCAATCAACTTCTGCATTAAAAGCTCAAGCATGTGAGCACTTCTGGTGGCTATTGCTAAAAAGTCAGAGTTTATGGCATTAAAAATTGTGAATAAGTATAGGCCACTCCAGAATCTAGATTCAATCAAACGCAGAGCGTTGTCAGCATACCAAAATAAGGAATGAAAACAGAGTTACTAATGAATCGTTGAGCTGAGTGCAGTTAGAAATTAACTTACACGGGAAGTCTACTGGCCTCAGCATCGTTCGTCTCGTTCAACCATCTGCTGAATAGCAAAGACAATATATGAACAGTGTTGTCTAGATGACCATATTTACATCTGAATTTTAAATAGAGTAAGACGAAGGCCAAATTGATATACCTCAAAATCGAGAAGGCTCTAAAACAATTACCAAAAACGGAAGTCTAAATTTTTATGAAAAACTAGAATCCGAACAGTTCTCTAAAAGATGTTCCAAGCAACTTAGTCCATCGCAGTCCACAACAATGAACAAACTCGCCTAGATAGTGGCAATCGTACAGACAGCGATATATCACACAAGCAAACCAACTTTCTAAATCTTGACGCTCTTCGTTTTGCTCACTACTACTAAAAATCTAATAAATGAATCGTGGACAATTACGGTAACCCACTTGAGAAAAGTGGAGGAGAATCCAATGATGAACTAAGAAGGGTGGACATATCCAATTTCAGGCCAAGAATCTCATAATATCGAAAGAAAAGAAAATCCAAGAAATGGACGAGCGCCAGAGTAAATACCCAAAAACTAACACGCAAAAAGACGACACACGGCCCCAAGATTTAGGTAAATAAAGTCAAGAACTCGAACCTTTGAGCTCGTCGTCGGCATCATGATACTCCTGCTCGTCTTCAGGCACTGGATCAAGTTCCACATCCTCTCCAATGATACTTTTCATCGAGCGGCCGGTGCTTCCATCACTATCATCCTCTCCACCACGAGAACCTTCCTTGTCATCCGGATACCTCACCACCACCACCGGACATACACAATGGTGAACGCAGTAATCGCTAACGCTCCCAAGTCGGCCCTTAGTGATTCGCTTGGAGGCGCCAAAGCCACGGCTCCCCATGATAACAGCGCTGAGCCCTAACCTTTCGACCTCCAAGCACAGCCTTTCTTTCATGTCGTGGTCTTTGACTATGTGAATCTTGAAAGGAATATTGGCCTCCACTAAAGGTTGGGCCAAGTCAGTGGCCTTGGTCGTCGTGAAGTTGTCGAAATCGTCCTCAAGCATTCTTTGCGATTCCTCCGCGCTAACGCCATCGCTGCTGCTATTCCTTTGATGAAGGTCAAGCGATCCCCAATCCGCTCCATAAAGAACGCTGGTGGGTCGCACATGAAGAAAAAACACCAAATCGCGGGGTCGGAGATAGTTCTGTACAGCCCAACGGACGGCGTACGCGCTCTCGTCGCTCAAGTCAACAGCGATTGCAATTCTCCGTTGGGAGTCCGATGAATGGCGTGGCGACAGAAGGATGCTCGGCGACGGCGGTTGGATTTGACCGGCGGCATTAGGATCCACAGTAGAATCCGAGTCCGATCGCGTAGGTTGAAGATCCATTCTGTAGAGAATCACGGTGTTGGAATGCGATCGGAAACAGAAGACGAAGAAAAGATTCGATACGCAAGAAGAGGGAAAGACTGGTCCAGAGAAAGATAAAGAAAGAACAAGAACTCAGAATGAAAATGGAGGATCGATTAATGGAAACATGAGGAAGACGGAAAATCGCAAACTAGAAATGGTTAAAAAGGCGTTGGAGAATAGACCGACGATTTGTTCTACGACCAAACCCTAACGGCATCGGCAATTCATTAATTTAATCTTCTTCCTTAATCTTTATCATTATCATTTATCAGTCGCATTAGTCACCGCGCGAACACGGAAACGACTTTCTTTCCTTTTCCTTTCGTTCTTTTTTCTGTTTTCTTTTCGTTTCTTTTCCTTGCCAGCACTTATGACCTGTTTTTATGGTGTAGAAGGTATTTATAGATTTACTTAATAAAGACTCCCATGGTAAATGTTTTTTTTCCCCAGGGAAATTAATATTTTAAAGAACAATTTGGCATGTAAAAGTTAAAATTTTTACAGGTGAGTCAACTTTAATTTAAGCTTTCAATTTTATCCATTTTAATAAATATTGTAATTAATACTCTCTCAATATTAAATTATAAGAAATCTAACACAACTAGAAAAACCAATATCCTTAAATAAGAAGAAACTCTTCTAACCATAAGAATGCTAATATATTTAGTCACAAATCTCTAGAGAAAATAGAAAATATAATTAATTGAGAGTATTAATTGCATCATTTATTCAAGTGCTGCGATTAATGCATTGCTTATTTAAGTACACGGTTTAATTTGATTAAATTGAAAGGTAGAGTTAAAATTGACTTACCTTCTAAAGGTAAAATTGAAATGTTAAAGATAAGAACCCCATGCACTTAAAATTTATATAATAGTTAAAAGTTAGAAAATAATTTAATCATATATAATGAGAAACAAACCAAGAGAGGAACAGAACAATAAAAAACAATTAAAAAGGAGGCTAAATGCGATCCCGAAGAACTAACCACTACTATTTGTGCTAGTTTGTGAGCTACACGAAAAGTTATTTGACCAAAATATAATTTTAATCGAAACTACTTTAACATATTTTCTTCGTATTATTTCTTACCTCTTATATTCTATTGAAAAAAGAAATATTTTCTACTGAAAATGTATAAATATCTTAAATTTCCTCGATATATAATTAAAGTTGGTTCTTGGTAAGATAATGTAAAAATTAAGTAGCGTGTATATATATATTATATTCTTTATTTAAATACATAAATAACATGGTGACTCAAAGTGCATTTTCAATATTTTATTTGGTGAGAACGAAAAAATACCAAGAAAGAAAGAGAACATACATACTTCAAAATGAATGAGTAAATTAAACATCAATTTAAAGCTAGAAAACTCCATTTATAGAAAGGACAATCACACCTTAAATTGCATGTTCACATTTTTGTATCAATTGCAGAAAGAACCTAGAAATTTGATCATTATTACTTAACATGTTTTCAATGATTTAACATATTGTGAGTCAAACCATCTCTTTCCATAAACACATAGATAGAAATTATTGTAGTTAAAAAGAAAATGTTAATTCAATTTTGATTCATTTTGGTCTCTTACTTTAAAAAATGTTCGTTTTAGTTCATGTACTTAATTTTGGTTCATTTTAGTCTCTGTATTTTCAAAATCTTCATTTTGGTCCAAAAAGTGACTATTTTAGTCTCTTAATTTTACTCTTAATCTCATTTTTTCTATCACAATTTCAACACAACACTATAATTAATATATTTCTTAAAATATAAACATTATTTTATATTAAAGAGTTTCTGTTGGGTGTAAAGTTAAGGGACTAAAATTTTCACTTCTTAAAGTACAAGGACCAAAATTAGCATTTGCAAAATATAGAGACTGAAATGAACCAAAGTTAAAAATATAGAGATCAAAATAAACATTTTCAAAGTATATAGATTAAAAGTGAACCAATATTGAAAATACACGAACCAAACTAATATTTTAACTAAAAGAAAACTAATTGCTACAATTGAGCCCTTGAATATATTGGGATTGGGTTAAGATTATGTATGGATCAATGATTCACGCATTTTCAATATACCATTATGTATAGAGTTGAAATATGAACATGTAAATTTTTGGTAAATATTTGGAAGCTAATAAGTTATTGAAAATTCCCCAAATTGATTGAGACTTGAAATATTTGCGCTCAATCAATCAAGGGGCAGCGTATAGTAAGGCCATCTAAGTCTAAACTTAAAAGTCTCACTTGATCCAGGATAATGACATCTTTTATTGTAGAACAAACAACAAACAACCACCTTTAATTTTTCTCAAATGTTCCCATCGTGTCATTATTAGAGTGTTTGACTACTTTGTCAAATTGATTATAGTTTAAGTAGCTACCATCTCAATGATCGATTATTTGCTCTCCATACCTTCACAATCGTCGAACTAAAAAAAAAATTGACCACTTTCACAAATATTATATAATAGTATAATGTTATGCTTTAGAAGTAAACATACTTAAATTATCACCTCTTGTTTGAATTAAAAATAGTTTGATGTTTTAAATTTTCATTATTTGAAAGATATTCCTTGTATGTGGTGTATATGTGATTAATAATAGAGTAAAATTGGAATTTATGAACACGCATATTTTTTATATTATTTTTATTTGTTAGAAATAGTTAGAAAAAAAAATCAAATATTTATGTTGTATTTGTCAAATATAGTTCGATGCTTATACCTTAAATAATAAAGTTCATGAATTTAAATAATAATCTCAAACTCCTTTATCTATACTTTAAATATCATCTATTAAAAACAATGATCTTTGATGTGTAGAGATATGTACCATTTATGAATTGAAAACGACTGAAATTATAAAGATAAAACAAATTAAGAAAAAATTAAAGTATAAAAAGTGACAAAATTCGGTGGCAGCAAAGCATCCTCTAGAAAACTTAAAAAGAAGAAGAAAATGTGAAAAAAGAAAAAAGAAAAAAAGAAGAGTTGAGAGTGACAGAAGGCAGGGGACAAAGAGGGAAAAGTTTAAAAAGAGGACAAAACAATCATCCAAACACCAAATACCGCCAAAAAAACGGTTGCTTGATGTGTGGAAAAAGCAAAGACAAGCATACAAGCAATTAAGTATTACCTCTAACATAGGACACCACAAAAAGAAGCAAAAATCTCAAAAATATCATATTCTTTTGTATAGTACATATATACAATATTGTAAATTTTACTATTTAGTTATTTTATTTTAAATGTTTTTAGATTTGAGTTTAATTTAATATATTTGAAAATAAAATGATATATTATGCAAGCTAATTTCGAGTAGGCTAAGACATCTTCTATGGTATAATGGTAAATTAGTAAAATTAATTGTAGAAGTTTATCATAAGCTTTTTAAACTATAAACCCTAAATAGCCATAAGTTTGAAAATTTATAAACATTTTTAAATGGTTCTATGTTTAGGGTCGAACCTATAATTTAACAAACAAAAAACTAAAAAAGGTTTAAAAAACGGGGGGCAAATGCGATATTTCCTATAAATCGTTGAAATGGACCGGGCCTACTTTCTTTCTTAAAGGCCCAATTATTAACCGACCGTTGATATTGGACTGGGCTTTTGAGCCCACACAGTGAACCTCGCGGATCTTTCAGATCAAGTGGAAACGACGCCGTTTTGCAAAATTTATGGTGATTCTTCTAACCGCCTAGAATTTAAACGAATTATAAATGGGAATGAAAATATTCACCCCGCCAAGAGCCGGCGTACCCTTTTGGAACTTCGAATCAGACTCTGGCCTCTGCAAATCCCACGGCGCCGGCGGCGGATGGAGAATGGCCTGATTTCGGTGGATCGGTGGTCGGACGGCAGCCAGGTCTACTTTCTGACTCACCTTCACTCGGATCACACCAAGGGCTTGTCTTCGAAATGGTCCAAGGGCCCACTCTTCTGCTCCCGCCTCACTGCCAAACTCTTCCCCTTCAAATTCCCCAATTTCAACCTCTCCTTGATCCGCGTCCTTGATATCGGCTTCTGGCACTCAATCTCCCTGGTTTCACCTTCATCTGGATCTCGGAAAGTTATCAAGGTCATGGCAATCGACGCTCACCATTGCCCCGGTAATAAAAAGCTTTTTTACCTCAGTTTGATAAATTGCACGGCAATTGTTTGTTTTAAGTTCTGAAAGAGTGGATTCTTTATCTAATTTTTTATATAGGCGATTTTTTCAGGAGTTGTTTTGGTAGGAAGAATAGTTGTATTTGGCATTTGGATTATGTTTATATTCTGGTCAGTAGGTAGAGTGCGTTAGTTGATCGATTTCTTGCCGTGCTGTTCGTTTTTGCCATCAACAGGTGCGGTTATGCTGTTGTTTCGTGGAGAATTTGGTTGTTTGCTTTACACAGGCGATTTTCGGTGGGAAATGAGCAGTGAGAGGGCGAATAAAGGAAGGATCACACTTCTCAATGCACTCGGGGAGAACACTGTCGATATTCTTTACTTGGATAACACCTACTGTAATCCTTCTCATGCCTTTCCTTCTCGAGAAATTGCTGCACAGCAGGTGAAGATTTCCTCCGGGACCTGGTGTAATTTCTTCTTGATTATTTCTTTTACACTTGTGGTTATGTGACTTCACAAGGTGTTAAGAATAAACTAAACAGAGGTTAGTTAAGGTTCTGTTGGTCTGATTCAACTCATCCATGAGAATCAAATGCTATTTGATGTTGACATGGATTGTCCTGGGGAGAGAAAAAGAAGCATTTCTGATCTGATAGTATGCACTGTGGGAAAACATTCGGGAATGGGTTTCTGTTCATGATTGGAGTTTCTTAACTCATTCAACCAATGAGGCCGATACTACCAGTATCACATCGATTTTCTTAGAGATGTTTAAAATGTTTTCCTTTGCTAAAGTTTTTGCTTCTTGATTAATTGTTACAGATTGTTGATATCATCGCTTCCCATCCAGAACATGATATCATCATCGGCATTGACTCTCTGGGGAAGGAAGATCTTTTGCTTCACATTTCTCGAATGCTTAAAATAAAGGTTTGTTCTTAGTGAAGATATGATTATGCAGCTCATTGATGGATATTGGAAGCCGTATTGACTTTATTTGGAATGGAACCATACCGAATGGACTGAAGTGATTTAGAAAACATGGAGCAAAGACATTTAGCTTGGTCTTCATAATCGTTCAGGTTAACCAAATTGCACATTCAGAGTCATTTAAACACACATATATGTAGACTGATTCAGTATGGAGAGATTCATTAGTTTGGTGCAAACAATACTGCCTCTTCTCGATGCAATATTGTTTATGAGGGATCCGAGATCTAAAATAGCCTCTTTGTAGAATTGGTCCTATCTCGATTTTCAAAAGTTAGGTGAGTAGGTATAGAATGTAGTAGGGAAGTTGATGAGGTTAGATATTCAATATATGAATTAAATTTACCCAATCCATCAGCTTAAGCTTAAGCTTGAGGGTTGAGTGACGATTTATTCATTCTTAACATGATATAATAACGGGAGGTCCTGTGTCATCGTTGTTTCCTCTCCATTTATGATGATTTTCACAATTAAATTTACCTAACTCCCAGTTGCTCGAATATTAAAATCCTATGAATTTTGCTTTGTCAGACTGCTGTCTTACTGTTTTTCCCTCTATTTTATTCTCTTTTGAAGATTTGGGTGTGGCCAGAACGCTTGCTGACGATGCATCTTCTGGGTTTCAACGACAGATTCACTACGAAGACAAATCTTACTAGAGTTCGAGCTGTTCCTCGCTACAGCTTCAGCATAGAAACTCTTGAGGGATTAAACCAGATGCGCCCAACCGTCGGAATCATGCCATCAGGTCTTCCTTGGGTGGTGAGATCCCATGAAGGAGGAGATGATATTATTTCTGGTTCTCTCCTGACCGCTCGTTACAGCAGAAGCAAGTCTAATGCAAATGGAAAACTAGAATCCGTCAACAGGTTTCACAAGTACATATTTACAGTTCCATACTCGGACCATGCTTGCTTCTCAGAGATACAGGAGTTCATAAAGCTTGTCCGCCCAACAAACATCAAAGGCATTGTGTCTTCTTCATGTTGTTACATCGAGCCCCTTTACTACTTCGGCCGCCTCTGTGGAGCAAAGCAACCAGTAAAAAGGTTCCATCGCAAGCAAAAAAGAACAGAGAGAAGTGAAAGAGGTGTTGACGTCAATTTTGTTAAGGCTGACAAAAGACAAGTAATGAACGGTTCAAATGTTGGCATTCTGAGCGTTCGTTTGGGTAGAGTGAGCGCTTTGAGACGAGTCCAGCGCGGTGCACATCTTGTGGAAGGTGATTGTCCTGATTGATTTGGATGGAGAACTCGCTTTGTGTTGGTCAGAAGGGTATGGCTTCTCTTGCTCTTCTGAATAGCTTGATTGAAATTTCAAGTTTTACTGTGAAGTTCAGCTTCTATTGTTAATTTTCTAATGAGCTAGAAAAGGGAGAGTGCTCTGCTCTCCCTTACTCTTATACTATTTTCCAAATTTCAAAGTTTGAAGTCATATGTGTATATATTTTTAGCCAGAATTTCACCTGACTTTTTAAAGAGATGTTTATAATGCTTTAACTGAGTCAACTATGTCAATTGATTTTATGACATACAGCTGTTGAAACATTCTAAAAAAGTAATGGGCATTTATGTAAATTCTTTGTAAAATAACTAAACAAACTTTCGTATAGAAAGGAATGGACAGCGGTATAGCATGTTCGCAAAGAATAATTTCTCTTTTTAAAATTGTCTCCAAGAAAGTCTCTTTTTAAGTTCTCTTTTTAACATTCAATGTAGGTTTTAAGCTTTTTCTCAAAAAAAAAAAGAAAAAGAAAAAAAAATTGTAGGTTTTAAGTTAGAACCACTATAAAGCCCTCAGTTTATTCTCCTTCCACTTTTCTGATTAATCTGGAAATTAAAGTAGATATCAAAGGTTAGTGTTGATAATAAAAGTCACCGGTAATGACATAGTTTTACCCACTGTTCACTCTCTGAAACTTATAATGCTTTAACTAAATGAATTGTGCAGATTGATTTAGAAGTCATTAGTAATGACGTAGTTTCAAACTTTGAGCGCCTAAATAAACGACTAAAAAAAAGAAATCTACTAAGGAAAAATCAATGGAATAGTGAAAAAAATTAATTATTATTATTACTATTATTATTATTTTGACTCGAGTACAAAAGACATTCACGATGAAACCCCAATTTAAATTGGATTGGGCCGTCCAAGGCAATCGGCCCATAAGTTATTGCCATGTTTCTGTACAACCCTCCGGCATCCTCCATCTATCACAAATGGCCGTCCCTGATTGAAGGTCCGAAGAACATGGCAATGGCTGCTGTCTGTTGTTATTTCTTTTTCACTGAAATTTGCTCTCGCTTATGATTCAAGCTTTATTATTCTGCTCCCAAAATAAGGCCAAGTCATCCTCTCACAAATGTCGGTTCCACTTCCACTGACGGACTGTTACAGTGATTTAGTCGATACAGAGGAGCACTTGGAGGCGGAAGTGGTCCGTCCAGCGATCGAATGGCTAATGAAAGAGATTCACGACGGAGACCGACGCCGACGAACCACCGATCTAGGGTTCGAATACGGGAAGGAAGGAGGCCGAAATTCGACGAGATTGCCCAAATTTTCAATCTTAGTTCTTCTGTTCTCTCTCATCCACAATTTGGATGGGTGCTCCGATCCTTTCCCTCCAGTAGAAATTGCATAGGTTAGTATCATTTATAATTTAGTTGAAGAAATCTTCATTATCCATTTTTGTGTGCGAGAAAATACTTATCTCTGTTTTAGTGGGCATTTTATTTCTCAAATGAAATCATGTGAGCCATTATGGATGAACCAATAATGTTTACGGTGTTTGATTTAGTGTTGTTGACTGAGCAATTGATTTGTATGAAGGATTCTGGAAAGGAAATTCTCGCAATGATGCAAGTTGGCGAGAAAATGGCGTCACATATACGTGGGCAAACCAAGAACCAAGAACCAAAAGCCAAAAGCCAAAAGCCAAAAGCCAAAGGGGAACGTTCTACTAGGTTTTTTGATTGTTATGAGACTGAGACGACAAGTCGTCGTGTGCAGTCGCATTCTTGACTGATTCTTCCAAGTCGGGTCTCCTTCCGATTAAATTAGAGGTATTTTTTAATATTGAGTAATTGAATTAAAAAAAATGTCTGTTTGCTAGTCAAAATGAAATTATTTAATTTAACGTCTGTATTGAATAATTGAACCCAAAACCAAAACAGACGATTTCCGTTGCCATTCGGAAATCAGATTTAAGTGTACATCTTTTTCTTCTTTTTGCATTTCAATTATTTTCTTTTTTAGTATAAAAACGAGTCTTTAATTACTTTGACTTTTAATATTGGGTTTATGATTACATTTTAAGAAATTTAGTAATTGAAATGTATAATCGAAAAAAGTCAACTACAACTACAACGACCAAAATAGATGTTTTAAAGGTAGAAAAACTAAGTTTGATAAAAGTTTAAATACGTTTTTTTAGTTTTTCTGTTCTTTAGTTCATCTAATTTAGAATCTAGTTCTATTAGTAAAACTATTTCTTGTTGGAACGTGGCTGAACATGTGCTAAAAAATATACATCCAATCGTTCCTTTTTATTTAAGAATTTATATGTTGTTATTATATTTTATTTTTTTAGGAAATTGCTTTTTATTTTCTTACATTTAAAAAAATCACTTGGGAATGGCTTAAAAACGGTTATTATTTTTGTTATATAATTTTTATTTAAAAAAAAAAAGAATCCTGTCAATACTGATGTATTCAATTAAACTTCTTTTCAAAATGAATTATTACTTTTATATTTTTATATCCGTGAGAGTCCGGATTTTTACTGCTTACTTTCAAAAGCCACTTTAATTTTCTAGAAAATCCTCAAATCAAGAACATAAGATCTTTTATCACTGATTGAACAAGCTTGTGCACATTTCCATCACACACTAATACCAACTCATTAAATATAACTTGTTAATGGGGTCCGCAAAATAAATCTGTTTGGTGAACCCCCAATGTGTGATACAGATATTTTGTTGACGGGAAGGTTGCTGAATTTATTGCCCACAGGAAAACAGGAGGAAAAATAGTTCTTGTTCTTGTTTCTGGTCTCTTTTGGGACCTCGGGTGAAAGAAGCTGCATCACGCCATGCATGAAGTTTGAAGCTTGATGGCTCTCCTGTTCTTGTGGGAATTTTCATCCTCTTGGTTCTATGCCGGTGTTGAACCGATTGGGAAATTTGAACTTTGAACAAGTCCCAGTTAACCAATTTGAGGTCACTGTGGGAACTTTGACTTTTCGTCAGATTAAACGCGGGTGGACAGCTTGACGCCATACTCATTTGATTAATCCTCCGCTGCTCCATCTCTCTCTCTGGTTTCCCTTGTCTGCAAAATTCTCTGCAGCCATGGAAATTAGAGACGGTGCGGGGCTGATGCTTTATGTTTTGTTCCTTATCTTGTCGCTGGTTCCTCAACCATCCACGGCAGCCGATTCCATCTCTGTAAACCAGTCCATCAGTGGAGCCAACACTATCGTTTCTTCAAAAGGCGTGTTCAAACTTGGTTTCTTCACACCAGGTAATAAAGCTAGTTCTCCCAAATATTACATAGGCATCTTGTATAACAAAGTCTCTGTCCAGACTGCTGTATGGGTTGCAAACAGAGACGCACCAATCTCCGATAGATTTTCTTCTGCTTTAAAATTCTTAGATGGTAATTTGGTTCTCTTGAACGAGTCTGGAATCTCCGTTTGGTCCACCAATCTGAGTTCCACGCCGTTGGGATCTTTGCGAGCTACCATTCAGGACGATGGGAATTTTGTGTTGAAAGATGGGTCTAATTCGTCAAAACCTTTGTGGCAAAGTTTTGATTTTCCAACCGATACTTGGCTTCCTGGGAGTAAGCTTGGACGTAATGTAATTACTAAAGAGACCCAATACTTGACTGCCTGGAAGAACCCGGAGGATCCTGGAACAGGGCTCTTCTCTCTTGAACTGGATCCTAATGGAAGTAATGCGTATTTGATTATGTGGAACAAAACTAGACAGTACTGGTCCAGTGGACCTTGGAAAGACAACATGTTCAGCTTGGTTCCTGAGATGAGGCTCAATTATATCTATAATTTCAGCTTTGTTTCGAATTCGAACGAAAGCTATTTCACCTATTCCATGTACAACTCTTCTGTCATCTCCCGGTTCGTAATGGATGTGACGGGGCAGGCAAAGCAATTCACATGGCTGGAGAGCTCGAAGCAGTGGAATTTGTTCTGGGGTCAACCAAGGCAGCAGTGTGAAGTTTATGCTCTCTGTGGAGCATTTGGCAGTTGCACCGAGAATTCCTCACCCATATGTAGTTGTGTGAAAGGGTTCGAGCCGAAGTCGAATCCTGAATGGGATTTGAAAGAATATTCTGGTGGGTGTAGAAGAAAAACTAAATTGAGGTGCGAGAATTCGGTTGCCAATGGTGATGAGGACAGGTTCTTACTGATGCCTTATATGGAGCTGCCTGATCTTCCACAGTCCGTGGAAGTTGGAAGTGAGGGCGAATGTGTATCAACATGCTTAAGCAACTGCTCGTGTAATGCTTATTCTTATGAGAATGGTCAGTGTGAAATTTGGAATGGAGATCTCTTGCATATGAAGCAACTGTCACAAAGCGATTCGGGTGCCAAATCTCTGTATCTCAGGCTGGCAGCTTCTGAGTTCTCGAGTAGCAAGAAGAATACAGGAATGATCGTTGGTGTTATTGTAGGCTCAGCTGCTGGTTTAGCAATTGTGCTGGTTTTGGTTCTTCTTCTTCTGAGAAAGAGGAGAAGTGTTGGAAGAGGAAAAGCAGTGGAGGGTTCATTGGTGGCTTTTGAGTACAGAGATTTGCAAAATGCAACAAAGAATTTTTCACATAAACTTGGGGGAGGAGGTTTTGGTTCTGTCTTCAAAGGGACTCTGGCTGATTCGACCACCGTGGCAGTGAAGAAGCTGGAGAGTGTTAGCCAAGGAGAGAAGCAATTCAGGACAGAAGTCAGCACAATCGGGACGATACAACACGTTAACCTGATTCGGCTTCGTGGATTTTGCTCAGAAGGCCAAAGAAAATTGTTGGTGTATGATCACATGCCAAACGGTTCTTTAGATTCTCATATTTTCCAAGAAAAGAATCCTAATGTTTTGGACTGGAAAACAAGATACCAAATTGCTCTTGGGACGGCAAGAGGGTTGGCTTATCTGCACGAGAAGTGCCGAGAATGCATTGTACATTGTGATATCAAGCCTGAAAACATACTTTTGGACTCTCAATTTGTCCCCAAAGTGGCTGATTTCGGCCTGGCCAAGCTGTTCGGACGCGAGTTCAGTAGAGTCCTGACAACCATGAGAGGTACAAGAGGGTATCTGGCGCCTGAATGGATCTCTGGAGTGGCAATAACAGCTAAAGCAGATGTTTTCAGCTATGGAATGATGCTTTTCGAGATCGTATCGGGAAGGAGAAACTCGGAGCAATCTGAAGACGGGACGATCAAATTTTTCCCAAGTTCGGTTGCAAACACTATATGTGAAGAAGGTGACATCCTCAGCCTGTTGGACACAAAACTAGAGGGAAATGCTGATGTACAAGAGCTGACAAAAGTGTGCAGAGTAGCCTGTTGGTGCATCCAAGATGAAGAAGCTCAAAGACCATCAATGAGTAATGTTGTCCAAATCCTTGAAGGCGTTTTGGAAGTGAACAAACCACCAATGCCGAGATCTTTACACGCGTTTATCGACAGTCACGAGCATCTCGTCTTCTTCACTGAATCGTCATCGTCTTCATCTTCAGGCAAAAATTCCAAAACCAGCACATCAACTTCATCATCTCGGGCCAAAAGCAACACATCTTCCACGAGCTCCAAGTCCTGAATTCCTTCCAAGGTGTTGCTCTCTCCCTTTCATCCAATTCAGTATATATTCTATGTCTCTTTGGTCTACAATAAAAGCTTATTTTTCAAGGATACTCTCCTTTGGTAACGTGTTAATGTAAATCATAAATCTTAAATGGCTGAGGGATCTTCATTTTCGTTTTCACTTGGATATCCACAATCATATATATATATATATGTTCTAAACTTTCTGATCAGTTCCTGTTGCGACTTCAAAGCCAAATTTTTTGGATTGGATATGTTCTATCATTTTAATAACAAGGGTCTGTGGGTGGCCATATTAAGCCCATGTGCTGCCACGAATGAATTTGAGAATTTCGTAGCCCATGTGCCATTTTATCCCCCATTAATGAACTTGTCCTTATCCAAAAGCAAATCCAAGTAAAATACGTCATTATTATTATAACCCATGATAAAGTCACGTCAACAGATTGTGTTCCTAATTGAAAAAATATTTTTTTTATTGATTTTTTGGAATCGGTCTTGATGATTCATTTTGTTTTTTATTTTTAATATGTCGGGGTGTGGGATCGAACTTACACTCTGTTGGTTAGAGATATATGTCAATTAAGAATCTAACTACATTGCATTACGAAAATCCATATTGTATTCGTAATCCATATTGTAGAGACAAAATAGAGGATTGATGCTGACAAATCATCACGGAAGAAATACTTTATTGAGCCGAGATCCCTAACTAATATTAATATAATACTAATAGAATAGAATAGAAGGTGTTTTTCTGTATATATTTTGCCAATTTTATTGTTGCCTCTATTTATTAAAATTACCAATAAAAACTAAATTGTTAGAGTGGGATGAGCTAATTAATCCAAACAAATTAAGATCAATAGCTTGATCGGATAGTTCATTTAACTAATAAAATTCAGTATCAAATGAACTCTTTTATTTATATTACTATTCACTACATAAATCCAGCTTCTTTCTTCTTTTGGCATATAATTAAATTGAAGTTTCATACTATTAGGTTTGTATATGATAAAGATAAGTTTATATGTACATTATCCCAATAGAAATAATTAAAATACACTAGAATTGTATATAATAATATTTTTGAATTGGTAATAAAACAATATGATGACATCTAGCATGATGTAACATGAATGAGGACAAACAAGAAAACTAAAGTCTTAAAGATAAAATATGAAGGACATATTATTAATCTACTAGAACTTTCACTCAAAATATTAATATGAAAATCAATTTACAAATATTTAAAACTTGATATGTATATATATTTTGCAAAGGGCACTCTGTATTATTGAGTTGACATTACATTGCTGATCTAGAAAACAAATATTAGATGGTGAAGTAGAATTTTATTTCAAACTCAATATTTTAGCTGGAATTCCATTATTCGAATGATATAGATATTATGAACCTCTAGTTCTATTATTGAATAATTTAATTTTATTTGAGGTGGAAGGTTGAATTCTCTCAAACCGGTTTTTTTTTTTTTTATTGTACGTAAAAGAATTATGTTAATGAATTAATGAACATTAATGAGCCCAATAATCAACTTTTCTTTACTTAATTTACTTTTTAAATGAAACTCTTTTCTTTGTGCCGGTTTTGTTAGACACGTGGCAGAGTAGGATAGGAAAAAAAAACGCGAGAAGTAAAACAAAAAAAATTCATAACTCAACGATAATTGACATATATCTCCAACTATGACGTTGTGAGTTGGATCCTCCAAACCATGTATTGTACTAAAAAAACATAAATATGTATTATATCAATTTTAGATTAATTCTACTTGTAAATTCTATGTAAACCGTCTTATACCAATATAGAATTCTGTCTTTAATCATAAATGTGGTCAGACGATTTTGATTACGTTCCTAATTAATTGTCTTATTTTCACAACCAACTAGATGCTATATTTTGTTTTTAATTTACAAAAGTTTTATAAACAAATTGTGATCTAAGCTTCATTGGGTGAACATTATTTATTTATTTTTATTTTTTTGAGAAAAACTAAGGTACTATACTATCCATATGGATAAAAAGTAGGTGAACTTAAATAATTCTTTCCATTTTTTAAACTTAGTACTAGATATGCCCAATATAAGATTAAAATATATAAGGAGGAAGAGAATGGGTCTAATAAGTTATACTCCTGATCAAGATTTATTAATGAAAGTATAAGATCACATCATTTAGGTTAAGAAAAATATATGATATTGGGAAAACAATCACATCTCATTTAGGTTAAAAGATATGATATCTTTTTTCCCAAATCACATCTAATAAAAACAAATTATTAGTAAAAGTACATAATCTATTGTGTTCAATCCATGTCCTTTAGTATGTATTCAATTAACTTGTGATAAAATTGAAATAAAAAGAGTAATAACTCCATCTCAAGCAACTATTTTATGTTTTTTTCTTGCACATGCTCTATATATGATTAAATACACACTTGACCCATAATACAACTCTCACATATTTATTTAGGATCCTTTTAAAAATCCAAAAAACAAAATAATGTATTAATCAGTAGTGTAAGGGTGTGTTTGGGAGTGATTTTAGCCATGCTATTGTAAAAATCACTTTTATTTCTATTGATCATGTTTGACAAATTAGAAAATTAATTTTAGGAAAACTTAAAATTACTTGAATTGATTTTTAAGATATTTCGAGGATGATTTTGGAAAATCAATTGTACGTACATCAACCACACATTCATAAGTTTTATTCCAACCATTTTATATATATCACTCATCGAAAGATATTTTAACTTTTTTTTTTTACAAATAATTTGTATATCGTATAAAATTGAGTCGTATCATCATTTAATTTGTCCAATTAAATGTCCTATAAATTTCAGTAAAAGTAACCATTGATTTCACGAGTTAATTTAATCTATTTATTGATTTAGATATTAAGTTATTGTTTTGAAAATTAAAGACCAAAATAAAATTTTTAATTGATGGCTCGGTAATATTATTATTCTTCCTTTCATATCATGTTTCCAAGTGGAGTGGATTTATTATTATTATTATTATTATTTAAAGAAACTCTTAATGATGTCAGAGTTACGATGAAATAGAAGATAATATGAAATAGTCAGATATATATCTCCCAAAAACACTTCCATTGATAAAATTATTAGGATTAAATAGTAGCACTTACTGAGAAAAACCCTTGTAAATTTCTTAATATTGGTTAAATTAATGTAATCTACTTTGATCACATCTGAACCGTTTGATCTAATCTGCTGATCAAACGATAATCCATAACTTCTTTGACACGTGTTAGCCACGTGGAATTTATTACCTCACTGTTGACAAGAGCCGCAAGTAAACCTTTTATCAAGGAAAGAGCTAAAGTGATTTGCAGAATAACTTATGTAATAATCCTCTGCCAATTTCACTATATATTCTTTTAACATAATTAATTTAGAAAATGTTAAATCATAAGTTTGTGCATCAACCTCTAATTTATTTAACCAAAGTTTCTAACAGATACCTATGTGTTCGATCATTTTAGTTTGTATACGTTCGAAACCAACCCACTGCATAACTTTTAAATAACATAGTTAGTGTGAAAACATAAAATACTAACGATAGAAATTCATTATATTAGACACAAAATAAAAAATCTACTAAACATATTAGAAGTTAATTTTTAAAACACATCGACCACATTAAAAAAAAAGAGAATAATTGTTTTAGTATTAAAAAAAACGAACAACACACCATTATTTTATTACTATTATTTTTGGTTGAGATCAAAGAAACACAAATTCACGAAAAAACATATATATTTCAAATGACAGATAAACGATTTGAAATGACACATTTGACGAAGAAAACAAACAAAAGCCTCGGATGGATTGATATAGTGTTTTTAAATTTGATTTTTAATAACAAAAAATTTAAACTAAAATAATTGTGGAATGGAAGTTTAAAAAACAAAATTTTAAAACTAAATAGACACAGTGAAAGAGAAACCAATGTTATAATTTTTAATATAATGTTTAGAAAACACATGAGATTGTGAAGGGAAATGGTAGAACATTTCTAGGAAATAACGGGAGACCATTGGAGAACAACTCCCTATGAAAGGGCAAGGCAATTTACTATAATAATCCTAAAATTGTACTTTCAATTCATACGCGTTAAAGGTCATCTCTATAAATACTAGATTATTGGTTCCATTGGATCCAGCACTTCCTCTGATCTCTGATCTCTGTACATCTCTGAGATTAGAGATAGAAAAAGAGAGAAGAAGAAAAATGGCGAAATGTTGCTGTTTCTGCGATCAAACTACAGTGAAAAAGGGCATTTGGACGGCTGAGGAAGACCGTAGACTTATCGCTTACGTTAAAAGATATGGCCACTGGAATTGGCGCCGGCTTCCCAAGTTCGCCGGTGAGTTCTTTTCTTTTCTTCTCTAAAACTGTTTCTCAATTATATGTCACCACATTTCACTCATTTTTGCGTTGGAAATTAAATTACTTTATTTAGGTCTTTTGAGGTGTGGAAAGAGCTGCAGACTGAGATGGATGAATTACTTGAGACCTAATATTAAGAGAGGCAACTTCACTCTCCAAGAAGAAGAAACTATCACCAAATTATACGCCGCAATCGGCGGCAGGTTCGTAATCGTCGTACCTATTTCGGATTACATTTTCGAGTTTAGTAGTGATTTAACATAAAATCAAAGTAGAAAGTATTTTCCCGTAAAACAAGAAATTCTTCCGTAACGTCGTTTTCTTTTCAATTAATACAACGTTTAATTTTCCAATCTATGAATAAGGGAGGGTGTTAAAAGAATGCGAATAAAAAAAAATCTTATGTCAGTTTTGAGTCGATACGAGAATTCGAATCCCCCTTTTTCGTTTCTGTCAATACTTGAATTTTTTTTTATAGTTGAGAAAAGATATGAAATAAATAACATATAAACAAATAATTTGAATATAAATCAATGGGTTAAAGTGATATAATTTGGGTTTTTATTTTCAGATGGTCTACGATGGCAGCTCAGATGCCGGGGAGAACTGACAATGATATAAAGAACCATTGGAATACGGTTCTGAAAAGACGAGTGATGATGAAGCAGCAAAAGATGGCAATGGAAAAGAAACCGGCGACGGAAAAAACCGGTCCAACTCATCAGGTTTTTGCCGGTGACATTTTGAACGGCTCGAATGTCAACAATCATTCCACTCTCATTGATCAGACGGCTGTAGAGATCAGTGCGCTTGAGGATTTGCCACCGGCCGGAAATATGGACGTGGCGGCGGATGATCAGTTTAAATCTTCTACTCCAGAGCTGCCGGCGGGGAGTTCTCCGGCGAGTTCCGCCGGAGATTTTTGGACGGACCCTCTATGGCTAGACTCTAATTTGGACATGCCATTTGACGAACAATTATCATATCAAGGATTTGGAGAATCCAACTTTTTCACTTTTGGGTTGGATGAATATCTGTGGCAAGAAGGAATTTACTAATCCAAATTTTAGTTTTGGGATTAGTGATCATTTATAATTTCTCTCTTGTTATCTGCTGAGAAATAAAAAGGGGGATTTTTCAAGTTTTTTATGTCATTTTCCCCATTATATATGTTGCACCAAATTAATGTAACGTAGTTTTGACAGAAATTCCAATTTAGTTTCATCGATGTTATTTTGAATTTTTGTTTCTTTAATTTGTTCGTTTGTTAGTTAAAGATCTAAAGCACACGTAAATTTTAATCCGTTCGTTTCTAATACAAAATGTTCAATATTATTGAAAGGATTTTCAAGTTGTTTCTCTAAGTTTTGTAACGAGATGGTTCCATAAACCAATATATACTAGAGCCAGATGTTTTGTTTCTTAAGAATGACATTTCAAATTTCATAGACTATCCTTTGTTTTATTAAAACCCACGTCAAAATATATTTGGTAATTATGTTTAAGTTTGTTTTAACAAAACACGATTATTGAATTGATAATTTTAAATGCACATTAATTATAAAGATCATTCAATTTTGACTAAAAGATGATAAGATTTAAATTAAGATCCCTTCATGGAGAATGAGTGTTTTAACAAGTTTTTTTTTCATCTTTTTCAAACATAATTGTTAATAAGCGATTAAATGAATCGATTCAATTATGAACTTGAGAATTTGTATTAGATTTAAAAAGAAGAGGATTCAGGAAATAATAACAATTTGACAGGCACTTATGTTTAGAAATAGATAGGATTGCGCAGACCAGCCAGGTGGACAATTAAAGCCTCTACCAATTATTATTATTATTTTTCCATTAGTAGTTGAAAGTTGAAACAATTAAATTATATATTCGTTTCAACAAAAAAATATAATAATAATAATAAATTATATCTTATTTTTGCCTCCTTAAAACTTTTAATTTTTTTTTTGAAAGATTAAAACTTCTAAGTTTGTATTCACAACGTTAACTTATCAATTTTAATAGTTCTAATTACTATTAATAATGGTGTTAATGTAATAGGAAAAGCATGACATAATGCTTAATTACTAAAACATTTAGGCTAAATATCTCTAACATATTCCTCTGTCAAAAAAAAAAAATCTCTAACATATTAGATAATATTAGATAATTCTCCGTTTATTCCTCAATCTTCTAAAATTCTTAATTTTAATTTTAATGTATTTAAAAATTATTCAATAAGATATCAACTTAAAATTTTTCAGTAGAATACTTATGTGTAATTAAATTAGTATTTTATTAATGAATATGTTACGACTTTGTTCGTGGAGTGAAAATAGAATTGGAATGGAGAGCAGATGAATTTTATGTGCCAAATAGCATTCAAATGGCATGTTTATCCCTGTAAATATATTAACAAAGCAGTAATTTAATAATACATAAATGTTCTACTAAATTTTTTTAATATATATTTTCTTAAAAGGACCTCATTAGCCATTTTTAATACTTTAATCGATATAATTGAAGATTTAAAAGACTAAGAATCAAAATTCAAAATTACCAAATAGATTAACCACTATATCTACTATATTGAGCCGAACACTTATTTAGTTATTAATTAAAAAATACTATGGTAATTTGTAAATTAAAAGGAAAGAAATTAAAAATTTTAAAAGTATAAGGATGAATTTGATATTAATAATAAAGTATAAAGATGTACAAATATAAGTTTAAAATATATTTCATTAATACTAATATGAACTTAACTCGAAAGTAACGACAGATATTATGACTTCAAATCTCCTCACCCCATATTAAAAGAAATAATACGATGGAGTAATTTAAAAAAGGAAAAAGATATCTTTAAGTGATATTTAAGTAGAAAAAAAATAGATTATTATTGTTGAAAATGACTGTATGTAATATTAGATATGGATTTAAAATAAATTAATTTGATGTGTCTAAATTTGTGTACTCAAGTTTCCTAGGGTTGACATTATTATTATTTTCAAAAGATGAAAGATTTTTTGTCCGTAAAAATGACTGAAACTATTCAATAAAGCCACCGTGTTTGAAAAATTAATTAATGTAACATTTCCATCATTTCAATATATTATTTCCTGAATGGATTACATTATATCTGAAATAATAAAGTTGACGCATATAAACTAAGTTGTTCATCTATGTTAATTTATTAATTAATTAGTAGTATGAATTCTCCTCACGAGATTTGACCCTTTTACTTGAGATAACATATCATTGTTATAAGATTTTATAATATTAAAATATTAAAATAAAATAGTGTCTCGTATTATTTTTAGTCTTTTTTAAAAATTATCTTTCATTTATTTTCGTTCATTTTGTCTGTATCTGTTTTTTTATTTTCCTTTTAAATTCATCTATACGGGCCACGGGGAAGGAACTTTCTCTCTCAATTTTGTCATTTTCTTTCTCTCTTTTTAATAAAATTATTTTGATTTTCTTAGAACATATAAATATCAATTTTGAAAATAAAATTCAATTATTGCTGTAGAGAAGTTTTTTATTTTTATTTTACTCTTTTATTGTATTGTTCTTATTTTCCCTCTATTTTTATAAAATAAGATGACAATATTGTTTTAATTGATGTGAATGTTATTTCAAAAAAAAATAAATAATAAGAATTGATGTGAATGTGATTATACATTTCATTTTTTAAAAATTTCAATTATTTCACCTTCAAAATTAGATAAATATCATATTAGTTAGTTGTCTTGGAAATGATAATAGGAAATAAATTTTATAAAAATCAGATCAATATAGAAAACTAATTGAATCTAGAAAATTTATTTTTAAAATAAAAACAAAAAAATATTTTTTCAAAATAACAATCAAACAAACCAATTTTAAGTATTGGAGGCTACACCCATATTTGGTCATGTAAAAATGTTCATCCATTTATTTTGTTTTATTATTTTTTATTAAACTTCAAAAGCTAAGGCTTATTAAATTATAAAATCTAAAAAAAAAAACTTTTTTTTTAATCTTATGTCAGACTCACGTATTTTTCAATATAAGCAGAAGTCAGAACACGGTTTGATTCAAGATAATGCGAAACATTTTTTTAATCTAAATAATTGATCTATTAATTGTCCTTTCAAATTAAAGAACAATTAATGTCAACCGTTGATAGAACAATGAACCGAGATTTGAGCTCCCACCGTCCGATTAAGAATCAAAAAATTATAATCTTATAAGTGACATCAGCCGAATGATGTCATGTTATGTTGCTAATGCTCTTTTGGATGATCCTAAGAAAAAAATAAATAATGGAATTGAAAATTCTGGTGTCTACTGTTGATTGATTATAAATTAATTGGATTATAAAATAACCAAAAGTTGACCATTAATTCGTGGGATTATGAAGTGACTTGAGCGTTAGTAAACTGCAATTCCCCACCTTCTCTGAACGTAGACCAAATCAATTTCCTAATTCTTAGGCTCTCAATTTGGTTCATTTTAATTTTTCTAATTATTCATTTCGATTATTATATTTTTTAAAAATTTGACTATTTTAGTTACTAGATTTGATTTCATTTAAATCAAAATTTTAACCTTACATTTCACTCACTAAATTTCTTGAAATATAATCATAATTTTTTTTTAAAAGATTTATATTGTGTATAAAATTTTGTAAATAAAGATGAAAATGATTTTTTTTTAACTATAGAGACCAAAATAGAATAGATGTTTCAAAAATATAAGAACTAAAATGAATAAAATTTAAAAGTTTATAGACTAATCTGAAATTTTAAAAGCGCATAGGCTAAAATGAGCAAACATCTAAAACATAGGCACCAAAATAATATCTAAACCTGTATATTTTGAATTTGTTTATTTCATATTTATAAACTTGTTAATCCTTTGGAGTTATACAAAATTCAAGCTTATAAACTCTCTCTAATTTGTATAAACTAGAAACTTACGAACCTCCAACCCTTTCCATCTTTTGACGAATCTCCCGTCCTCGATTACAATGTTATATTTTAAAAATGAATACAAGAAAAAACAAATAAAAGTTCCACAAACTCAAGTTTTTAAATATATTCCTTTGTGTACTCTCAACCCAAATTACAGAAACTTAAAATTTTCAACTATTTATTTTAAAAGTAAAAATTGATTAAAAATTGTTAATAAAAAGTGTTTATTCTTTCGCTGCTTATTTCATTCTAATTCTTAAATTTTTAAAATGTTTATTATGATACTACATACTTTCTTTTGATCCAAACGTGTATTTTAGTACTCGGTCTTTGAAAAAATGATCATTTTGGTTATTGTTATTATTCTACTATCTAATATTTGTTCATTACATAATTGTTTGTCTCAACCAATTTACATGGCTCCTATACATTTATCGACATCAAAGCCACTTTATCTATCTATTAAATAAAATCAATATAAAAAATTAAAATAATTCTTTTTTCGGTTGAAGGATAAAATAGACATTTTAAAAGTCAAGATTAAAATAAAATTAACTTTAAAATTGACCAAGAGTTTGAAAATTGAGGTGTACGAAACTTAAGACCAAAATCTAAATGGAAGATGTGATGAGAAGATAAATTAAAAATTAGAAAAAAAAAAAGATTAAAATTAATATGGGTGATTGGGTTATTAAAGTTGTAGCCCAAAACTAATGTTACAAGCCCATCAAAGAATTGCCTGAGAATTATAAGCTTCTCTGCCTCAAACATAATTAATGCATATTTATTAAAAAAAAACTATTCAATGAAATCAACTTATTACATACTTCTAAAAAAAATAATAAATAAAATAAATTAATTGCAGATTTATTTCCAAATCAAACACATTTTCTCGGTAAATAGCTTATAAAGAAATTAACTTCACTGCAAATCACAACAACGTTTGTATCTATATTTAAAAATAGGCTAAATATATCCAATGGTCCCTGATTTTTCTCCATTTAGTCTTTAATTTTTAAAAATTCTCAATTTTACCTTTAATATATTAAAAATTATGAATTAAATCATTCCATTGAAAATTATATTAGAAGTTGATATATCACTAAATTATTGCTTAACATATTTGGACACA